CTGGCTCAGGCCAGCGCCAGGAGCCATGGCTCCATCCTTGTCTCCCACGTGGCTGGGAGGAAGCCGAGCACTGGGCCGTCATGCACTGCCTCCTAGGAGCATTAGCAGGGAGCTGGGTCTGAGGTGGAGCAGCTGCACTCGGACTGGTGCTCGGACGTGGGACGTCAGACAAGAAGCGTCACCCACCATGCTGTAATGCTGACACCACCGTTGTATTCTTGAAGAGCTGATTATGAGCCAGTATGACCCTGCTTGGTGTGGACTGCACGTAGGAAGTATGCCCAGTGTGCTTGTGGGATGTCCATTCATGGAGCTGTGTGGCCTGGGCCTGTTGGTCCCCAAAGTGAAATGTGTGGCTTCATCTCAGCCTCACACACAGGGAGTCAGCTGTAAGGAACGGGTGGGGAGTGGTGGTGGAGCAGGGTCCCTGCCGTGGAAGCCCGTCTTTCCCCAGCACCTGTCCCAGCAGGCACGGCAGCCTAGCTGCCTTTGTGTTTCCTCTCTGATTCTACCTCCGTGGAGCCAGTTCCGTCACACAGGACCTTTTTGATCTTAACAGCAGCAAACAGAGTGTTCATGGAACATAATAGCCTGTGAAACTACGACTCAAGGCTGGCGCCGTGGCTCACTAGGCTAATCCTCCACCTGCGGCGCCGGCACCCTGGGTTCTAGTCCCGGTCGGGGCGCCGGATTCTGTCCCGGGTGCTCCTCTTCCAGGCCAGCTCTCTGCTGTGGCCTGGGAGTGCAGTGGAGGATGGCCCAAGTGCTTGGGCCCTGCACCCCATGGGAGACCAGGAAAAGCACCTGGCTCCTGGCTCCTGCCATCGGATCAGCGCGGTGCGCCGGCCACAGCGCGCCGGCCGCGGTGGCCATTGGAGGGTGAACCAACGGCAAAAGGAAGACCTTTCTCTCTGTCTCTCTCTCTCACTGTCCACTCTGCCTGTCAAAAAAAAAAAAAAAAGGCGAAAACTATGACTCAAAAAGAATTATGTGTTCCCGTCAACGTGTAAGAAGAGGCACTGCAGGCAGACAGCTGTGACGTGGAAATACTGTTAGAATACTAGACTGATGAGGTCATCCTCTTTCATTTTACCTAGGTGGAGTTTGAGAATGCGTCAAGGCACTGGGGCTGTGCTCAAGGCCCACAGTGGACGTCTGAAACCTCAGAGAGTCTGACTGTGGTTCATACCTGTGATAAAGCTGTGTTTACAAGTTAGGCACAGTAAGAGATTAACCACAGTTGCTACAAATAAACTGGCCAGTTATAGCAATTTTTTTTTTTTTTTTTGACAGGTAGAGTGGACCGTGAGAGAGAGAGACAGAGAGAAAGGTCTTCCTTTGCCGTTGGTTCACCCTCCAATGGCCGCCGCGGCGGGCGCGCTGCGGCCGGCGCACCACGCTGATCCGATGGCAGGAGCCAGGAGCCAGGTGCTTTTCCTGGTCTCCCGTGGGGTGCAGGGCCCAAGCACCTGGGCCATCCTCCACTGCACTCCCTGGCCACAGCAGAGGGCTGGCCTGGAAGAGGGGCAACTGGGACAGAATCTGGCGCCCCAACCGTGACTAGAACCTGGTGTGCCGGCGCCGCAAGGCGGAGGATTAGCCTAGTGAGCCGCGGCGCCGGCCTAGTTATAGCAATTTATCAAAATAAGAGTTATTTGAAACTTTTCATTGTTTACTTCTGGAATTTTACGTTCTGTTTTCAGTATGCTGGTGACTGGGTAACAACTGTGGATAGGGTGGGGCTGCTGCAATGTCACATTGTTCTTTCATTCTTACTGAAAGGACTGGTTAGTGTGAGAAACTGGAACTTCCTTCCTGCGCTGAGCGCTGTCGGGTCCCACGCCTGCCGACGTCTCCTGGACAAGGCCTGCCCCTTTCTGAGAGGAGCAGCCGCAGGCCGGTGTCCAGGTCGGGTCCCACGCCTGCTGACGTCTCCTGGGCAAGGCCTGCCCCTTTCTGAGAGGAGCAGCCGCAGGCCGGTGTCCAGGTCGGGTCCCACGCCTGCCGACGTCTCCTGGACAAGGCCTGCCCCTTTCTGAGAGGAGCAGCCGCAGGCCGGTGTCCAGGTCGGGTCCCACGCCTGCTGACGTCTCCTGGGCAAGGCCTGCCCCTTTCTGAGAGGAGCAGCCGCAGGCCGGTGTCCAGGCCGCCTGGGTGGCGCAGGAGGCCCAGCCCTGCCAAGAGTAGCTGCCATAGCTGCAGGACTTGCCGTGGCCCTGGCATGTCTAGAGTCCAGCTTCAGCTGCGGTCCAGAGAACAGCTGTCGAGGGGTCGCTGCCTCTCAGGAGGCGACGGGCGGTGGGAAGCAGGTTCTGTCCTGGTTGTACATCAAGGCAGAAGCTTGGATTATGGCTCAGTGGGTGTGGGAGGGAGGGTGAGGTCTGCGCTGACACCTGTGCTCGACTGTATGGGGCTGCTGACCACGTCATATACAGCGGGGGCTTCCCAAGTCCGTGAAAACACAGTTTGAGAAACTAGACCTCCATTTCTTTCTTGCACCAAAATGAACTTGACTTTCAACTCTATTTTTTCCTTACGTTTTTCTTTTTAAGATTTATGTATTTGAAAGGCAGAGGCCATGGAGAGGCAGGGAGAGAGCTCAATCTTCCACCACAGGTTCATTCCCCAAATGGCTGCAACAGCCAGAGCTAGTCGGGGCCAAAGCCAGGAGCCCAGAACTCCAACCTTCTCTCATCCTGGGTACAGAGACAAGCACTTGGGTCGTCCTCCACTGCTTTCCCAGGTGCATCAGCAGGGAGCTGGATTGGAGGTAGGGTAGGAAGAACTGGAACCAGTACTCCAATAGGAGAGGCCAGCATTGCAGGCAGTGGTTAACCTGCTGTGCTACAACACCAGCCCTCCTGTGTACACTCACACGTCTGTGCACACCCTCCCTCCCGAGTACACTCACACGTCTGTGCACACCCTCCCTCCCTCCTGAGTACACTCACACGTCTGTGCACACCCTCCCTCCTGAGTACACTCACACGTCTGTGCACACCCTCCCTCCCTCCTGAGTACACTCACACGTCTGTGCACGCCCTCCCTCCCTCCTGAGTACACTCACACGTCTGTGCACACCCTCCTCTCCCTCCTGAGTACACTCACACGTCTGTGCACACCCTCCCTCCTCTCCCTCCTGAGTACACTCACACGTCTGTGCACACCCTCCCTCCTGAGTACACTCACACGTCTGTGCACACCCTCCCTCCTGAGTACACTCACACGTCTGTGCACACCCTCCCTCCCCTCCCTCCTGAGTACACTCACACGTCTGTGCACGCCTCCCTCCCCTCCCCTCCTGAGTGCACTCGCATGTGTGGTGCACATGACATGAGCTGGCAGTGCACAGTTTATGCTTATACAAAATAAGTAATGGGAAAACACTTTTTTTAAAGATTTATTTAAATGCAGAGTTACAGAGAGGCAGAGAGAGAGAGACAAAGAGAGAGGTCTTCCATCTGCTGGTTCTCTCCCTCATTGGCCGCAACAGTAGGAGCTGTGCTGATCCAAAGCCAGGAACCAGGAGCTTCCTCCGTGTCTCCCATGCAGATGCAGGGGCCCAAGGACCTGGGCCATCCTCCATTGCTTTCCTGGGCCACAGCAGAGAGCTGGACAGGAAGTGGAGCAGCTGGGATTCGATTGGCACCCATATGGGATGCCGGCACTGCAGGCAGCAGCTTTACTTGCTATTCCACAACGCTGGCCCCAGAAAACACGTATTTGAAATTATATTTTGAGGGGCCAGTGCTGTGGTGTAGTGAGTAAAGTCACTGCCTGCAGTGCCAGCATCCCAGTTGGGCAGCAGTTCAAGTCCTGGCTGCTCCACTTCTGATCCAGCTCTCTGCTGTGGCCTGGGAAAGAAATGGAAGATGGCCCAAGTCCTTGGGCCCTGCACCCATGTGGGAGACCTAGAAGAAGCTCCAGGCTCCTGGCTTCGGATTGGCCCACTCCAAACATTGCAGCCATTTGAGGAGTGAACCAGCAGATGGAAGACTTTTTTCTCTATCTCTCTCTGTGCCTCTGCCTCTGAGTCTTCATAACTCTGCCTTTCAGATAAATCAGTTACTCTTCAAGGAAAAAAAATCTGTTGAGAACTAACAAAGTGTTTAAATAAAAGACATTATATTTTGAGTATGTTGGGCCTATGTAAAATATTATTTTTAAAAATAAATTTTACCTGTTTCTTAACTTTTTAAAAATTAAATTTGTGGAGGCCGGAGCTGTGGCATAGTGGGTAAAGCTGCTGTCCACAGTGCGAGTGTCCCATGTGGGCGCTGGTTTGAGTCCTGGCTGCTCCACTTCCGATCCAGCTCTGCTATGGCCTGGGAAAGCAGTGGAAGATGGCCCAGGACCTTGAGTCCCTGCACCCATGTGGGAGACCTGGAGGAAGCTCCTGGTTCCTGGCTTCTGGCTTTGGATCAGCACAGCTCCGACTGTTATGGCCAGTTGAGGAGTGAGCCAGTGGATGGAAGACCTCTCTCTCTCTGCCTCTCCTTCTCTCTCTGTGTAACCCTGACTCTCAAATGAATAAATAAATCTGTAAAAAAAAATTAAATGTGTTTGTTTGAAAGGCAGAGACACAGAGAGTTTCCATCTTCTGGTTCATTCCCCAAATGCCTACAACTGCCAGTGCTGGGCCAGGCCAAAGGTAGAAGCTGGGCGCTTCATCCAGGTATCCCATATGGGCGGCAGGGACCTCGCTCTCTGAGCCATGACCTGTTGCCTCCAGAAGGTGTACATGAGCAGGAAGCTGGAGGCAGGAGCTGGAACTGGGCCAGACGCAGGCTGTCTGGTACGGGATGTGGCATCACCCGATGCACCCCACGCAGCATCTCACTGCTGCCACAGGGGCCTGCCCCTGCTCTTCTTGAACATGGCTCCTGAGCACGCGCCCTCCACCTGTGGCTCGCAGCAGGTCCCGGCTGGAGAGCCCTCCTGCACCTCCTGCCTGGCCGCCTGCGGCTGAGTCGCCGTGTCCTTCCTGTCGTGCCGTGCAGGTCTCACCCGCGCGGCCAGTCTGTTGTCATGGTGATCGGCGGCGAGGAGCATTTTGAGGACTACGGGGAAGGCACCGAGGTGGAGGTGTCTCCGGAGGCCCTCTCTGACGGGGAGCTCACCTGCAGTGATCCTGCTTTTCTCACCCCCAGGTAACGCCCCCAGACCACACGCCCCTTCCCCATTGTCCCCCGTTCCCTTTGTGGTTCATGAATTGAAAAGGGAAAACCGGAGTCATTGGAGGTGACTCAGTACAGCACATCCGAAAGTTTCCAGCCTGGAGCTGCGTGAGCGTGGGTGGACGTCCCCTCAGTGGCCCTCAGATCCCTCCAGGTGCCCACGGCCTTGACTGCAGAGCGTGGCCCAGGACCACGTTGGGAAACTGATTCCTTAGCTGCTGGTCGCAAGTCCCGTCTTTGTGGCTGGCTTTGACGGAAGAAGGGCGTCTGTAGGTTCGTGTCCTTATAATTGCCTGCATCCCCAGAGTCTCTGGAAAATTCTGGCTTTGAATAAACACCGTGATAGCGGAAGAGGGAGACGCTTGGTCATGTGACACGTGGCTGCTCGCAGGGCGTCAGTGTGCTCTGTCCATGGGCCCAGGCAGCCCTTTGTTGTGGTCAGTGCATCAGGGGCCATTCCTGCCTGTGGGCCCCATGCCCGATCCACAGCCCGTCCACACCAGTCGGTCCGTGAGTTCTCCACCCTTGCCGGCAGCAGAGGCGAGGTATCTGAACCAGCTACCGTGGAAGTCTTCCTCTGCTTGCCTCAAGGCCAGACAACCTTGGAGGGTGGTGCCAGCCCCAGCAGGGCCCTGCCCTTGCCGTCTGTGTGCCTGTGCTGTGGGGTGAGAGACCCTCCCCCGGCTCCCTGAGGGCTGGCTTTTCTGGACAGTGTCCTGTGAGGGTGGCAGGCAGCAGAGGTGCAACGTGCCTGTTTTTACAGCTTCCCTCTTCCAACACGCACTTTTCTGGGATGTCTGCTGGAGCATTTCTATGCTTGTGTTTGTCCCGTTTGGCCGTCTCTTCGTGTTTGTTGAGTTTGTCACCTCTTGTCCATGCTTTCCATTCTTTTCTGCCACATTCTATGTTTTCTTTCTAATCTTTCTTAACATTGGACCTCCCAATGGGTTTCCAGCACCGGGGCTCCCGGCCCCAGGATGAGGCTGCCTTCTGCCCCTCCAGCAGCAGCTGCCTCCTTGCCACTGCCCTGCGAGCCTCGCAGTGAAGTCGCAGGGCAGGGCTGGGTCTCAGGGAGAGCGTTCCAGCGGGGCTCCCACATGGTCGGCAGGCACATACACTTGGGCCGTCCCCTGCTGCCTTTCCGGGTGCAAAAGAGGAAGCTTGATTGGAAGCGGAGTAGCCAGTTCCAACTCAAACCCGCGTTCTGATATGTCCCGAGTGCTCTGAGGGCCCCACGTGGCAGCTTAACCTGCTGTACCACAGTGTCCGCTGCACACATAGTTTTGCGGGTTTTTAAGAAATGATTTATTATTGCAAAAGGAGAAAGCGAGAGAATCTTCCATCCACTGGTTCATTCTCCCAGATGGCTGCAACAGCCAAGTCTGGGCCAGGCTGAAGCCAGGAGTCAAGATCTCCGTCCTGGCCGGCGCCGCGGCTCACTAGGCTAATCCTCCGCCTTGTGGCTCTGGCACGCTGGGTTCTAGTCCCGGTCGGGGTGCTGGATTCTGTCCCAGTTGCTCCTCTTCCAGGCCAGCTCTCTGCTGTGGCCAGGGAGTGCAGTGGAGGATGGCCCAAGTGCTTGGGCCCTGCACCCCATGGGAGACCAGGATAAGTACCTGGCTCCTGCCATCGGATCAGCGCGGTGCGCCGGCCGCAGTGCGCCGGCCGCGGCAGCCATTGGAGGGTGAACCAACGGAAAAGGAAGACCTTTCTGTCTCTCTCTGTCACTGTCTACTCTGCCTGTCAAAAATAAATAAATAAATAAACTTTATATAAAAAAAAAAAAAACTCCGTCCTGCCCCGTGGGTGGCAGGGAAGCCGAGCAGCTGAGACCCCAGCCTCTGCTCCAGTACGGGCGCCGGCGTCGCAGGCTGCAGCTACCTAACGCTGGTCCCCACAGTTTGACACCAGTGCTTCGTTCCTTCGTTCCTTCCTTCAGGCAGAGATAGAGAAGGAGAGACAGAAACCGAGAGACACGCTTTCCCAGGCGCTTTAGCAGGGAGCTGGATCGGCAGTCGAGGAGCCGGGTCTTGGACCGGCATCGTGTGGGCTGCTGGAGTTGCAGGCGGCAACCTCACCTGCTACTCTGCAGCGCCGGCCCACCCACCCGTGGTTTCTAGAGCAGTGGTGACAGCCGTGCCCTCAGTGCGCTCCCCTGGAGCCGGGCTGTCCGTCCCTCGATGTGTCTTGGCGAAGGAGCGGCAGGAGTGCTAGGCTGCAGCCGGTTTCCGTGCACCTGGCCGTGAAGGAGCAGGTGCGCCCGGACAGGTGTGTGCCCAGCTCCTGGAGGGCCCACTGCGGTGTGGCCTCACAGAGCTGGAAACTCGGAGCCAGGGTGTTCCGCAGCTCACTTTCTCCAGCGTGCTCTGTTCAGCTCCACTTCCTCCCTGTCCTGTCCTGTCCTGTCTCTGCGGGGTCACAGCTGCCCGGCCGGGCCCCGCTCTCTCCTGAACTGCCGCTTCTCGTCTCTCCAGCTCCGGCCCACTTGCTGCCAAGCTGCACAGCATCCTCACTGATGAGGCTTTTGAGTTTTACTGTAGCCAGTGCCACAAGCAGATCAACCGCCTAGAGGACCTTTCCGCTCGCCTGAATGACCTTGAAATGAATAGGTAACTGGTATGGTGCTGGCCTTGCTCTTTGTTCAGGGCGAGGGAGACCCCACTGCCCCTGCCCCCACCAGGGGTCTGACGTGAGCAAGGTCCTGCTGCCGTGAGCTGGGCACTCAGACAGGCCTGGCCCGAACACCCGACCAGAGGGGCGCACTCCCCAGCCTCCTCTGCCCGCATGCCGTGGACCACGCCAAGGACCCCGTGCCCTCCTGCCCTGCATGCCTGTGGCTGTCTGCTCAGCTGTGTCTTGGGGAGGGGTGATCTGTGCGCACCGTGCTGTCCAGCATGGGGAAGCAGAGTCACGCAGACGTATTGGGAGAGTTAAGGACTGGGGCTTCAGACACCAGCTTGTGAGCAGCTCTAGGAACGTCCGTTTCAGTCCGGGATGTGTGTGCTGAGGTCGGCCCTCCCCTGAGCTCGCTCAGTTAACGCGGAAGCAGCTTTGCCTGCTTCTAAACAGCTCTGCCGCTGTTCCCCGGCAGTCTCCTGTGCTGGGGCCGCGTCCCCTCCCGCCCTGGGAAGCCCGGGCTCCTGTCGGCATCCCAGGAGAGCTGTGTGTGCTGGCGCTGCACAGCCTCGGCACACGCTGCGGGAGTCTTGAGAAGAGACGGGCCAGCGGAACTGAGCCGGCACCTGGGCGGCGGCTCAGGCCTTCTGGGCAGCCGTGCACAGGCTCCTGTGTCACAGGTCCTCGGAAACCTTTGACCTGTCCAGAGGAAGCTGCCCTACGTCTGCCTCCACGCCTTCAGGGCTTGGGCCCAGGCCGGGGCCGCTGTCGACAGCCTGGCTGTGCTGCTGGCCCGCCTCAGCTGCAGCTCTGGTGCATTTTCCTGGTGTTGTGTGCAACGCTACAAAGCACGCCGCCCCCAGCAAGTGCCGGTGGGGGGGGGGGGGGGACAGGCTCAGCATTCACAGGCCATCCTGTGAGGGAACCTGGCGTCTGGCAAGACCAAGGATCACAGAAGATGGGTTTCACTGGCTGTGGGGTTCAGCTGGGCGTGAGGTTCTTCCCGTGAGGCCATACGCCCTCTTCCTGGTAGTTCGGGAGTGAGGTATGTCGTCGCTGTGTGTGAAGGGTGACTCGGAGACACGCGTCGCATCTCATTCTCTCTCGAGAGAGGCAGTCTCTTTCCACATTGAGAACCTGCCCCGGGTGGCGTGTCAGACCTGCTAGGCCCTGTGGGGCAGAGCGTGGACTAGGATGTGGCTGAGTCTGGCCAGCAAGTCCTGTGGGAGCTCACGTGCTCTTTCGGCACCCCCTTCTGTGAGAGGCTGTACCAAGGTAGGTACGTTTGTGCTAAAGTCAGCAGACTTAGGACACACGGCTTTGAGTCAGAACACTCCCCGAAGCGCTCAGTGGAGGAGGTCTGAGCCCGCTCTGGTTTTCTGCATGGAGTCAGTCAACTTACCTGGCCGTCAGGTGTTGGTGAGGTGCACCTGTGGGCCTCTGAACATCCCAGTGGTGGTTGTATTTTCTAGGCTCTTGGGGCGTCTGTAAAAATTCACTTTGTAGAACCAAAAGGCTGCTTTTCACAGTCGTGAACACTGCCACTGGACCGCCAGTCCAGTCCTGCGAGCTGGACGAGAAAACAGAGCAGTCTTCCCACGCTGTTAGCGGTGAGGAGGCCCAGTGGTACCAGGGTGAGATGAGATTTGGGTTGAAATGTGTGGTCCCATCGGGAGAGTGGAGCCACTGTAATTTGGACAGTGAAACTTAACCGTAGAGAATGACTGCCTGTAGGGGGTTGAGGGGTAACCACCAGGAAGAAAGAGCACTCAGAGTAGAATGGCCACTCCCCGCCTGGGGCTGGGGACAGCATGGGGACCTGCTGGAAAGCCCCCCCCTCCCGCCTGCTGGGGAGCATGCCCAGTCCTGGGCACTGTCTCTCTCCAGCGCCCTCTGCTGCCAAAACCTAGCGTCGCAAAGGAAAAATGCTGTCCACAGAGCAGCAGCCTGACGGCACCGGGGTCTGCCTGGTGGGACTTGCAGCCTGTGCCTGAGAGACGGTCGTAGCGTGCTGAGATGAGCAAGCTTGGGTTCCGGGATGGGGTGATGGCTCTTACGCTTAGAGATGAGGTGAAGGTTGAAGCTGGCCGTTCAGTGGAGGAGTGGGCCTCACAAGTGAGATACGAGGTAGGCGTGGCCTCCGGCCGCTGCAGGTGGGCAGGTCAGAAGGGCGATGTGTGAGCAGCTGTATTTACTGCCCCCCCCCCCCGTGGCAACAGGAAAGGCTTTCTACCCCGCCCAGCAGGTGCCTGGCTTGTGACATCAGTATTGTGACCACAAGGGGTGGAACGTTCCTGGGGGGTCCGCAGGGCCCCGCATTTGGGGTGACTTGGCTTCGGTAGTGTTTGGAACGTGCCGCTGGCTCATCTGGCACCCGCGCAGTGCAGGCTGGCAGTCGGGGCGCTGAGCCCAGCCTCTGTGCAGGGGGAGTTTCTCTGGGGAGGGCGAGAGAGTGGGAAAGGCCTTGGGAAGCGGGGCCGTGCGCCGCGCCCCTCCCCGCGGTGCTGAGTGCGCTCTGTGCGGCTTGCTCGGGAGGGGCGCTGCGTGCTGTGTGGGAGGGTGCCGTCCTGTCGCCTTAGCCTTTTCCTGTTTCCTCCTGTTCTCACTGTCCTGACACGATTTTCCTGTTTGTTTTGGTTCTGCAGTCCGACGAAGCGGCTCTCCAGCAGGAAGGTGGCAAGGTAGGCAGCCGCTCACTGCGGACTGAAATGCTCTACTGATCACTCTAAGAGCGTGCGGAAGACTTCTCACAGCTTGTGGTTCAAAGTTGACTTGAAGGGATTGCTTGTGACAGCTTGCAGGGTATGGACTTGGGCCTGTCTGTTGAATGGCCACAGCAGGCTTTGGGCAGGGTCTGGGTTCAGGGCTGCTGCCCCCACTGTCTGCTGTAGGTTAGCCTGGAGGTAGAGGCCACTCAGAGCTGGGTCTCGCAGGGGCGGCCTGCCTGGGTCCCCGAAGGAGCTGGGGATGAGGGGTGCCCCTTCCTCTGAACCGTGAAAGCATTTCTTCGCGTCTAGTTTAGGGCACTGTCTGCTGACCTCCCGCTGTGAGAGAGGAGGGCACACACTGTCCTGCGCTGCTGGTGCGGCTCTGTGGCGGCTTCCTCTGACATGAGCATTGAGGGAGCCGTGAAAAGCTACCCCGCGTCGCTCTGGGGAGTCTGCTCTTCGTCTGCGCTGCTCCCGCCAGCCACGGGCTTCCTCTGTCTCAGCTGGGCTGCTCCCCTCAGGCTTCCGTACCCTTTGCTCCAGGCCATCGGGCTGTGTCCAGCCTGTCTTCCCCACAGGGTTGGGTCTGGTCTTCCTTCTTTTTGTCTCCATGTTTGTCTAGTACATCTTCCTGTAGCTTCCTGAGAAAAGTGATGACCAGGGATAAATTTCTGAGATCTTGTTTTTGAACTTTCAGTTAGTATGGAATTCTAGGTTGTGAGTAATTTTTTAAAATTGGTATTTGTTAAAATTGTATTTATTTATTTGACAGGCAGAGACAGAAAGATAGAAAAGTATAGAGAGAGAATTTCCACCTGCTAGTTCACTCACCGAACCCACCTGTTCTCCTCATGGGTGGCAGGGCCCTGCCTCTCATTGGGAGACCGGGAGGAAGCCCTTGGCTTCTGGCTTTGGGCTGGCCCAGAGCTGGTCCATGTGGCCACCTGAGGAGTATAATCAGCAGATGAAAGATCTCTCTCACTAGTTCACTCCCCAAATGGCCACACTGGACTGGGCTGGGCCAGGCCAAAACCAGAAACCAGGATCTTCATCCAGGTCTTCCACGTGGGTGCAGGGACCTGGACCACCCTCCACTGCTTTCCCAGCACATCAGCAGGGAGCTGGATTGGGAGTGGAGCAGCTGGGACTTGAACCGGTGCTCACATGGCATGCTGGCGCTGTGGATGCAACACAGGGGGAAGAGAGGCTCAGCCAGCCAGGAGGCAGTCCAAGAACTCAGCAAGAACCGGAACCCAAAGACAGGGCAGACAGAGACTGTATGAGGGCAGGCACTGCACGCCTGGCTCTGTCAGGGTGCAGAGGCCCCTAGCACAGGGCTGCCATCAGGGAACGAAACCACAGACTGCGGGCTCTGCACTGCGGCACAGAGGGTGACGCCACTGCCTGCGATGCCGGCATCCCACATGGTGCTGGTTCATGTCCCCACTGCTCCTAATGCGGCTGGAAAAGCAGCAGACGGGTCCAGTGTTTGGAGAGTGCACCAGTGGATAGAAGATAACTCTCTTTCTCTCTCTCTCTCTCTCTCTCTCTCTCTGTCTCTGTCTCTAACTCTGCCATTCAAGTGAATAAATAAATCTTTTTTTAAAAAAAGTATTTATTTTATTCATTTATTTTTTAAAATTCATTTATTTGGGCTGGCACCGCAGCTCACTAGGCTAATCCTCTGCCTGCGGCGCCGGCACACCGGGTTCTAGTCCCAGTTGGGGCGCTGGATTCTGTCCCGGTTGCTCCTCTTCCAGGCCAGCTCTCTGCTGTGGCCCGGGAGTGCAGTGGAGGATGGCCCAAGTGCTTGGGCCCTGCACCCACATGGGAGACCAGGAGAAGCACCTGGCTTCGGATCAGCACAGTGCGCTGACCGTGGTGGCCATTTGGGGAGTGAACCAACGGAAGGAAGACCTTTCTCTCTGTCTCTTTCTCTCACTGTCTAACTCTGCCTGTCAAAAAAAAAATATATTCACTTATTTGAAAGGCAGAGTTACAGAGAGGTAGATGCAGAGAGGGAGGGAGGTCTTCCATGTACTGGTTCACTCCCCAGATGGCTGCATTGGCTGAAGCCGGGCCAGTCTGAAGCCAAGAGCCAGGAGCTTCTTCTGGGTCTTCCATGTGGGTACAGGGGCCCAAGGATCTGCGCCATCTTCTACTGCCTTCCCAGGCCATAGCAGAGAGCTGGATTGGGAGTGGAGCAGCCGGGACTCAAATTGGTGCCCATATGAGATGCCAGCACCGCAGACGGCAGTTTTGCCTGCTGTGCCACAATGCCGGTCCTAGAGTGTATTTTTTAGAGAAAGATGTGCAAGCTAGCTGAGTACCTTCCACGAAGGGAAGTGAGCTTGTCGAGACAGCATGTGGATTTCAGTGTTGCGTCTTAGTGTTTGATTGGGTCTCACTCTGACCCTGACAGCCTCAGCAGCCTGCAGATCCCGTTCACAGGGGGCAGGACTCAGAGGAGCAAGTGCTCTGAGCATCACACGGTCGGCTCGGTTCAGTCCCGGGAGTCCCAGGGTGGAAAGGCGTCCACACATGGGCTTGCCTTGGGCGCAGGTCCTCCAAGAGCTTGAAGCATCCCGAGTCATTCAGGTTTGCTGTGAGTGTGACGCTCGTGAGGCACCCACAGCTGAGACTGCTCCTGCCCTGAGGCCACAGTGTGAGGCCAGGAGCTCACACAAGACCACAGGGTCAGGTGTGCTGTGTGCTAGGTTGGGTGCCCTGGAGCCGGCACCTTCCTGAGGCTGCTGGACCAGGCTCCGAGAACGCCCCCAGGGATACTGCCAGGGTGCAGGCTCTCCCTGACCCTCACCTGGTCTGCCACAGGGAGCGTGTGACATGCTTGAGGGGCCTCTGGGAAAGTCCTGCTCGTTTCCTGTAAGCTCAAGAAGGATGTCGTGTTCTATTGCGCTAGTACAAAGTGCCCTGGGCCCTGTGGCGGGCAGGGAAAGAGGCGGTGTTCTGTGAGCCGCGGAGAGCTCCAGGGGACTCTGTTCCCGGCCCTCTCCAGAGGAGACCCCACTGTTCAGATGGCCAAGAGGAGCCTCTCAAACAGAGGGCCTGGCCCAGGGCCGGGACTCGGGAATGCTTGTGTGTGAAGAGCTTGCCATGTGCTTCCTCCTCTTCTCTGCTGCTCTTTCTTTCGCTCAGGTACCTGCACCAGTCAGGGGCCCTGACCATGGATGCCCTGGAGGACCCTCCCCTGGAGCCTGTGGAGGGCCCAGAGGAGGACATTGCCGACAAGGTACAGGCTGGAGGCCACGGAGAGCTGGCAGTGTGTCAGGCTGCAGTTGGCAGGGCCGCGGGGAGGGCCTTCTGGGGCACGGGCCTCGTCCTGGCCCCTGGGAGAACACGATCAGGACAGGTAGAGGGGGCACGAGCTGTTGGCCTTGGGATGACCTGCGTCAGGCCGAGGGCAGCAGGTTGATGCTGACAGATTTGTTTCCCAGGCCCGTGGATGAGGATCAGGGACACTCAGCATTGGGGAGGACACCGGCCTGTGGCGGGGGTGGGTACAGACATCAGCTTCTGGAAGGAACTGCCCTGACGGCGCGGGGTGGGGGAAGCTAAGGCATAGACACGTCTGTTGTTTGCATCCCTGGGCGCCAGGGCCTTTTCTCTAGGCTGTATCTGGCGAGACAAGGTCCCTGCCTTCCTGTCCCACGTCAGCATCAGAAGGCTGCCTGGGCTTCCCAGACCCAGGGCCCTGGAGGCGGCAGGTGCTCCACACACCTCGTGCCCCACGGGCTGATGGGACAGCCGCAGCACGGTCTGCCAGCTGCGGCCTAGCTTGCTCCTGAGTCACGAAGTCCCTGGTGCTGCGTCCCGGGTGGTTTCCTCAGGGCCCTGCTGCCGCCGCCTCTGATTCTCAAGCTGCCCTCTGGTTTCCAAGGTGGTCTTCCTGGAGAGACGCGTGTCAGAGCTGGAGAAGGACACCGCAGCCACCGGGGAGCAGCACAGCCGGCTTCGGCAGGAGAACCTCCAGCTGGTGCACAGGTGAGCCAGGGGGCAGCCACGTCCGCAGCCTGTGCCTCCTGCACACCCCGTCTGCGCCCCCACCCCCGCCCCCACTGAATCCTCTGAACCTCGCCAAGCAGGGTCCCCTGCACCGGGAGCTGGAAGCACAGCTCCTGAGCCGCAGGTGAGCCGCCCTGTGGCCTCGGCCCTCCACGTGGCCCTGGACACACAGCGGAGAAAGCGAGGGCTGGGTCCTGCTCACCTGCGCCATGCCCAGAGATCTGACAGCTGCCAATGGGACCCACGCTCAGCTCCTCAGGCAGTCGGAGGGAGCACATTGAACCACAGCCCACCAATCTGGTGGCTGCTGCTGTACCCAGAGCCCTCTCTCAGCCCACTTCCCAGAGAACTGGGGAGTTCCCACTCGACAGGTGTCCCCTGCAGCCACCTGGCAGTCCCCATCTCCCCAACTCTGACACCCTCCCGTCTCCCCGACTCTCACACTCCCCGTCTCCCTGTCTCCCCATCTCTCACACCCCCCGTCTCCCCGTCTCCCCGTCTCCCCGACTCTTAAACCCCCCGTCTCCCCGTCTCCCTGACTCTCACACTCCCCATCTCCCCATCTCCCTGTCTCCCCGTCTCCCCCGTCTCTCACACCCCCTGTCTCCCCATCTCCCCATCTCCCCCGTCTCTGACACCCCCTGTCTCCCCATCTCCCCGTCTCCCCATCTCTCACACTCCCTGTCTCCCCGTCTCTCACACCCCCATCTCCCCCGTCTCTGACACCCCCTGTCTCCCCGTCTCCCCATCTCCCCCGTCTCTCACACCCCCTGTCTCCCCGTCTCCCCGTCTCCCCCGTCTCTCACACCCCCTGTCTCCCTGTCTCCCCCACCCCCTCACCCCCGTCTCCCCATCTCCCCCATCTCTCACACCCCCTGTCTCCCCATCTCCCCGTCTCCCCGTCTCCCCCATCTCTCACACCCCCTGTCTCCCCATCTCCCCATCTCCCCATCTCCCCCATCTCTCACACCCCCTGTCTCCCCATCTCCCTGTCTCCCTGTCTCCCCCACCCCCTTACCCCCGTCTCCCCATCTCCTCGTCTCCCCCATCTCTCACACCCCCTGTCTCCCCGTCTCCCCGTCTCCCCCGTCTCTCACACCCCCTGTCTCCCCATCTCCCCGTCTCCCCGTCTCCCCCGTCTCTCACACCCCCTGTCTCCCCATCTCCCTGTCTCCCCCATCTCTCACACCCCCTGTCTCCCCGTCTCCCCGTCTCTCACACTCCCACCCTCGCACTTGCCCTGGGCACTTGTTGCTGTCTGCGCGCTTTGCCCTACATGACCCGTTGCCCTCAGACTCACCCTGTGAGGCAGGTGCTGCTACTGGGTCTGTTCACAGAGAGGCCCCGGGCCTCAGAGACAGCTGGGCTGTGGCTGGGGTGAGGTCTGTGCCTGCAGAGCCCCCTACCCTCACAGAGCAGGGAGGTGACAGTGTCTCCTTAGGGCCTTGGCCCTCCCTTGAGCACATGGAAGTGCTTAGCCGCAGAGGAGTAGAATGAGTGGGAGCTGGACTGGATGCCAGGACTCCTGCGTGCTGGGCTGGCAGCTGGACAGGGTGCCGGGACTCCTGCGTGCTGGGGTGGCAGCTGGACAGGGTGCCGGGACTCCTGCGTGCTGGGCTGGCAGCTGGACAGGGTGCCGGGACTCCTGCGTGCTGGGCTGGCAGCTGGACAGGGTGCCGGGACTCCTGCGTGCTGGGCTGGCAGCTGCCGACGCCTCTCAGGCCAGGTGCAAAGGCACCACCTTCCGGTGCTGTCACGTTTCTTGTGTTGATGCAGGTGAGCTTGGCAGGGGGAGTGGGCCCTCCAGGTGGTGTCCACATGGAGCTGGGTGCTGTGGGGGCAGAGGCAGTGGGGACACCTGAGAGGCACATGTGGAATCCACAGGAGAGGTTCTTTCCTCTGAACCTCTGTCTTGCCAGGCTGCCTGGGCCTCTCTGGCTCCGACAGGTACTGTCGTGGCCTCAGGCAAGGGCTCTTTGCCTCCGAGCTTCAGTTTCCTTGTGCCTGCCCTGAGGAAGTGACCCGGGCTCTGAGCAGCCCGGACAGCAGCCCGCATGCGCCTGTGTTGGCAGTAGTGCCATCACCGTCACCAGGTGCTGAGCCGCACGACGCCTGACTCGCTCCGGTGCTCATACCCTGCGTTATCAGGTCAGGCCGCCCTCTGAGCCCTGGGGGTGCAGTGCCTCAAGTGAGAGGCAGAAACAGCACCTCCCTTTAGCAAAGTCAAACAGACTTCCCGTGGAGTGGGCCTGCGGTCCAGGATTCCCTGCTCAGTTGAGGCACCTGCCTCCGGCCCTGGCCGCAGAGCCAGGGGAGGGCCGGGCCATGTTGATGGAAGGCTTTGGGCCACGCTTGCCTTCCCAGGTGCGTTGGCAGAAGCTGGACCGGAGACAGAACAGCCAGCACTCGACCCCGGGCACTCTGAGTGGGGTGCTGGCCTCACAGGCAAGGGCTTAGCCCGCTGGGTGCGTTTCCAAAGGTGGTCGTTTCTCCAGGTGGTGTGAGGTTTCGTTTTCCCTCTTTGGAAGTCCACACTTGGTGCCTCCCCCCGCTGCCGCCCCAGCCCCAGTTTCGGGGGTCCTGAGTGGTGCTCACCTCCCTCCTGCACAGCAGTGCCGCGCAGCCTCCTTGAGTTAGCTGCGTCTGCGGACCGCGCGCCCGCTCTGCGGAGCTGCGAGCAGCCTGCTGCTCCAGCGGCCTGGGCTGGGCTGCCCACACGCCTTCTCGGGTTTGCTCTCATTTCCGGATCCCAGGCCGTCTGTCTTGTTCGCTTGCTGAGAGGAGGCCCCCGATGGGTGCCTGCGAAGGGGTGCGTCTTCCCTTCCCCCCCTCCAGTCGGGGTTCAGCTGAGTGTAAGATGATGTTGCGTCAGCTGGCACATGGGCTCCGGCTGCCCCCGTGTGTGTTTCTTGCCTGGGATGTTTTCATGAGGCCTTTGTTGTTTTCTGTGTGGTTTACTCAGTTTCCAGCCTTGAAACCTTCAGCTTCAGAAAGATTTCTAGAATTCTATTTCTTAAAAAATTTTACTTATTTGAAAGGCTCAGAGACAGAGATCTCCCACCTGCTGGGTCATTCCTCAAATACCCCTAACAGCCGGGCTGGGCCAGGCCGAAGCCAGGAGCTGGGAAATCAATCCAGGTCTGCCCCACGTGTGCCAGGGCCCAAGTGCTGGAACCCTCACTGCGGGAGTGCAGCTTGGACTCAAACCCAGGCCTTCCACACGGGCTGTGGGGGCCCAGGTGGCGAGCCTGCCCCTGGGGGTAGACTAAGCCCAGACCTACCCCTAGGGGAGCCCTGAGCCCCATGCCTGCCCCTGGGGGTAAACTGAGCCCATGCCTGCCCCTGGGGGTAGACTGAGCCCATGCCTGCCCCTAGGGGTAGACTGAGCCCATGCCTGCCCCTGGGGTAGACACTGAGCCCATGCCTGCCCCTGGGGGTAGACACTGAGCCCATGCCTGCCCCTGGGGGAGCCCTGAGCCCCATGCCTGCCCCTGGGGGTAGACACTGAGTCCATGCCTGCCCCTGGGGGTTAGCCCTGAGCCCCATGCCTGCCCCTGGGGGTAGACACTGAGCCCCATGCCTGCCCTTGGCGGGTAGCCCTGAGCCCCATGCCTGCCCCTGGGGGTAGACACTGAGCCCATCCCTGCCCCTGGGGGTTAGCCCTGAGCCCATGCCTGCCCTTGGGGGGTAGCCCTGAGCCCCATGCCTGCCCCTGGGGGTAGACACTGAGCCCCATGCCTGCCCCTGGTGGGTAGACTGAGCCCATGCCTGCCCCTGGGGGTAGACACTGAGCCCCATGCCTTCCCCTGGGGGAGCCCTGAGCCCCATGCTTGCCCCTGGGGGTAGACACTGAGCCCCATGCTTGCCCCTGGGGGTAGACACTGAGCCCCATGCCTTCCCCTGGGGGTAGCCCTGAGCCCCATGCTTGCCCCTGGGGGTAGACACTGAGCCCCATGCCTTCCCCTGGGGGAGCCCTGAGCCCCATGCTTGCCGCTGAGGGGTAGCCCTGAGCCCCATGCCTGCCCCTGGGGGGTAACCCCTGAGCCCCATGCCTGCCGCTGAGGGGTAGACACTGAGCCCATGCCTGCCCCTGAGCCCCATGCCTGCCCCTGGGGGGTAACCCCTGAGCCCATGCCTGCCCCTGAGCCCCATGCCTGCCCCTGTGGGGTAACCCCTGAGCCCCATGCCTGCCCCTGGGGGTAGACACTGAGCCCCATGCCTGCCCCTGGTGGGTAGACTGAGCCCATGCCTGCCCCTGGGGGTAGACACTGAGCCCCATGCCTTCCCCTGGGGGAGCCCTGAGCCCCATGCCTGCCCCTGGTGGGTAGACTGAGCCCCATGCCTGCCCCTGTGGGTAGACACTGAGCCCCATGCCTGCCCCTGTGGGTAGACACTGAGCCCATGCCTGCCCCTTTGGGTAGACACTGAGCCCATGCCTGCCCCTGGGGGTAGACACTGAGCCCATGCCTGCCCCTGGGGGTAGACACTGAGCCCCATGCCTGCCCCTGGGGGGTAACCCCGGACCCCATGCCTGCCGCTGGGGGGTAACCCCTGAGCCCCATGCCTGCCCCTGGGGGTAGACACTGAACCCATGCCTGCCGCTGGGGGGTAACCCCGGACCCCATGCCTGCCGCTGGGGTCAGTTCTGTTTCCAGCCTCTCCTGTGCCTGATCTGCCTTCTCTGAAGCCCTGGGCGTTTTCTCTCGTTTTGTTTATTTTCCTTTTCCAGCTTTGTCTTTGTGCCCTTTCGTCTCCCTGTATGTCCTCATTTTTCTCCTTCAACTCCTTCTATTGAAATTTTAAGTTTTTCTTCCCATAGTTTTAGTTGCTGATGGTTTCTGTTACCTGTCCTCTGTCACAGCTGCTTGCATCTCAGGGGTGTGGGACGTCAGCCCTCTGACGTCCACGTCAGGGCCTCCCCCCTGCTGTCTCCACGTGGAGAGTTTTCTCAGAGTCCTGTCTTTGCTTGCCTTGCGCTTTGTGGCACAGACCTTCCTGCGGCATCTGGTAGCCGTTGCCATCCGTTCGCTCTCTGTGCGGAGAAGGCGAGTTCTGTGTCCAGAGCAGGGCTTGGGGCAGGGCTGTACTGCGTCCCTGGGCGGGGCCTGCAGCCTTTCTCTCGGGGATGACCGGTCCCTGTCTCCTGCCGGTGGTCCGCGGGGGTCTAGGAGAGGGCTCCTGGTCCCTTTCCTGTGTTCTCCCTGACACCTGTGTAGCCTGGAAAGGGCCGGGCTGTAGCCCAGGTTCCTGCTTAGCTGTCCCCTCCCCACAACACCTGGGGCTCCAGTGTGCCTGGCAGCCAGCGCTGGACCGGTCCTGGGTGTAGTGTGCTGTGGCCTCACGCACACCCTCGGGAGACAACCCTGGGCTGATTGTGCTGCCCCAGTCTCAGTCATGGCTGATAGGAGCTGACAGTCTCCACAGTCAGGTTGGACATGCGCTCTCTGCCTCCCAGAGACCCTGAGCCTGGCTGGTTGTGCGTAGTGGCTGTGGGCCGAGCAGCTGTGGATAGGCACTGGTGAGCGAAGGCCTCTGTGTGCACTCCTGTCCACAGGCCTCAAGCAGGCAGGGTCAGGTGGGCAGGGGTGCACGAGGGCAAGTGCTGCCACCCCAGACGCCCTCAGTTGGTAGGGGCTGGGGGCCATTGGAGGGGCATCCCCCTCCTGCCCCTTCCTTCGGGGGGCACAGGCTCTCCAGGTCCTGGATCAGCGTCCAGATGCTGCAGGAGAAAGGCAGACCTCCACAGCTGGGGCCACAGGCCCTGGAGCCCTGCTCATGTGCTGTGCTCTGCCCTGACAGAGCCAACGCCCTGGAGGAGCAGCTGAAGGAGCAGGAGCTGCGAGCCTGCGAGACGGTCCTGGGGGAGGCCCGGCGGCAGAAGGAGCTGCTGTGCAGGCTGGAGCGAGAGAAGAGCATCGAGATCGAGAACCTGCAGGCCAGGTAGGCCGGGCCGGCGGCAGTGTGCGGGGGTGAAGTGCTCTCAGAAAAGCAAGACGCAGTGAGGAAAGGCCGGCGGCAGTGTGCAGGGGTGAAGCGCTCTCAGAAAAGCAAGACGCAGTGAGGAAAGGCCGGCGGCAGTGTGCAGGGGTGAAGCGCTCTCAGAAAAGCAAGACGCAGTGAGGAAAGGCCGGCGGCAGTGTGCAGGGGTGAAGCGCTCTCAGAAAAGCAAGACGCAGCGAGGAAAGGCCGGCGGCAGTGTGCAGGGGTGAAGCGCTCTCAGAAAAGCAAGACGCAGCGAGGAAAGGCCGGCGGCAGTGTGCAGGGGTGAAGCGCTCTCAGAAAAGCAAGACGCAGTGAGGAAAGGCCGGCGGCAGTGTGCAGGGGTGAAGTGCTCTCAGAAAAGCAAGACGCAGCGAGGAAAGGCCGGCGGCAGTGTGCGGGGGTGAAGCGCTCTCAGAAAAGCAAGACGCAGCGAGGAAAGGCCGGCGGCAGTGTGCAGGGGTGAAGCGCTCTCAGAAAAGCAAGACGCAGCGAGGAAAGGCCGGCGGCAGTGTGCGGGGGTGAAGCGCTCTCAGAAAAGCAAGACGCAGCGAGGAAAGGCCGGCGGCAGTGTGCGGGGGTGAAGCGCTCTCAGAAAAGCAAGACGCAGCGAGGAAAGGCCGGCGGCAGTGTGCGGGGGTGAAGCGCTCTCAGAAAAGCAAGACGCAGCGAGGAAAGGCCGGCGGCAGTGTGCGGGGGTGAAGCGCTCTCAGAAAAGCAAGACGCAGCGAGGAAAGGCCGGCGGCAGTGTGCGGGGGTGAAGTGCTCTCAGAAAAGCAAGACGCAGCGAGGAAAGGCCGGCGGCAGTGTGCGGGGGTGAAGCGCTCTCAGAAAAGCAAGACGCAGCGAGGAAAGGCCGGCGGCAGTGTGCAGGGGTGAAGCGCTCTCAGAAAAGCAAGACGCAGTGAGGAAAGGCCGGCGGCAGTGTGCAGGGGTGAAGCGCTCTCAGAAAAGCAAGACGCAGCGAGGAAAGGCCGGCGGCAGTGTGCGGGGGTGAAGCGCTCTCAGAAAAGCAAGACGCAGCGAGGAAAGGCCGGCGGCAGTGTGCGGGGGTGAAGCGCTCTCAGAAAAGCAAGACGCAGCGAGGAAAGGCCGGCGGCAGTGTGCGGGGGTGAAGCGCTCTCAGAAAAGCAAGACGCAGCGAGGAAAGGCCGGCGGCAGTGTGCGGGGGTGAAGCGCTCTCAGAAAAGCAAGACGCAGCGAGGAAAGGCTGGCGGCAGTGTGCGGGGGTGAAGCGCTCTCAGAAAAGCAAGACGCAGTGAGGAAAGGCCGGCGGCAGTGTGCAGGGGTGAAGCGCTCTCAGAAAAGCAAGACGCAGTGAGGAAAGGCCGGCGGCAGTGTGCAGGGGTGAAGCGCTCTCAGAAAAGCAAGACGCAGTGAGGAAAGGCCGGCGGCAGTGTGCAGGGGTGAAGCGCTCTCAGAAAAGCAAGACGCAGCGAGGAAAGGCCGGCGGCAGTGTGCAGGGGTGAAGCGCTCTCAGAAAAGCAAGACGCAGTGAGGAAAGGCCGGCGGCAGTGTGCAGGGGTGAAGTGCTCTCAGAAAAGCAAGACGCAGTGAGGAAAGGCCGGCGGCAGTGTGCAGGGGTGAAGTGCTCTCAGAAAAGCAAGACGCAGCGAGGAAAGGCCGGCGGCAGTGTGCGGGGGTGAAGCGCTCTCAGAAAAGCAAGACGCAGCGAGGAAAGGCCGGCGGCAGTGTGCGGGGGTGAAGCGCTCTCAGAAAAGCAAGACGCAGCGAGGAAAGGCCGGCGGCAGTGTGCGGGGGTGAAGCGCTCTCAGAAAAGCAAGACGCAGCGAGGAAAGGCCGGCGGCAGTGTGCGGGGGTGAAGCGCTCTCAGAAAAGCAAGACGCAGTGAGGAAAGGCCGGCGGCAGTGTGCGGGGGTGAAGCGCTCTCAGAAAAGCAAGACGCAGCGAGGAAAGGCCGGCGGCAGTGTGCAGGGGTGAAGCGCTCTCAGAAAAGCAAGACGCAGTGAGGAAAGGCCGGCGGCAGTGTGCGGGGGTGAAGCGCTCTCAGAAAAGCAAGACGCAGTGGGGAAAGGCCGGCGGCCCCGCTGCCCACACCGGCCCTGTGCAGCGGCCCCAGGCGGGGAAGCCGTTTCTTTAAGGCTATTTCATAGTTGGGGAAAAAAGATTTATTTACTTAGTATTTCTAAAGATTTATTTATTTGAAAGGCAGAGTTACGGGGGCGGGGAATCTCTCATCTGCTAATTCCCTCCCCAAATGGCCTCAACAGCTGGAGCTGAGCCAGTCCAAAGCCAGGAGCCAGGAGCCTCTTCCTGGTCTCCCACATGGGTGCAGCACCCAAGGACTTGGGTCGTCTTCGGCTGCTTTCCGAGGCCACAGCAGAGAGCTGGATCGGAAGTGGAGCAGCCGGGACTGGGATCAGCCTACCTGCTGCACCACAACGCTCACCTCGTATTTACTTACTAGAAAGACAGAGTGACAGAGAACGGGGTGGGAAGGAGAGGTCTTCCGTCTGCTAGTTCACTCCCCAAGTGGCCACATGGCTAGAGCTGGGCCAGGCTGAAACCAGCAGCCTGGAACCCATTCAGGTGTCTCCGGTGGGTGGCAGGGGCCCACGTGCCTGGGCCATCATCTTCTGCCCTCCCGACACACCGGCGGGGAGCTGGTCCAGAAGCCGAGCATCTGGGACTGGGAGCTGGCGCTCTGATGCGGCTGCGGTGTTGCAGGTGGCTGCTCAACCTGCGGCGCAGCACTGGCCCGCCCGCGTGCACTCTCACCTGAGCCGTACTGCCTGTGGGGTTTAGAGGCTGCCATTTGAGAGAGCTGATGAAAGGGCAGGCTCGTGGGCTGTGTCTCACCAGGTCCTGAAGCTCGGAAGAGCTCCTGGGCATCTTCACAAGTGGGGCCAGGCGGGGGCTGCACACAGGAGCTGCTTCAGGTCTCCTTGCTTGCCGGCAGTGGGCACCATCTCCTGGCACTCACGGGGCCACGGGGCCCAGGACAGTGTCTTCCTTGGCCTTGGCACGGTGCGGTTGAGTGGGTTCAGCACGGAGCTGGCTTCTTGTCAGAGCGTTTTCTCTGGGACTCCCGCCATCGCCCTGGGGCTGTGGGGTGGGGCCGGGTGAGACACCTACCTCCCTTGCTTGCCCTGGCATGGAGGGGCAGGCACGGGAGGGATGGGATGGGTTCTCTTGAGGCCCTCTGGTGTCGCCAGCTTTTCTGATGACTTCCTGAAAGCCCTCCGCACCCAGTCGCCGTCCCTGTGTCCTGCGCCCTCTTGGCCCCACAGCTTGCTGGGGTGTTCCTGGGGGCCGCATGGGCCCTGAGAAGCCCATGTGGTGAAGATCCGCTGGGTGCGGCCGTGCTGTTGCAGCCCACCGCCCCTCAGGAGGCCACGTCTGTGGATCCAGAGGCGGAGCGCTGCAGCGGCTGCTCAGCGGACGAGGGTGAGAGTGAGACAGAAGGCCTGGGAGGCTGGTGCCTCAGGGACGGGAGGGGCATGGTTGTCAGCCCCCAGGCTGTGTCGGTCACAGTGGCAGGGCTGAGTCAGCCCAGGAAAAGCTGAGCACTTCTGGGGAGGGCCCAGGGACCCTCAGGGGCAGGTTCCTGAGAGCTGGGGCTGTGACCTGCTTATGCCCTCAGTGTCAGTGGCCGTGCCCCCGTCACACGGGAGTCCACTGGCGTGTGATGCTGTCTGTGGCGTGTGAGCCAAGGAAGCCTTCACATAAAGCCGTGTACTGCCCCACGTCCCTCCAGAAGGTGTGGGTGAAAGTCCCCAGTCCTGCCCGTGCTGGGAAGAGGGAAGGTGGGAGGACGGCCTCCGCTGTTGGGGCAGCGCAGTGCCTGTGCGGCTGGAGCCCAGTGCCCGTCAGGTGTGAGGGAGACCAGGAGCCGAGCGCCAGGCAGGGAGAAGGAGGGGAGAGATGGCCCAAGTCCCAGGAGGGAGTGTTGCTGGGCTGTGGGAGAGCAAGGCCAGCTTTGTATTTTCTTCTCTGCTCATAAGTTGTTTGAAATTCATAGAACTGGGACAGCGCTGTGGTGTAGTGGGTAAAGCTGCCACCAGCAGTGCCAGCATCCCATAAGAATGCCAGTTTGTGTCCGGCGGCTCCACTTCCCATCCAGCTCTCTGCTATGGCCTAAGGAAAACAGTAGAAGTTGGCCCCAGTCCTTGGGCTTCTGAACCCGCGTGCAAGACCTGGAAGAAGCTCCTGGCTCCTGGCTTCAGAGTGGCCCAACTTCAGCTGTTGTGGCCATTTGGGGAATGAACCAGCAGATGGAAGATTTCTCTCTCTCTCTCTGCTTCTACCTCTGTAACTCTGCCTTTCAAATAATTTTTTTTTAAGATTTATTTATTTATTTGAAAGTAAGAATTACACACAGAGGAGAGGCAGAGAAAGGTCTTCCATCCGATGGTTCACTCCCCAATTGGCCACAACAGCCGGAGCCGCGCCAATCCAAAGCCAGGAGCCAGGAGCTTCTTCCGGGACTCCCACATGGATGGCAGCACGTGGACCATCTTCCACTGCTTTTCCTAGGTGCATGAGCAGGGAGCTGGATTGGAAGTGGAGCAGCTGAGACTTGAACCTTTGCCAATATGGGATGCCAGCGTCAGAGTTGGCTTTACCCGCCACGCCACAGAGCTGCCTCAACACAATTTGTTTTTCTAGTTGTTTTAAGGGAAAATAACTGGGTAGAGGTGCCTGGATTCTTGAGTTGGAGAGAGAACTGATGAGCCTACTGTGCCCCATTCCTAGCAGGACAGGAGAGAGATTAACAGGCACAGCCGAGCCACATCCCCAAAGCCCCCTGCCCAGCAGTCGGACAGCCCAGAAATACCAGCATCTGCACTTCTCAGGCTCGGAACCAGGCGGCGGCAGCCAGCTGAGGAAGGCTGGTTAGGATGAGGCGCAGACAGGAGGCCTGCTGCCCACACACAGCGGGACTCGTGCTCCCCCGCCCTGAAGAGGGCAGCCACACACAGGAGAGTGGGCACAGCCCAGCCCCCTTGTCCGGCTGACGGCACATCCGGGCTCGAGAGCTCTGACAAGTGCTGGAGACACTTTGTTCCAGGGTGCAGGGGCGCTCGGCTGGCAGGCCTGCAGAGCAGCAACGGTCCCTGCTGGGTGGAGAGCCCCGCACCCCCCACGCTGGCAGGGCTTCCCCTCTCACATGCGCCCTGTGGGCAAGCTGGGCTGGGTTGGAGGGGCTGGTGGGGTGTGCAGCACAGACTAGCAGAATCTGTCTGAGGGACGTGAGCCCCAGGGACGCCGGGCAACCGAAAGGACTCCAGTCCGGAGCGGGGGCGGTTTGAGCAGTGAACCAGTAATGACCCCACCGGACAGACCCAGAGCAGGTCCTGACTGCCTCAGTCCACAGTGGTCAGCAGCAGTGACCGACACACATGGTGGTGGCTGACACACATGGTGGCTGATGACACACACGGCGGTGGCTGACACACATGGCAGTGACTGATGACACACAGTGGTGACAGACACGGCAGTGGCTGATGACACAGATGGCGGTGACTGACGACACACAGCAGCAGCTGATGGACACACACGGCGATGACTGATGACACAGATGGCGGTGACACACGGTAGTGATGGACGCACAGAGTGGTGACTGACAGAAGTGGTGACTGATATGCACGGTGGGGACAAAGTGCGAGTCTTTCTCACAGAGGACTCCAGTGCTGTCTGGGCACCCCAGGTGGGAGGGGGCTCTGAGACCTGCCTCTCCAGAGAGGGGCCGGGCTCAGGGACCAGGGGCCAACCTCCCGAGGACCTGTGGGCAGGTGGATCATGGCCTCCTGGGGGGACGCCTGGCATACACACCTTGGCCAGGGACCAGGTACCTGCCATGGTGTGATGAGGGGGCCCCTCACCTCCATGGGCATCTTCCCAGGACCCACCACCCAGCCTGACCACAAGAAAGCCGCAGACAGACCCGACTCGAGGGCCCTTCTACAAAGCCCACCGCCAGGACTGCCCAGCACAGCCAAGGTTGTGAGAAGGTGGCAGCATGCAGGAGCCATGAGGGCCGTGTGCCGTGTGCCATGTGGCCCCGGTGGTCCTGGCAGCGCTGAAAAGTGCAGAGTGGAGCTTGGTTAATAATGTCCCAGGAGGGTTTTACGCGATGACAGATGTGACACAGTGATAAACAGTGACAGCTGAGAGGGAGCAGGGCGGCTCCAGGAGGACTCTGCACTCTATCTGTAACTGTAAACCTCAGATTATTCCAGAACCCAAACCTAAAAGCCATAGTGGGCGGTACTGCGGCTCACTTGGCTAATCCTCCACCTGTGGCGCTGGCACCCCAGGTTCTAGTTCCGGTCGGGGCACCAGATTCTGTCCCGGTTGCCCCTCTTCCAGGCCAGCTCTCTGCTGTGGCCCGGGAGTGCAGTGGAGGATGGCCCAAGTGCTTGGGCCCTGAACCCCATGGGAGACCAGGAGGAAGCATCTGGCTCTTGCCTTCGGATCGGCGCAGTGCCAGCCGTAGTGGCCATTTTGGGGGTGAACCAATGGAAGGAAGACCTTTCTCTGTCTCTCTGTCTCTCTCTCATCGTCTAACTCTGCCTGTCCAAAAAAAAAAAAAAGAAAAAAGCCACAGTGGGTTATAGAAAACATTGGCCTAGAGCACTTGGGTGGCATAAGGACTCTGAAAACTTCTTGGGGTCTCCTTGAGATCCGGGGCCCTCGTGCCCCACAGAGGTGCGTCCCGGGGAGCAGGTCCCAGCCTTGCTCTCGCCCCAGGCTGCAGCAGCTGGATGAGGAGAACAGTGAGCTCCGGTCCTGCACGCCCTGTCTGAAGGCCAGCATCGAGCGCCTGGAGGAGGTGAGGCCAGGTGGGCCCGGCCTCAGCACCACACTTCACACCAGGGGAGGAGAATGCGCGCGTCAGGGTCTGCGGGCAGGGAGACGACACTGCGCCTTGCTCAGGGCCCAGCTCGGGCCCAGGCTGCCCTTTGCTGGACACTGGGCCCCGCCAAGCCTCTGGCTCTCCCACGAGTCCAGGGGTCACTGCATTCACCAGGGGTCTGCATCCAGGAGGAAGGTCCTTGGAGGCAGAGGCAGCACCACGGGGCTCCCACCCCCCAGCCGTTCCCTGAGCGGTCCCCGTCCCTTCCTCGGCAGCGTCCAGGGAACCTCCAGGATCGGAGGGTCCCCCACACCCCTTGAGTTTGGCTCCTGAGACCCAGAGGAGCCGGGCCGGCCTGGTCCACATGAACGTCCTTCCCACCCCACCCCCTTCTGAGAACAGCCCTGTGGCTCGTGCGTGTGCACCACAGCCACAGGCGCGTGGACGGCTCAGACAGCACAGGGCCCCGCCCGTGACCGCGGGCTGGGACGTGGTTGGGGGACAGCCTGCGTGACGTGACAGGTGCCCATGGCAGGTGTTGCGTTCTTGCAGGAGAAGCGCAAGTTGCTGGATGAGATGGAAGAGTTGACTCTGCGGCTCAGGGAGGAGCAGGAGAAGAAGAGGAAGATGGGGGACAAGCTGAGCCACGAGAGGCACCAGTTCCAGAGGGACAAGGAGGCGACCCAGGAGGTGAGCAGGGCCCCGGGCGGCCTGCGCCCGTGCCCCTGGTGGGCACGGAGGTCGCGAGGCTGACGCAGCCCTGCCTCCCTGTGGCTGCCCGCAGCTGATCGAGGACCTGCGCAGGCAGCTGGAGCACCTGCAGCTCTTCAAGCTGGAGGCCGAGCAGCGGCGGGGCCGCAGCAGCAGCGCAGGCCTGCAGGAGTACAACACCCGCGCCCGCGAGAGCGAGCTGGAGCAAGAGGTCCGCAGGCTGAAGCAGGTGCGGCCCGCCCGCCCCGCCCCCGCCCCGCGGAGCTTCCGGAAGGCTGGGGGGGCAGTGGAGGTCCTCGGCCGGGCCCTGTCCGGGCGGTGACACCCGTGTCCCTGCAGGACAACCGCAGTCTGAAGGAGCAGAACGACGAGCTGAACGGGCAGATCATCACGCTGAGCATCCAGGGCGCCAAGAGCCTCTTCGCCACGTCCTTCTCCGAGTCCTTGGCCGCAGAGATCAGCTCCGTCTCCCGCGACGAGGTAGCGCATCCTGCCCTGGGCTCCTGCCCCGGTCCGCGTGCCGCCGGCTGACCCTTGCTCTCCCCACAGCTCATGGAAGCGATTCAGAAGCAGGAGGAGATCAACTTCCGCCTGCAGGACTACATCGACAGGATCATCGTGGCCATCATGGAGACCAACCCGTCCATCCTGGAGGTCAAGTAGGGGCAGGAAGGCCCAGCCTGCGCTGGAGCTGGGACCCCACCAGCACCCTGGAGTGGCCGCGTCGCACCATGGGGACTGAGACCAGCAAGTGCCATGGCCGTCCCAGCCCGGAGCACGCAGGGACCCCTCGTGCAGCTGGGCTGGGGCAAACAGGGCAGTGGGGGAGGGGGAGGCAGGCCAGCCCCCGGGACGGGAGCCTGCAGCAGGTGAGGGTGTGGCTGGGCTGCTGGCGGCTCTGTCCGCGGCGGCTCGCCTGAGAATGCTCCCGTTTCTGGCAGAGGGGTGTGGGGATGGTTTCTCGGGCTGCGGTGAGCCCCTCATGGCAGGCCCCTTCTCCCACTGTCCAACCCTGTGGGTAAGAAAGGAAGAAAACGGGTCCCCGCCCAAGGTGCTGCCACCCGCACCCGCCCCACAAGTGCCCTGATGCAGAGCCACCCAAGCTGGCCACTGCTGGCTGGCGTACGAACCCCTGCGTCCTCGAGTCAGGAGCGGTGGTGTGGGAAGGAAAGGCTGGCGCGGCCGGCACCGGTCGGGTCTGGCCAGGAGCCGCAGGCCCCGCCACGCTCCCTCAGGCCGTCACCCGTCGGGTGTGGCCACTTGGGCTCAGCCTTGGCCCCAGGATCCTCCCGGCCACACAGCCATTTGAGTGGCCTGACCGTGGCCGCAGTAACTCTCGGGGGCTCTGACTGTCCTGGGGAGGGCCAGGCAGGAGCCCGTGGGGACCCTGTGCTCTGAAACCAGCGCCCGAGATTCCAGCTGGCGGAACTCACTCCCGGATGGGTGGATACCGCTGGCCCCTCTGGCTCGCTGGTGCAGGTGCTGCTTCTCCACGGATGCGGCCTCGCCCGGCCTCCTGAGTCCACGCTCTCTCCAGGCAAAGGCCACGTTTCCTAGGCCGAGTCCAGAGGTCGTGTTCTCCGGGCTCTCTGACTTAGAACGTTGTTCTTCTCCGGGGTGGGGAGGAAGCCGGGGCAGGCTCTCCAGGGACGTGTGAAGCGGAGGAGGCCCTGTTCCTGCTGCTGCTGCCGCTGCCTGGTGCCCGCATTACCCCGAGCAGCAGCGGCACCTGCCTGCCCGCCAGCCTCACGCCCAGGAGCTTGTGTGTGTTCCCGGGGAGGCCCCCGCTCGTGTGCACACGTGTGCTGCCCTGTGTCACTCCTTCCGCCCCAGTGTTGTACATTTCGGGGAAAGCCTTGGGTGTAAATCAGTGTAAACTTGGAGGAGAGATTTTTCTATCATGTAGAGTAGGTATTTTTTATAGATTGAAGGTTGACCAATTTTTTAATACTTTCAAGAGAGAAAACTATGTGTATACACATGAAAATATATATATATATGTATGTATATTATATAAATACTGGAGCCCTGCCTTTCTGTGCCAGGCCCCGGCCCTGATGACACGGGCTTGTGTCTGGGTTCTGCTGGCCGCTCGGCAGTGTGTCTGTAAATACAAACTGCCAGGAGACGCGGGCGAGCACAGAGCAAGCACAGCCTGCACCTGCGCCCACTCTACTGCGTGAAAAGTGGCTCCTCCTGCCTGGATGCAGGGCAGTGCCGGCCAGTGCAGCCTCACCGTCGGCCACCACAGATTAAAGCTGTTACTGTGCACCCGATGGCCGGCTCCTTCCTCTTCACAGTCTTTGGGGCAGGGTCGGGGGCCGGGGGACCTGGCCTAGCCTCCCTCAGAGTGGGCCATTGGTCATCCAGAGACCACAGACTCCCCCGGCTCTGCAGCTTGAGCAAGCCAAGCCCTTGGGAGGCCCCGGGACGACACCACTGTGGGTAGGGTCCAGATCCTGGAGCTCTGCCGAGGCGCCTCTGGACTGGGAGGAGAGGCCCCGCGTGTCCTCAGGGACGGCAGGGCAGTGGGAGAAAGCGTCCCCCAGGAGGGCCGTGCACACAGCACCAAGGCAGAGGCTCCAGAGGGGGTCAGGAAGCCCTGGGGGAGGGCAGGGATGAGGAGTGTGCTGCCACTGCGGTCACCGGGGAGGTACCAGGCCTGGCTGCGAGGGCTGCTCTCACCTAAAGGCCCTACAACATGCTTGGAAAGCTGGACTGGGGCTGGCCTTGTGGTGCGGTGGGCTAAGCCTGCGCCCGTGCAGGTCCCGGCTGTTCCTCTTCCGATCCAGCTGTCCGCTATGGCCTGAGGGCTTGGGCCCTGCTTCTGGGAGATCCAGAGGACGTCCTGGCTTCTGGCTTCAGATCGGCCCAGCTCTGGCTTTTGCAGCCACTTGGGGAGTGAACCAGCAGATGGAAGACCTTTCTCTCCCTCTCTCTCTGCCTCTCAGATAAATTTACAAACAAACAAAACAGCCTGGACTGGAACCAGCACTCCTGTATGATATTAAAAATAATAATAAAAAAACTGGGCCCCCCAGCCCGGGCACCCCTGAAGGGGCAGCCACCCCTCGGCAGCTCTCCTGAGATGGAGAAACAGGGCTGAGGAGACCAGCCCACTTGGTTCCAGCTGCTGCCCCTGGCCAATGACAAGAGGGATGATGGCCTGGAGGCTGTGCCAGAGGGGGCGGAGAGGTGCCCTGGACGCTGAGGACTGAGGAGGAAACGGGTGTGGGCGTGTCCAAGGCCACGCTTCTGCCCCGAGCGTGCGTCTGCCAGGCAGCAGCAGGGCCCACCCCTGCCTAAAGTAGAGAGGTCTCGGGAGGAGGTGAATGGACTCGTGCTGATAGCCCACCACGGCCTGGTGCACCTCCATTTCTTTCCATTATTTTTTTCATATTTATTAATTTATTTGAAAGGCAGAGTTAGAGAAAGAAGGAAAGAGATTTTCCATCAATTGGTTCATTCCTCATATGGCCACAACGGCCAGAGCTGGGCTGATCAGGAGCCAGGAGCATCTCCTGGGTCTCCCACGTGGGTGCAGGGGCCCAAGCACCTGGGCCACCGTCTGCTGCTTTCCGGTGCAGTCGCGGGGAGCTGGATCAGAAGTGGAGCAGCCGGGACTCTTTAACAGTAGCCCACGTGGGAGGCCGGCAGCACAAGCAGCAGCTTTACCCACTATGCACAGTGCCAGCCCCTCCTTCCGCTGTCCCAAACATACGGGGCCTGTCCAGGCCAGGCTGCCCCTCACTGTGCTGCTGTCTCGGGTCTCCAGCCCAAGGGAGACAGGACCCCTCCCCCACTGGGGACATGATGGCCATCTGCAGATAGGAACAGCTTCCCAGGGAGAATCCCGGGAGCAAACCGAGGTGGTGTCCCCAAGGGTGTCCCTGAGGAAGCCTGTGCCACCAGGTGTGCGGCCACCACCGAGGTGGTGTTCCCAAGGAAGCCTGTGCCGCCGGGTGTGCCGTCACCACCGAGGGGTGTCCCCAAGGAAGCCTGTGTCGCCACCACCGAGGTGGTGTTCCCGAGGAAGCCTGTGCCGCCGGGTGTGCCGTCACCACCGAGGGGTGTCCCCAAGGAAGCCTGTGCCGCCACCACCGAGGTGGTGTTCCCGAGGAAGCCTGTGTCGCTGGGTGTGCCGTCACCACCGAGGTGGTGTCCCCAAGGAAGCCTGTGTCGCTGGGTGTGCCGTCACCACCGAGGTGGTGTCCCCAAGGAAGCCTGTGCCGCCACCACCAAGGTGGTGTCGCCAAGGAAGCCTGTGCCGCCGGGTGTGCCGTCACCACCGAGGGGTGTCCCCGAGGAAGCCTGTGCCGCCGGGTGTGCCGTCACCACCGAGGGGTGTCCCCGAGGAAGCCTGTGCCCCTGGGTTATGGCCGCCCGGCCACAGGGCTGCCACACTGGGCGTGCAGCAGGCCGGTGCCCGCTCCTGCAGGTCCTGTGTCCAACCTCCCAGGGGTGGGTCCGCTCTGCCTCTGCCCCTCCCCGCGGGCCCAGCCACTCTGCCGAAGGGACTTGTGGCCTTGTCACCACCTGCCAGACAGCACCCCAGCCCCTCCGCAGTCCTGGGGACAGGTGCAGGGCCAGGGACCACCCATTTACTGCTCTATGCGGTGGTCTGAGAGACAGATCTCCCATCTGCTGGTTCACTCCCCGAATGCCTTCGACACCCAGGGCTGGCCAGGCCCAAGCTAGGACCTAGGAGCTCCTTCTGGGTCTTCCACACGGGTGGCAGGGACCCAACCCCTTGAGCCATCACTGCCTCCGGGGGTGCACAGCAGCAGGAAGCCAGGACCCCAGTACGGGATGCAGGCATCCCAAGTGGTACTTGAACAAAATCCTCCCAAGGCTGGGAGGCAACTTCCATATACTGCCTCTCGCCCCTAAATGCCCTCAACGGCCAGGGCTGGGCGAGGCTGGAGCCGGGTCTCCCACCTCCCAGTGGGCACACAGCAGGAAGCTGGGCTCAGCCGCAGAGTGGGGACTGGAGCCCAGGTGGCCTCACAACCCCCTGCCGGACGCCCGCCCCGTTCTTGGACGCACGGAGAGGCGGTCCCGGGCGCGCTGGCTTCCCTAGGTCTGCGGGGCCCCCAAAGCCTGCAGCAGCTACAGCACCGAGCGGCCCCAGTGCACAGCTCTGCCTGCCCACCCCAGCCTCCCCCCGCGCGGGGTCTCCTAAGGGTGGTGCTCACCCCGCCCGTCTCTGCACGCCGCAGGTGGACTGGGTGCTCGGGCACTGGGCCCCCGCCCCGCTGTGGGAGACCTGGTGGTGGCGGGCATTCGGGGACGGAACCAGCACAGCGAAGGCGCCTCTCCGTCCAAGCTTTTCAGACTAAGGAAGTTTCAGTAACTTCGACTTCCCACCGAAACAGGCCCGGACCGTCCGCTAGGCGGCTGCTGCCCTCCCCAGACCGCAGCCATACGTGGTCAGAGGCCACCCACGGCCACCCGGGGTGGACAGGCAGGGTCTGAGGGCCACCTGTGGCCCTGCCAGTGTTCCAGGGCAGGGGGCGGGGACAGAGGCCGTCAGCCGCTCACTCCGGAAGCCACCTCTGCCCTGGCTTCGCCCTGGCCGAAGGCCCTGCCGCGCGGGCTCGGGCCCGTGGACCGACCACCCCTGGCTCCAGTCCATCTTGCTCACAACCTCACAGCACCGCCGCGCTTCCGCGTCGCCCGCTGCACGGCAGGGGCCTCTCCCCACCCCCCGCGGCCGTCCCTGAGGCCCCTGGACATCGCCACGCCGCCGGGGCCCTCCAGGGACCGAGCCCAGCTGCTCGGAGGGCCGGGGGCAGAGGCCCGGGGCTGGGCTGAGGGCTGCGAGCGTCGCCCTGATCCTCTCAGCGGCCCGGCGCGGCGGCAGGCCCGGAAACGGACACTCCCAGCGGCAAGGCGGAGGGACCCGCGTCGGCCGGCGACAGGACCCCCGCGCGGGCGCAGCCGGACGGCCAGCAGCGAGGGCATTCGGGTGCCCGGGGCGGCCCGAGAAGACGCCCCGCCCACGAGAACACTGCACGCGCCGGCGCCCTCGCGGGGCATTGTGGGAGTGGCAGCCCTGCGCCCTCCTCGGCACCCGCCCCGCACACGCACCCACTCCGCATTAAACGGCTCTCGGGGCGCCGCTGGGGTCCGACGCCCTGCTCTCGGCTGCCGCCCCCGCAGCGCCCATTCGGCGGGCGGCCGGCCCCAGAGGTGCCTCGGGGACTACAATTCCCGGCGCGCCTCGCGCGGCGCCGCCGCTCGGCGCGCGGCCTTGTGGGAGCTGTAGTCCGCGCGCGATTCACAGCGCCGCGTGCGCCCCCGGCGCGCCGTAGCCTCAGGCCCCGGCCGGGCGCTACGCTACGGAGGTGGCGTAAGGCGGGCGCCTGACGCGGGCCGGGGCCGGGGCCGGACCGGGGCCGGACCGGGGCCGGGAGCTGGGCGCCTCTGCGACTGCGGCGCTCGTGGGGCCGCCCTGGCTGCACGGTCGCCGGCGAGAGGGGCCGCGCGGCTCTCCGGAGGCAGGAGTTGTGGATCGGCTGGCGGTGACGAGCGGGCCCCGGGCCAGGGCCGCGCCTCCCGGGCCGCAGGGTCTGAGGCGGCAACGCCGGGCTGCGGAGGTGAGTCCCGCGCGCCGGGCCGGGGCCGGGGGCCAGAGATGGGGACCCCGCGGGGATCGCGGCTGCCACCGCAGGCCTGGCGCGGCGCGGGTGGCCTCCGGGGGCCGGCCCGCCCGGGCTCCGGGTCGAGGGCAGGGGCGGCCGGGCCCTCGGAGCCGGGTCTGCTGCTGCCCCGCCGGCGCCCGCCGGCGTCGGCGAGAGCCCCCAGCGGGCCCCGGCGCAGCTGCGGAGCGCGGAGCGCGTAAAGGCGGGAAGCCGGCGCGGACCCGGTCCCGGGAGTCCCTGGAGGCGGCCGCCGCCCCCGCCTCGCCCCGGCCTGTCCTTGAGCGCCCTTACTGTCCGGGCGGAGCGCCCGCTCTCGGGCCGCCTTCCAGGAGGAGGCGCCGCGCACCGGCCTCCCCGCCAGCCCGGGGCCCCGCGCACCGGCCTCCCTGCCAGCCCGGGGCCCGAGCCCGAGCCCGAGCCCGAGCCCGGGGCCATCCCGCACTTGCTCTTCCCGGCTGCCCTGGGGCTGGAGCTGGGCCGCGGGGAAGTTACGGGAAGCCACAGCTCTTCCTGCTGGCGGCGCTGGGCCCCTGGTGGTCCTGACCGGGAGACCCGTGCCCTGTGGCCGGGAAGTGCTGGCCGGCGGCCCGGCCGGGTCTCCAGAGCGCTGGAGGTCGTGACCCGACTGCCCGGGCCCTGCAGCAGCCAGGAGGCCTAGAACGCGCGTCCAGGCCTGGGTGTGGGGTCCACTAGGGAAGCCTCCAGCGGTCCTGGTCTTGCCAGAGTGGGGGTCGCAGGTGAGGGCGCCCCCAGTGCCTCCCTCCCCCAGTCTGGGCTGGGGCAGCTGAGTGAGCTTCCCCCGCGTGGCGGGCCGGAGAGAGTTAGCCTGTGGCCAGCCTGGCCCAGACGGCTCCTGCAGGTCAGCTCAGCCTGGGAGTCAGGACCTGGAGGGAGCTGCCCGTCTGCGTGCCGGTCCCCTAGCGCCGGGTGTGGAGGGGGCGGGGGGGTCTCTGCCACTTCATCTCCCTGCTCTGCCCTGGCAGGGACAGTGTCCGTGCCAGGCTCTCCTCCTGCATGGCTGCATTCGTCCCCGGCCTCGGGGCAGCACCCTGGGAAGCCCCGTTGACGGATGGGGAAACCGAGGCGGAGGGCCGGAGGGAGCCGAGCCTCCCTTCCGCCTCCTCCCACCACCTCGCCCGTGGCGGTTGGAAAGGGGCCCGGAAGTCCTCGGAAGTGAGTCCTGCCCGGTCAGCAGGCCGAGCGGCCGTGACCCTGCAGTGTGGCCCTGGCGCGCAGGGCCTCTGCTCGCCAGGAAGGCAAACAGCAAACCACTTGGGCTCTTTGAAACACAGGTCCGGAAGCCCGGGAATGGTAGTGACTTGTCCCACCCGCGCTCCTCCTGGGCTGCCACCGGGCCTGGACCGTGAGGCCGGAGTGATGCCAGGCGCAGAGCGTGAGTTTGCTCGGCTTCTTCCTGCAGTGTTGAGTCTGGGCCCTGCACCGCTGCCTGGGCCGCGGCCCTCACTGCCCTGTCCCCGTCGGGCACCCACACCCGCACGGCAGGAGCGCCCCTAGGCTCAGGCTGGCGCGCCCCGCCCGGCCGGCAGAGCGCAGTGGGTTTCCGCGCCGTCCAGCCACCGCCAACTGCTGAGCCTCCCCTGTGCGAGCCACGTGGCCCCACCCTGCCCTGCTGAGAATGCCCGAGGCTGTGCACCCCTGCTGCTCTGCTGCCCCCCTGCCAGCGCCCGCCCTTCCCAGCCCTGCGCCGGGCAGGTGGTCAGTGCGTGACATCGGTCAGCTGCTCACCACGGGTGTCCCCGGCCGTTCGGGTTCTGAAGGCTGAGGGGCCTCCCAGGTGGTCCCGAAAGGCAGCCCCAACCGCGGCTTGGAGTGAGGATGGACTTGCTGACCTGTGCGCCTGCCTGGGTGTCCCACTCAGGGAGGCTGTGGGCTGAGGCCGGGCTGGAGGCCCTGTGACTGCAGGAGACCTTGCGATGAGAGGTCGGGGGGCCCCTGGAGTCTGTCGGCAGCTGCATCGGTGCCTCCGGGGCAGGGCCTGGCCCCACACACCCAGGAGGGGCAGTGTGGGGCCCTCGCTGCCCCTTGCGCTCCCTGAGGAGCCTCCACGGCTTGCCGTGTAGGAAGGCAGATTCCAGGGCACCAGGTGGACTTGCTCAGATCCGGCTGCTGCGACCGAGTGGGCTGCACCCACCCGCACCCCCTCCTGGGCCTGGGAAACAGACCCTGGCCCCGGGGCCGCCGTCTCCGTGTCCCCTGGTGGCCGGCCAGAGGACGCGCCTGGACGGGGCTTCAGGGTGTCCGGGGAGCCAGGCGCACAGCTGCTGTGAAGGCGCGGTGCAGGTGCATCCGCAGAGGCCTGCTCGCTGCCCAGGGGCTCCTCTCACGCCCTCCCCCTCCGCGGGCCCTCCAACGTTGCCCCTTGGGAGGGGGCGGGGAGTTCTGGAGGCCCTGCCCCTCAGAAGAGGTGGCGGGAGGCCCCTCTGAGCTGCTCTCCGGAGCCCAGGCCCGTGACCCCTGTCCTGCCGCCCCTTGGCAGCGGCCTATCTGGGCCTTGTCTCTGTTGGGAGTAGCTTTGCCCCGAGCCGAAGTCTGGAATCCCGGGGGTGTTTGCGCTCCCTGACGGCACCGTTGTTCACAGTTTTCTTGCTGGTGGTGCATCAGCGAGGTAGTGCCAGAGAGGGCGCACGGCTACCTGCCCTCCTGCCGGGAGGCAGCCGGGCCAGGCGGGCATGGCCCTGTGTTCCCTGCGGCGCAGCCTTCCTGGGGCGGTGCCGGGGCCGGCTCCCTGGAGCCCCCAGCCAGCGGCTGGAGCCGTGGGGCGGCAGAGACGTGCGGTTGAGGGAGCGCTCCCTGTCTGCTGCAGGTGGAGAGGGCGTGGCGCGCGTCTCCCCACGCCTAGTGGGAGGTGCTTGTGTGCTTCTGGGTCCCAGAGCCTGCACTTGGCTCACAGGGGGTGTTTCTGGTTTTCAGCGGAGCCTCCACGGGCCACTCCAGCGAGGTCAGCTGAGCCCCGCCTCCCCTGTGCTGCTGTGCTCATGTAAGAAGGAGATGGGTGAGCGAGGGAGGAGGCAGAGACCTCACGGTGTGGTGGCTGCCCCGCTGGCAGCTGGAGTGGCTGGGTGACGCCAGGGCCTGGGGCCAGGGGAGGCGTGGCTGGCGAACTCTCCCCCCGGGCGCCTGTCCTTGCCAGCGCCCAGGAAGCCTGGGCTGCCCTCCCTGGCTCGAGTGTCTGCAGCCCTGCCCGTGGACGGCTGCCCGAGGTCTGTTCCTCGTAGTGGCCCAGGCCCAGGGCGGTCGGGACAGGATCTTGGGCAACCCTGTTCGCCGTCCAGGCAGGTCCAGAGTTGGCTGCAGGCCTTTCGGACTGGACTGGACAGGCTGGGTGCCTCTGGCCAGGGCAGTGAGGAGCTAAGCGCACCCCTCCCCCAGCCGTGTCCTCCTTCAGATGTAGGACAGACGGATGCAGCTTCTTTTTTTTTTCTTTTTGAAGATTTATTTAATTATTTGAAAGAGTTACAGAGAAGGAGAGACAGAGAGAGTTTTCTTCCATCTGCTGCTTCACTCTCCAGATGGCCACAACGGCCATTGCTGGGCCAGGCTGAAGTGAGGAGCCAGGCGCTTCTTCTGGGTCTCCACGAGGGTCAGGGGTGGAAGTACTGGGGTCTTCCTCCTCTGCTCTCCCAGGCGCATCAGTGGGGAGCTGGAGCCGAAGTGGAGCAGCGGGCCTGGCACTGGTGCCCGTCGGAGAGGCCAGCACTGCTGGAGGCGGCTCTGCCCTCTGCCACAGCGCCAGCCCTGCACCTTTATCTTTCAGTGTTCATTTGTTTACGTTCATACACTTGAAAGGGAGGCTGGGGGCCAGGGCGGGGAGACCTCCGTCTGCTGGTTCACTCCCAAAATGAACCAGGCCAAAGCCAGGAGCCTGGGACTCTATCAGGTGGCCCGTCCACACGGGCCCGAGCAGGGGCCCAAGCACTTGCGCCAACACCTGCGGCTTCCCAGAGTGCACAGCAAGACGCTGTATCAAAAGCAGAGCAGCCAGGCCTGGGATGCAGGTCGCGAGCTGCGGCTAACACGCTGCGCCACGGCGTCCACCCCGTCACAGAGGACGGGGACGTCCTCCGGGAGCTCCAGGCTGAAGCTGAGGGCGGGGCCAGGGCCGGGACCCTGTGTCTGGTGCGGACTGCTCTGCAGGGGACTTGGCCTGCTGCAGATAAGCCCGGAGGCCAGGGGTCAGAGTCCAGAGCCTTCCCTGAGGGAGCCATCCAGGTGCGTCTGGCCTTGGGTGAGTCACTCGCACACGCTGGGCTGCTCGGTGGATTTGTGGAGCAGAAAGGGGGAAGTGCTGAGAGTGGGGTGCCCCCTGGGTGGTGCCAGGCCCCGGAGACCCGCTGCCCTGACGCAGCCTGGCTCTCGGCACTCGGAAGCTTCCTGCTAAAGGAAGGCTCGCTGCCCAAGTGCAGGCCCCCGTGCTGGCACTCGTGCCGAGGGCCCTGTCGCTGTGGAGGGGACCTGCCAGTCCCCCCCGGGTGCAGCCCTGGCCTGGCTGCTGGGGGAGGACGGGAAAGGGCTCTCCCCCTGGTCCTGGTCCTCCCTCGTGTCAGCGGGGGCAGAGGCCGAGCTGCGGTCCCCGGCCACAGGGCCTGGCTGAACCATGCCCTGGTGGTGGCTTGTCTTTGGCGTCACATCTGGACCAGCAGCCTCCTGGCCGGGGCACGGTGGCGTGGCCGTGGGTGCTGGGCTGGGCCTGGTGCGCTGCCTCTCCCCTCCCCCACGCCCCCGTCTCCGTGGGGGTGGTCCTGGGGTTGCGGCATGGCGGTGGTGTGGGGAGAGTCCTTAATCAGACTCAGGGCCCCGGGAGGCAGGTGCCTGCCTCAGCCACGGGCTTGGTGGTGGAGTTGTAGAGCAGAGCCCCACCCCTGCCTGCCACATCACACAGGGGAGGTGGGGCCACCGTGAGTCACCAAGGTGTGGTGTGTGGGCAGACACACTGCGGCACTGCACGGCACCAGCCCCAGAGCGTGGCTCTGTCCCCGGGGAGACCAGAGGGAGGGCCCAGGGTCAGCGGATGGAGCTGAGATGGCGGTGGTGGGAGCAGGGAGCGGGGGGCTCGATGGGTCTCTGCTAGGACCAGGCTGCCCCGGTAGAGAGGGTGACCTTGCCCTGCCTACGCTGCGTCCTCCCGAAGAGGAGCCCACCTGCTCTTCTGACGGCTTAGGGAGGGCCTGCCGGTGCCAGGGCTGCGCCTCCAGGTGTCCCCAAGGCCAGATGTAGGCCACACCTTGTGTGAAACTGGGGCAGCCATGCCAGATGAGGGCGGGTCTCAGGGTGTGGCCTGGTGGGGGACCCTTGGCCGAGCCTGTGGGCAGCTCCCCTTGGTCCCCCTGCGTCCCTGTGCCGTGGCCTCTGGCTGTTGCACGTGCTGGTGCTGTGGTAACGCGTGGACTCGGGTTCTGAGTGTTGCTGCCTGCTGTGTGCAAGCGCCTAAAACAGTGTAGTGTGCAGCCGAGCACACAGGTGAGTGACGGGCCTAGAACCTGGCACCAGCAGCCCTGCGGGGAGCGTGGCTCTGCCCGCCCTGTGGAGCCCCTCCCACCCCCGCCACCCACTCCCTCCTCAGAGCCCCTCCCTGGGCCACCTGCTTACCTCTGTGCCTGGGCCCTGGAGGGTGGACGAGACCTCGTCTTCCGCTCTGTGGGTTCCATCCCCAGCGTCCTGGCCAGGGGCTCTGCTGTGCTAACAGCCCCAGGGCTGCTGCCCAGTCCTGCCACAGAGGCGTCCTCCACTACACTTCTCACCCCCACACGCCCCAGAAGCCTGGGGGGGGGTCCCAAGGGGAGCCCTGGAGCCCACTCACCCCCGATGGGCACTGAAACTGCCCGAAGGCCCTGTCTTGTCCCCAGCCGGAGGACGGTCTCACCACCCCATGGGGGCCTCTCCTCAGGGGATGTTTGGGGCAACATCGGGCCTGGGAATCACCCAGGTGCCCAGGGCGGCTCTTCTGGAGCCGGCAGTCCGAGACCCGTCTTCCTGTAGGCCGTCTCTCCTCTTTGTCCCACAACAGGAGACTGTAATGTCTCCACCCTCCCTGGGGAGGCCCATCCCTGACAGGCTGCCCAGGACTGCTGGACACCTCTCCCAGGCCGGTGAGGGCATCGGTGAGGGCAGGGGGTCCTTGGAGCTGCTTCGTGCAGGGCGCTGCGTCCTCCACGTGGGACCCAGGTGTCTTCCCTGGAGGACGGGGCAGGTGGTCCCCGGAAGCGGGTGGGTCGGTGAGGCTGGGGGACTGAGGTGTACAGCCCTCTGCTTTCCGGTGAGTGTGGCGGAGCAGCTCGTGCCACCGTGGCTGCTCTGCCGGCCATGGCTCCCAGCCCCGAGCACTCCGCAGTGCAGAGGGGGCCCCAGTGTCGTGTCTGACCCTGGCTGGTGTGGGACTGGCGGCCTGCTGCTGAGCGTGCCGTGTGCCGTGTGCACTTCGCCGCTGGCACCCGTGGCATGTCCACGCTGAGACACATACAGCACGAGTTCTGGAGCCCAGCCAGAGAGCGGTGCCGAGTGTCTCAGAAGTACTCCGTGATGACGTCATACCACGCCGCGGCTGCTGGGAGATCTGAGCCTGTGTCTGGCTCCTGTCCCCCCAGTCGCCCCCCTTCTAGGACCACACGGGCGGCACCTCCAGCTCTGACATGGAGATCAGGGAGCAGCTGTGTCCCAGGAAAACTGTGGACACTGGAATTTGGATTTCATGTCGCTTTCGCCTCCCAGAGAGTATCATTTTCCTGAGTGTTAAAGTCGTCCTCAGTGTGCCTGCTCTGCCCGTGTGCTCCGTGCACCCGGTGCTGCTAGTTTGACCCAGTGCCGGCTCCTGAGTTCCAGGGACTTCATTCAGAAGTGGGGAGAAGGGAGCTGTGGCCCACGGGGTGGAGGCAGACGGGCAGCTGACAGACCACGGTCAGCAGGTCAAGCTGCCACCGGGACACCCGCATCCCACAAAGGAGGGGCTGGGTTCAAGTCCACCTGCACTTCGGGTCCAGCTGCCTGCTAATGGACGTGGGAGACAGCAAGTGAGGGCTCCAGTGCTCGGCCCGTACCCACGTGGGAGCCCTGGATGAGTTCCTGGCTGTTGGCAGCGTTCAGGGGATGAAACAGTAGATGGAAGACATTTCTCTCCCTCCCTCCCTCTCTCTCTGACCTGCTTTCCAAGTAGATGAAAATAAACGTTCAAAGAAAAAAGAGTACTGACGAGGAAGAAAGCCAGCCAGCCAGCGAGCCAGCCTTGATCCCTAGGCACCCATGCACGTCACTCACGTGCCAGGAGGGTGTCAGGGTCTCCCCCTCAGCCACAGGGCCCAGGATAGTGTCCCTGGAAGCCGGTCCCCTGACAGAGGCTCCGGCCGGCTTCCGCTTCCTCTCCAGCCACCCAGGAGAGGGCGGTGAGCCTCTGGAGGGAAGGCCCGGGCCACAGCGGACTCTGGTCTCCTTGGGTTTCTGCAGATGGGGTCCTGCCTGGGGTGTAGGGGTTTGTTCTGGGGGCTCCACAGTAGCACGTGGGCAGCAGCGCTGCCACCCGTCCCCTGCTGCTGCGGCCTGGCCCAGCCCTGCTCTCTCCCTGTTCCGCGACCCCCACTTGACCCTTTGTTCTGCAATAAAGCGCAGTTGTGTGATCTCTTTGGAGACCAGAGACAAGCGATGTGGGGGTTGATGGGTCTTCTGGGCAGGGTGGCCTCCATCCTGGCCCCAACACCCTGCAGGCTGTGGCTGGCTGTGGCCCCGGCCGTGGGTGGGCCCCCATGGCACAGAGGGACACAGGGCACCTCCCCACGTGGGCCCATCCCGGGCCACTCAGCATGCTGGGAGCTTCTCCCAGGGCTCTGAGGCTTCGTGTGTGAGGCTTTGTGTGAGTCATGCTGTTTTTCTCTTTTCGCTCTCTCTGTTTATCTTTGTTGTGGTGTCGCTGACCAGCCGGCCGCCTGTCTCCGGCGTGGGCACTCTCCTCCCTCCATGCTCCACTTCGCCCGCTGCCGGCCAGAGGTGACCAGGCCTGGCTCTCAGCGTGGCTGCTGTCAGGGGGGCCATGGGGAGCTCTGCCTCCTCCCTGGCCACCGAGACCGAGTCGGACCACGGCTTCCCCGGGGGGCCACCCTACCCAGGGCCCCCGGCAGCGGCTGGCTGGTGTAGGAGCGGCCCTGGGGGGCCTGTCTGGGGAGGCGCCCTGGTCACCCGGCAGCACCAGCCCCTGCACCCCCGGGCCCGCAGGTAAGAAGGTGGGGAGAGGGTGGCCCTGAAGGGTCTCTCGGGTGCTTGCAAAGGGGGGTCCGCCTTAGGGTTCCCCAGCAGCTCACTGCCAAGCAGACGAGAGCTGAGAGGCCCTGGGCTGTGTGTGCCCTGGTGGACCAGGTGTGGGGCTGGGGGAAGCAGTGGGCCCTGGACCCCTGTGGCTGCCTGCTGCCCACCTGTCTCTGGTGCCGGTGTGCCGGTGTGGCTGATGTGGGGCAGGTCGCCCCCTCCCTGAGACCCCTGTCCTGTGGCCTCACCAGACTGATTCCTGGGGCTTGGGGGGCCTTGGGGCGATGCGGCAGTAGTAGCCCCTGCCTTCATGGGGTTCTCCAGCTTGTGTTCCACAGGCACAGGCTCCTCCCTCTGCCCTCCGGGGAGCTGGCACGGTCAGGCCTGGGGGGTCCCTGGTGCACTAGCGAGGCTCTAGGCAGGTTGGCGTGTAGGGCCAGTGGTGGGGGTCCACCCTAGAGAACGAGGAGCTGGGGGCAGTCTTGAGGTCCTGAGAGGGATGCTGGGAAGCCGGCCCGTGGCTGACACCATGGGGACAGTGGAGGAAAGTAAGGGAGGTGCCTTCCCCGCTCCTGTTGCCGCCACACTGGCGACGCTCCGCTGAGCAGCTCTGTTGAGATGTAACTCGGTCACCGTCAGACCCCACCGTGAGCCACAGTGGGCTCCTGGGGTCGGGTGGCCATCCCACAGTCCAGTGCCGCAGCGGCTCTGTCGCCGCTCGGCCCCAGACCCGCCCACTGAGCTTCCCTGGAGAGCTGGGCAGTGGAGGCCGTCTTCAGGCCCATCCCTGTGGGCGTGGCTGAGGAGGGCCGCTGGCTGGCTGCCCCCGCCTTGCTGGTGAGGCTGCCGATGGCCTGGTTCGCTCTGCGTGGCCCGTGCTGTCCTTTCTGGGGCGGATGCCTAGGAGCGAGTCCCTGGGCCCAGCTTAGGTTGTAGAGCTTTCTGGGAAGCAGCCCAGCTGTTGCCCCAAGTGGCTGTGCCCTTGGAGCTCCCCCAGCGGTGCTGGGCAGGGGCACTCGCTGCTGTCGTGACTGACCTCTGCCTTCCTGGCACACTCGCGTCAGGGTCCTGAGGCATTGTGGCGGGAGAGCAGCCTCCTCGGAGGCCATTGCCCGCCGCGCGTGGGCTCGTGGGCTCCATTTTTTCCAAGTTTGTGAAAGTGAAGGCTTCTGAGGTTCAGAACTTGGTTCTTCCGAGTCGCATTTTTCAAATGGACCTGGATGTGGTCTCTTGGCCTGTTGAACCGTCAGTGGTGCAGACGTGCGGGAGCCCTTCCGTCCTCCTCTGGAGAGGACGGGCACTCGGTCCGGGGTCCCAGCCCGTGGGAGGCCTGGCCAGCTGGAGCACCCCAGGCAGTCTGTCCACTGCTGCCTGGCAACAGGCCCTGCACTTGGCACTCGGCTTAGGGTTGCCTGGGCCGCCAGAAAGTGGACTAGTGCTGGCCTTGGCTCTGGCTCCAGGGAGAGAGTGGAGCAAAGACCAGCAGCAGCAGAGGTATAGGTCCTACCGTGTGTGTGCGTGTGAGAGAGTGTGCGTGTGAGACTGAATGAGAGAATGTGTGTGTGAGAGACTGAGAGAATGTGTGTAGAGGGTGTGGGAGACAATGTGTGTGTGAGTGCGAGAGACTGAGAATGTGTGTGAGCGAATGTTGGGGGTGCCTGTGGCACCCTAATGTCTGCTGATGCAGCGTGCCCCTCCCCGGGTTCCCGCCCCAGACAGCTGCCCGTCCACGTCTCCTGAGAGCTCAAGGCAGAGCACCCAAGTCAGATCAGGGGCAGGTGCAGGTCGTGACCCCGAGGGCTCCAGGCAAGGACCACACAGAGGGGACGTGTCTGGTCGAGCAGAAGGCAGGTGGGGACACTGCTCTGGGCCCACACGAGCACAGGACAGGTCTGGCAGACCCCCTCACCCGGCTCTGACAGCAGGCACTGGGGCCAGGAAGGCACGGTGGAGAACCCTGATGCACTGGCGGCTGCCCACGGCACTTCAGGAAAGCACGTGCTGTCACCCCAGTGACCACCCCCAGGTGTGGCTGGCACGGCCTGCACTCTCCCCTCTAGCCCACTGTATCCGACCCTCTGCCCTTGGTGCCGCTCACCTCGGTCACCAAGCAGCCGGCCAAGCGCTGGCTGCCTAGGGCCACAGCGATGAAGACCCGCCCAGGACGACCCACCAGTGAGTGGAATCTGGAGCACTTCATGCCCTAAGCGGGGTCCATACCTCCGGGAGCATGGGCAGGAGCCCCCGAGGCATAGTCTGCCATGGGCACAAGGCTGAGGTGCCAACTGAACCTAGTGCCCTCTGTCCCCTGCAGGATTGGCAGGGGCCGTGCAGCTGTGCTGCACAGCCAGCCAGGGGCTTCCCTTGGTGTGGCCTGCACGGTGTCTGCCTAGGAAGCCCAGGTCCTCGTGGACCACCGACCCCTCAGCTGTTCCTAGGGAGTTGTGTGCCCAGTCCTCGTGGACCACTGACCCCTCGGCTGTTCCTAGGGAGAGGTGTGCCCAGTCCTTGTGGACCACTGACCCCTCGGCTGTTCCTAGGGAGTTGTGTGCCCAGTCCTCGTGGACCACTGACCCCTCGGCTGTTCCTAGGGAGTTGTGTGCCCAGTCCTCGTGGACCACTGACCCCTCGCTGTTCCTAGGGAGTTGTGTGCCCAGCCCTCCTGGACCACCGACCCCTCGGCTGTTCCTAGGGAGTTGTGTGCCCAGTCCTCCTGGACCACTGACCCCTCGGCTGTTCCTAGGGAGAGGTGTGCCCAGTCCTGCCCTCACCCTGTGCACAGTGCAGAATGCTGCAGCCAGGTTCACTGGAGGTGCTCACTTCCTGGCCACTTCAGGTGGACGTGGGTACTCCAGTGGGCAGCTGTGAGTGGGACTGCGTGTTGGCGACACCAGGCGACGGGCAAGCAGGTCCTTTCTCCTGGAAAGTGCTTTGACTTGCCTGTAGGAAGAAGAACCATCTCCTTTTCCTGGAGCCAGTTTCCTACAATGCGGCTGCTGCCACGTCCTGAAGTTTGGCGTGTGCGGTGCGCGGCGGTCGAGCCCGGCGCAGCTGGGGGCTGCTTTGAGTCTTCAGGCTCCGGCCGTGGGTCTTTGACTTCCAGGCTGCTTGGTGGTTTGGCCTCACCCCTGGCCCCTTGGTCCCTGCCTCTAGCATATGAAGGTGGGAAGGGGTCAGAGCAAGGACCCTGAGGAAGGTGGAGCCAGGGCCCTGCTCAGAGGCCATCTGGTCACCTGTGTCCCCTCTGCCTTGGCCAGCCTGGCGGAGAGGCCTGTGAGGTGTGGCTTGTGGGGTCCTTGAAAGAAGGCGGCACCCCCAGAGTCTCTGGTCCCTGGCAAGTCTCCTCCAGCTGCAGGAAGGCCACTGCCTGTGCTTCCCCAGGGCCAAACTTGGTCTTAGGCACTGCTTTCGCCTAACGCCTACTGGGCTGCAGACAGAATCCTCCTGGTTCAGTTTGCTTCCCGGGGTGGCTGTAGGCCCTGTCGTGTCCCTTCTGCCAGTGTTTGCCAGAAGACCTGTTGTGAGATGACCTAGGAAGGGCCCCTCGTCCACCTCTCCCTGCCTTGCGGCCAGCGGGGTGGGAAGGGTCCGGCCAGCCCAGTGGGCTCTCTGGGCTCTGCAGCCAGGCCAGGGGCCCCTGTGTTTCTGTGAGGGCACAAAGAAGTCGAGTTGTCTCCAGGCAGATTGCCAAGACTTACTGACAGAGCCAAGGTCCAAGCTGACCTGGGCCTGGCTCCGTCTGGGGGACCCCTCTGTCCAGCTGGGCCTGTTATCCCTGCAAGAGGAACAGGCATCACAGAACTCATTCTTGGGGGAATTTTCTGCTTTCTATAGTGTTTGTTTAATTATTTATTCTTGAAGAGGTCTGGCTGGCACGTGCAGTGCTAGGAGTGCAAGCTTTGTGTGCTGCTGTGAAGAACAGCCGATTTTCCTGCCAGGCTGAGTGCTACAGTCTGGGGGACTGGTACGGTGTGGAGCCCCCAGTGCTCTGCCTGGCCCCATGGCCCCACGGGCACATCCCACTTTCCCTGCCACGGGGCTGGGCACTTCCCCTTCCACACCCAGCACCGGGCTGTGCGCCAGGCTGCAGACGCCTCCTCTGAGGGGCTGCCTCTCCTTGCGTTGTGCTGCCCTGTCCTCAAGGTGGTGACATCAGGTGCCCGGGCAGTCCCCAGCCAGGCCCACCCTGCCATCTGTGCCACGTGGGCACGGGGGCCACTGAGCTGTGGCCCTGTCCTGGGCAAACACTTTAGAACCTCTCTTCTGACAACAGCCTCCCCCCCCCCAGATGCTCAGCCAGGGGTCTGCTTGGGCTGGAGCTCTGGGCAGCACCAAGCCCCTCCCAAGACAGCCATACCGGCCGTGTGTGCAGGCCGTGTGTGCCCTGGGGGGCCGCACTGATGGTGGGTCTTCTCTCGCAGCCACACCCACTCGCCCGGGTCTATGGCCGCAGTCGGGGAGTGGTCCTGTGCACGCTGCACCTTCCTGAACCCTGCTGGCCAGCGTCAGTGCTCCATCTGCGAAGCTCCCCGGCACAAGCCCGACCTTGACCAGATCCTGCGGCTCAGCGTGGAGGAGCAGAAATGGCCCTGTGCCCGCTGCACGTTCCGGAACTTCCTGGGCAAGGAAGCCTGCGAGGTGTGTGGCTTCACCCCCGAACCCCTGTCTGGAGCCTCCCTGCTGCCCATCATCAATGGGGTCCTGCCCAGGCCACCCACTGTCCTGGTGGAGCCCAAAGGCAGCTGCAAGGAGGAGCCGGGGCTGGTGCGGACAGCGGGGCTGGCGGCCGTGGAGCCGGGCGGAGGACGCCCTGCGGAGCAGCAGGAGCAGCAGCAGGAGCAGGAGGAAGGGGTGACGGAGCCCAGGAGCGGCTGGGCCTGCCAGCGCTGCACGCTGCTCAACACTCCCGTGGCCACCTCCTGCTCCGCCTGCGGTGGCCCTCGAAAGCTCTCACTGCCCAAGATCCCTCCAGAGGCCCTGGTGGTCCCTGAGATTCTGGCCCCTGCTGGCTTCCACATCGTGCCGGCCCCGCCGCAGCCGGTCCCTGGGGAGGCTGCCGAGACTGACCCTCCATCCAGCAGCCAGGGCCCAGCCGCTGCAGACCAGGAGCCCCCCCGGATCCCGCCCTTCAGCCCCTTCTCACCCACTCTGCAGAACAACCCCGTTCCTCGAAGCCGCCGGGAGGTCCCCCCGCAGCTGCAGCCGTTGGTGCCTGAGGCTGCACAGCCTTTGAGCTCCACTGGCTCCAAGGGTGCCCCCCAGGGCCCAGGGCGGGCTGGGGCAGGGGCCTGCCGCCTGGCAGAGCTGCTGTCGGCCAAGCGGCTGAGTGCGCTGGAGGAGGAGGCGCCTGAGGGCGGCCCCTCCCGCGGTGAGGCCTGCAGCCCTGCCCCGAGCAGCGGCAGTGACGTCATCGACCTGGCAGGTGACTCAGTGCGCTACACGCCCTCCAGCCCGTCCAGCCCTGACTTCACCACCTGGTCGTGTGCCAAGTGCACACTCAGGAACCCCACGGCAGCCCCCAGGTGCACAGTGTGTGGCTGCTCCAAGCTACACGGCTTCCAGGAGCACACGGAGCCCCCCGCACACTGCCCTGACTGTGGCACCAACAAGCCTGGCCCCTGTGGTGGCAGCTGCGGACGGGGCCCCTCGGCTCCCAGGGCAGCTCGCCTCCTGCCTGAGCGCCCGGGCCAGTGGGCCTGCCCTGCCTGCACCCTGCTCAACGCACCCCGGGCCAAGCACTGTGTGGCCTGCCACACGCCCCAGCTCCTGGTGGCCCAGCGCCGGGGGGCCGCCCCGCTGCGGCGCAGAGAGAGCATGCACGTGGAGAAGCGGCGGCAGACAGACGAAGGCGAGGCCAAGGCCCTCTGGGAGAACATCGTGGCCTTCTGCCGGGAGGTGAGGACCAGGACCGCCGCCCGGGCTGGCTGGCCTCGGCAGCCCCGTCTCTTCCCGCGGCCTCTCCTCGGCCTCCTGTGGCCGCCGTGCTCTCTCCAGACCCACTTCTGTCCCTGCTGCTCCCCTCAGAGGCCCTGGGCTCTGACCAGGGACCTGCCTACCTCCTGTGGTGAGTCGGCAGCAGCTCTGTCGCTGAGGCTGAGCACCTAGCCTGGCGCCGAGCGCAGCCTCCTGACCGGTGTCCCTGCTAATGAACCAGGGGCGGCATCTGCCCACCTGCCTTGGCGCTCAGGGTCAGCAGGAGGAACTGTCTGTGCCCGCCCTGGGCAGGGGCCAGGGCGGGTCAGTGCTGCGTCCCCCGTCCTAAGAACCCATCTGTGCGTGGGTTCCCTTTGCCCCTTCCCCGCCCGCGCGTCTGCTGTCCTCAGGCACTCTTCCCTCTGCCCTCCCTGGCCGGAGGCCGCCCCGCCTGGCCTGAGTGTGGGCCTGTGGTCTCTGTAGAACAGCGTGAACTTTGTGGATGACAGCTTCCCCCCTGGGCCTGAGTCTGTGGGCTTCCCTGCGGGGGACAGCGTCCAGCAGCGCGTGAAGCAGTGGCTCCGGCCCCATGAGATCAACTGCTCCGTCTTCAGGGACCACAGTGCCACGTGGTCCGTCTTCCACACCCTCCGGCCCTCGGACATCCTGCAGGGGCTGCTGGGGAACTGCTGGTGAGGCTCTGGGCACCCCCTCCGGGCAGGGAGACCGAGGGAGGGCGGGGAGGCGGGCAGTCCGGCCACAGTCGCCCCGCTGAGGCCGCTCGGCTACGCCAGGTTCCTGAGTGCTCTGGCGGTGCTGGCTGAGCGGCCGGACCTGGTGGAGCGGGTGATGGTGACGCGCAGCCTGTGTGCGGAGGGTGCCTACCAAGTGCGGCTGTGCAAGGACGGCACGTGGACCACGGTGCTGGTGGACGACATGCTGCCCTGCGACGAGGCCGGCTTCCTGCTCTTCTCGCAGGTGGGGGCTGCCTGCGGGGCCGCGGGGGGGGGGGGGGCGGGGCAGCGTCCTGACTCCGGCCCCTCCCCTAGGCACAGCGGAAGCAGCTGTGGGTGGCCCTCATCGAGAAGGCTCTGGCCAAGCTGCATGGCTCCTACTTCGCCCTCCAGGCAGGGCGCGCCATCGAAGGCCTGGCCACGCTCACCGGTGCCCCCTGCGAGAGCCTGGCGCTGCAGGTCAGCTCCACGAACCCCCGAGAGGAGCCCGTTGACACTGACCTCATCTGGGCCAAGATGCTGAGTTCTAAGGAGGCTGGGTAAGAGGGGCGGGCACTGCCATGGTGAGGAGCGGTGGGAGAGGCAGGGGCAGTGCCCTCTGGCTGACCACGGGAGACCAGCCGGGGCTGGTGTTCCCACCCGGGGAGCCCAGTAACCACCTCCCTGTTGAGCCGGCGGCACGAGCCCATGGAGGTGCCTGGTGGGGGGGGCTGTGTTCTGAGACCATCCATGTGCTGGTCAGCATGCGAGTACCCCCAGCCCCCTGGAGGGAACCTGTCGGGAGGGTCCAGACCCCACCCCCGCCCCCCGTAGCCCCAGCCTACAGGAAGAGGCCCTCGGAGCTGAGCTGGCCGCTCAGAGGCTGCCCGCCCGGCTGGGTCCTGTGCTTCTGCACGGGCGGGGCGTTCCCCGCCATCCCGCCTGCGCTGGTTCTGCCGCGCCGGCCCGGTCGCAGGGGCTGCTCTGCCGCACAGGTTCCTCATGGGCGCCTCCTGTGGAGGGGGCAACATGAAGGTGGACGACGCTGCCTACGAGAGCCTGGGGCTGCGCCCGCGCCACGCCTACTCTGTGCTGGATGTCCGCGACGTGCAGGGCTCCAGGTGGGGGCTGGGCAGGCCCGGGTGGGCGGGAGCCGCGGGGGCGCGGTCACAGCCCTCAGTGTTGCGGTCCGCAGGCTCCTAAGGCTCCGGAACCCGTGGGGCCGCTTCTCCTGGAACGGCAGCTGGTCAGACGAGTGGCCGCACTGGCCGGGGCACCTGCGCAGTGAGCTCATGCCGCATGGCAGCAGCGAGGGCGTCTTCTGGATGGAGTACAGCGACTTCATCAGGTACCTGGGCACAGGCCCCCGTCCGTCCGGGCTGAGTCCCTCCCTGGGCAGGCGGGTAGGCCTGGGTCCACCCTCACAGGGGCTCAGGCACTGGCCTTGGAGCCTTGCTCTGCGCGGGTCGGCGGGGTGTCTGCCGTCTGCACAATCCTGGGCCCAGTGCCCTCTGGTGGTGAGCAGGGGCCTCGGCCGGGTGAGGCGTGAGGCCAGGGCTGGGAGAGGACAGCGACGCAGAGAGCCTCCTGTCTGTGACCTGGCTGCCCCGGGCTGCTGTGTCCAGCGGGCTGGGCAGTAGACTGCACGCAGCTCTTGCCACCCCCAGGTACTTTGACTCCGTGGACATCTGCAAGGTGCACTCAGATTGGCAGGAGGCCCGGGTGCAGGGCCGCTTCCCCAGCACGGCCAGCGGGCCTGTGGGGGTGACGGCGCTCACGGTGCTAGAGCGCGCCTCGCTGGAGTTCGCCCTCTTCCAGGAGGGCAGCAGGTAGGCATCAGGCAGGGTCGGCTCCACCAGGTTGAGGTCCCCCATGGTCACGGCCACTGGCCCCAGCCCACGATCTCGTGCCCACAGGCGCTCAGACACAGTGGACAGCCACCTCCTGGACTTGTGCATCCTGGTGTTCCGAGCCACCTTCGGCAGTGGCGGCCGCCTGAGCCTGGGCCGCCTCCTGGCCCACAGCAAGCGCGCGGTCAAGAAGTTTGTGCACTGTGATGTCATGCTGGAGCCGGGCGAGTACGCCGTGGTGTGCTGTGCCTTCAACCACTGGAGCCCCGCCCCGCCGGGTAACGCCCCCGCGCGCCCTGCGGCCCACCCATGGGGAGGGCTGCCAGCTCCCTCACTCACACCCCCCCCCCCACAGCCTCCAGCCCTTCGGCAGGGATCCCTCGAGCCGCTGAGCCGCCTGGCCACGTGCTCGCCGTGTACAGCTCGCGGCTGGTCATGGTGGAGCCGGTGGAGGCCCAGCCAACCACACTGGCCGACGCCATCATCCTGCTCACAGAGAGCCGAGGCGAGCGGCACGAGGTGGGTGGGGTCCTGGGGGGGTGGCCGCAGGAGGGCACCCCACCCCTGCCTGACACATCTGCGCCTGCGCCCAGGGCCGTGAGGGCATGACCTGCTACTACCTGACACACGGCTGGGCGGGGCTCATCGTGGTGGTGGAGAACCGGCACCCCAAGTCCTTCCTCCACGTGCAGTGTGACTGCACCGACAGCTTCAACGTGGTGTCCACACGCGGCAGCCTGCGCACCCAGGACAGCGTGCCGCCCCTGCACAGGTGGGCAGCCCCCGCCCCCAGGCCCCTCAGGCCCCCAGCTGGTCCTCACCAGCCCCCTCTCCCAGGCAGGTCCTGGTGATCCTGTCCCAGTTGGAGGGCAATGCTGGATTCTCCATCACCCACCGCCTGGCACACCGAAAGGCGGCCCAGGCCTTCCTCAGCGACTGGACAGCCTCCAAGGGCACCCACAGCCCCCCCCTCACGCCTGAGGTTGCCGGCCTGCACGGGCCCCGGCCGCTGTGACCACAGTGCCTGGGCTGGGGGCTGCGTGCGAACACACCACCCCTACATGCACTTTACGAGGGAGACCCGACGGAGGACGCTTGAACCAGAATCTCAGGACCCCGCCCAGGGAGCCGGTGCCGCCCCGAGGCACAGCTTCCCGTGGGCCCCTCTCGCCCCTCCCACCCCCACCCTGAGCACCCACAGTCCGCCTGACCAGGCCTCCCGGCCGCCTTGCAGAATACCTCGAGCCAGGTGGACTCCACACCAGCCCCTCCTGCCTGCTACGGACCCAGCTGGGCTGCCCCTCCCCCCGGGACGTGGGGACCTGTGCCGGGTGAGGCAGCCAAGGCTCCACACAGAACCAAATCTGCAGGGTCAGGCTGGGACCCCGGGGTGAGACCCGGGACTCTCTCCCGGGGAGCTGTGAGGTCAGAGCCTTCGCACCTCAGTGTGACCCCACCAGGCAGCGGGGGTCCCTGGAGGCACATGGCCCCAGGGCCTGGCCCCCAAGCAGTGCGCCCCAGGAGGCAGGTGCCTCGGTCCAGGGCTCAGGGCTGGAGAGCCCCTGCCCAGCCGCTCCTCCCGCAACACTATGCAATTCCTGGAGCGCCGGCAGGATCGAAGCCATGACGGGCGGCAGGTCGGGCAGCCGGGCCCAGCCGTGCTGTCTGCTGCTTTGTCCTCAGCACCCTGAACACTGCTGGGTCCAGCAGAACCCTTGGCCAGCACTGGCCTTGGCCCTGCCGCACAGAGGGACCCCCTCCCCAGCCCCACTGCCTCTCCCACTCCTCCCCAGAAGCCCAGGGAGCTGAGCTGCCCTCCTGCCCCTACTGCTCGTGGAGGCCCGAGCTCTCCTGTGGATGTCCGAGCCCGCCTTCCGTCCCCTCCCGCCCCAGGCAGCAGGCAGCCCCGGGCCTCCCGGGAACATCCCCCTCTCCCTTTGGGCCTCCTTGTACTCTGAGCTGTGAATATTTTTAACCCTGTAAATAAGGCCAGCTCTTCTCACACAGAGACTATTTTATCAGCCGTCCCTGTCCCAGATGGGTCTAGCTGGTTCTCCATGGGTGGCTTCTAGACTCAGGCACCAACGGACCAAATAAAAGCGTTTTGTTTTGTAGCGACGCCTCCTGCCTGCTGCCCTCCAGGGACCAGCTCGGTGCCGCGGTGCTGGCTGCCGAGGCCCTCCCTCCTAGGTGCCCCTGGGCAGGGTCCTGAGGAGAGGAGGCGTTGGGGGGCCGGGGGGAGGCTGCAGGCACTCCCAGCAGGCCCTGGTGCCGGAGGTTGGCCTCAGAGCCTGAGGGTGTCCGGGTGGCCAGGTGTAGGCGCCGTGGGGAGGACCAGGCGTCCAGACCCTGCGAGCCAGGAGAGGCCCTCAGCAGACGGCAGGTGTGCCAGGTCCTCCCGCCTGTGTCCAGGGGGTGGGGGTCCTGAACCCACCCCTCACCCAGCAGAAGCGGGAGTCCGGGGGCTGCTGGCGAGGCGCCTGCTCCATGCCCTCGACCCCTGCTGGCCTCGTCCCAGGGTGGGCCCCTCCCCGGGGCACAGGTCCCACGCAGGGTTCGTCCAGGCTGTGGGCTGGCAGGAGGCGGAGGTCCCTCCCCTGGACGCAGCTCCGTGTAAGAGGCCTGTCAGGGGCCAGCCTATCGAATGTGAAAGCAATTAAAGCCACCAGCAGTGTTTGCTCCGGGCGGGCCTCGGGCAGCGGGGAGCTGCCACAACACATCTCACCTCGGCGCCCGCAGACGCCTGCCCTGCCCCACCGCGGCTGCGCACCAGGCCGGACCGTCTGCGGTGGGGTGGGGGCTGGGGTTGTGCCCGCCCACGTGGCTGGCACAGAACTGGCTCTGCCCGCCTTGGACATGGCCACCCTGGCCAGCGCCAGTCTCTCTGGCCCTCAGGACAGCCCAGGAAGGAAGCCCTGAGTGTGACACAAGGGGCTAGGGCTGCCTCTCCAGCCCGCAGCTGGCCCTGGGGCCCCGGCTGCTGCCAGCGTGCAGGGAAGGGGGCGGGACCGGGACAGGTGTTGGGCAGGGCAGCAGAGGCCCAGGAACCTGGAGAGGACAGCTGGCCAGGCCCGTGGACTTGGCAGGCTGGCTGTCCCTGGAGCGCACCCGGGGCCCCAGCTGGCCTGCAGGCAGTGCAGGGGCGCCCTGAGCCGGGTCCCAGCCTGAGCGAGCACCGTGCACTGTGGCCGCTGAAGCCGAAGCGCCGGAGAGGCCCCTCCTCCCTTCCCCTGCGTCCTCCTCCCACCTGTCTGCTTGCTGACTCCGCCCCCCCAGCCCCCCCTCCCCGTCACTGGTCCCTTCCCGGACGGGCCCTGTGCTCCGCGGCCCTCTCCTGGTCCTCTGTGGGTGCTGCTGGCCCGGTGGCCTCTGGGGGCGGGCGGTGGTGTGTTCTCACTTGTGAGGTGGCCCTGTCAGAAGCACTTAGTGTACAAATTAGCTGCGGCCTCCCTGCCTCCCGTGCAGCTCTGGGCGCTGGGCTGACAGGGCCGCGGCTCCAGGCCCTCTCGCGCCTGCTCAGGGCGCACACAGCTGCCGGTGTGGACCCCTGGCTGCCGCCCACATCGGAGCAGGAGGGCCTGTCCCCTACCAGCCAGCCAGGGCTCGTACCAAAGCCCCTGACCTTGACCTGAACGGGGTGGCCACCGTGGGGGGGCAGGAGGAGCTCCAATGAAGTGGTCAGGGGGTTGCAAGGCGGAGGCCTGGCACCAGGATACCCTAAGAGTGGCAAACCCTGGTGTTGAGATGCGGGGGCCAGCACATGGGGCCAGCAGAGGCCCCCATGCCCCACCCGCCAGCCAGGCTGCCACTCAGGCGGGGAAAATCGCCTGTGACAGGCCCAGGAAGGCTGGCCCCGGGGGCGCCGCGCCGCGCACACGGTTCCTCTTCCCAACATATGGCCGCTGTCGGCCCCGGGCACTGCTTGGCCAGTGCCAGGCTCACAAACCGAGTGGGGGCTTCAGCCGCCTGAGCCCCCGTCCCACCCGCCCGGCTGGCTGCTCCCTGTGATCGCAGGCTCACGTGCCTCCTCCGCCTCCCACCCCAGCACCTGCCAGGCCCTCCAGGGAGAGCGCCCAGCTGCCCAAGGCACACGGAGGGCCAGCCCCCCGCCCGCCCTGGTGAATGGCAGGGGGGGGTTCCGGAGAGGCACCCCTGCAGCTGGCTGGGTGAGGCCCTGGGCACGACTGGTGGGCTCTGGATGCTGTGTCCAGCAAGGCAGGCTGCAGGCACAGGCCCAGGGCGTTGGCGCCCCCCGGGTCAGGGGCCTCCCAGCCCGACACCTTTGCATCTGGGTGGACCGGCGCAGCCCCTCAGGGAATTCAGGCCTCCCTGTGGGTCTTCCCAAGCCGGGACTCATCCTGCCCACTTGGCCACCCCACCTGCTCGCTCACAGCTCTCCTGCGCACCTGCCAGCTCTGCCTCTCCAGGGACGGCCGCTAAAGCTGTTGCAGGGCCCTCGGGTGTGACCCTGCCCCTTCCACCAAGCCCTGGACCCACCTCTCAGCCTGGGTCCCCGAGGCAACTCTGAATAGGCCAGGAGGGGGAGCCCCCGGATGTCCCTGCTCCCCGGGCCGGGCTCCTCCTGTGCTCTGGGGGCCGCCGTGTGGATGGCAGCCGTGGCCGGGCTTGCTGTGTGGTGCTGGCCCCACCGGGAGTTCCTCTTGTAGCTGCAGCTGGACAGGCCGGGCTCGGAACCCAGAACGCAGGCCCTGCCTGGGCACTCGCCTGGCCCAGCCCCACACCTCTGCCCCTGGATCCGTGCCGGTGGGCCCGGCTCCTCCACCTGTGCTGGCGAGGGCTGCAACACTGAGGGGATGCGACAGGCCTGCCCGGGGCACAGCACCACGGCAGACCCTGCTGGCCGCCTGAGCCCCAGCTCCGTGTCCTGCCCGGGAGCCCCCAGCGCAGTCCCGGTGTTAATGGAGGTGACAGGCAGACAGCGCAGAGAAGGTTAAAAACCACAGTGAGCCTCTGGCTGGGGGCCCGCCCCACCTGCACCAGGACACCCCCAGGACACCCCCCGGAGACAGCCGCCCGCGCCCTCTGCGGATCACTGGGACGAAACCCAAAGCCATGGACGCCCAGTCTGCCCCCCAAGGCCTGAACGGGGGGAGGGCGCCCCTGGAACAGAGAGCGCAGCCCAGGGCTCGTCCTCTCCTACACAGCCCCCACCCCAGGATCTGCCCCCCGAGGCCTGAGCGGGGGGAGGGCCCCTGGAACAGAGAGCGCAGCCCAGGGCTCGTCCTCTCCTACACAGCCCCCACCCCAGGAGCCCAGAAGTTCGCCCGGTCGGTCATGCCTCTTGGGGTGATGCTGGTTCTCCTCTCTCCAAACTCTGCCGCTGCCCATCCCCCACAAGTTGGAGCCCGGCCTGGCCTGGCCTGGCCTCCTTCCCTCTGGGGCGCTTCCCCGAACTTGCCCCCCCAGACCAGGGCTCCCCTTCCTTCCCCGTGCCCAGGTGTGCTGTCACCCCTGTCTTCCTGGGGGAGCTGGTGAGGGGCCAGGAGGCACAGAAGCATCCCTGGACGGGGGCCAAGGCCTGGGGCCCCCACGCCTGCTGTTTCAGGGTGACCTGGGTCCTGCCTCTCTGGCCGTGGCCCGTGACGAGGGACCAGCTCCCGGCCCCCACTCCCCACAGGGCGGCTGAGCGATGATTGCTCAAGCTGTCTCCCAGCCCAGGCCGCCTGCACGGTCAGCTGGTCAGGCAGGCACAGAGAAGGCTGGCGTGCTCGTCCTTATGGACGCTGGGCAAGCTTGCCGAGCCGGGGGACCCCTGCCAACACCCAGGCCCTGGCTGTCACCCACTCCTCAGAGAGGAAAACCAAGTCTGGGACTGTGGGTCCGGGGCTCCCCGCTAGCCGGCCCTCTTGAGGACAGCCCCCAGGAGCCGCCCGAGGGCTTCCCTTCCTGCCCACAGCACCCTGACGGGGCTGGACACACCCAGGGAGCTCTGGGTCTCGGGGGACAGGTGGCCGCTTCCTGGGCTCTCGGGGCCTGCACACAGCAGCGCTGGGCAGTGCTCGCCCTTCCGGCCGGAGACCTGTGCCTCACAGGTGCGTGAGCCAGGGCAGACTGGGGAGGGGCGTGCTCCGGCCCTGGCCCCCCACGCCCGTGTCCACCTCGGATGGAACTGGCGCTGAGGCGAATTTCTGCCAGGGCCGGGCTGAGTCTTCCCCTTCCAACAGCTCCAGGAACAACCTGCAACCCAGTGTGGCCTGGGAGGTGGGGCTGGGAGCAGCCTGGGCCAGGAGGGCATTGCAGAAGGGGGCATCGTGGTGAGCTAGGTTTCCCAGCCCCCTCCTGGACCCCACCTCTCACCCCGCGCGCTCGTCCTCCCAGGGGGAGCAGACAGAGGGGCGGCGGGGGAGGGGCGGGACAGCGCCTAGCAGCAGCCAAGTGCAAGGTCTCTCCTTGGGAGTGAGAGCTGGGAGTGGGAGCGCGCAGATCCGCTTAGCCTCCTGTTTGCAGGAAAGGAGACCGCGCAGGGCAGGGCGTGCCCAGGGAGCGCTGCGCCGGCCGAGTGGGTTCCGCCGCTGGCTCTGGGCTCGGCCCCTCGCGGGCTGGCTCTGGCCCCAGGCCCCCGCTGTCCTGGGGCTCGCCCCCCAGGCCTTGGCTTGGGTGGGCCGGCGGCTGTCAGGGGCCGAGCCCTGACGGATGAGTGCTGACGGCCCCGCGCGCGGCTGCGGGGACCCGGGAGACCTGGCCGCCTCTGCGCACCCCCGCGGCAGCCTGCGGGCGACGGGGGCGGGGACGGTGCGGGCGCCCCTTGCTCGCCGCACACCTGCGCCGTCGCTCCCGCCCGCGCGGGACCACCAGTGTCACCTGCCGCGCTCGTCCGGAGTCGCGCGCCCCGAGCACAGAGCTCACAGCGCAGAGCCGTCCACGCCAGGCGGTGAGTGGCAGGGGCACCGCGGGGAGGAAGGCGGGCGAGCCGGGCCTGGAGGACCGGGGGAGCCGCCCTGCGCCCCCGCGAGCCGGGTCCGAGGCCGCCGCGCTCCGGAGCCGGCGCCGTGGCGCACGCGCGGCCGCGGTGCCGCCAACTTCGTGGGTGCGCGGCGGCGTCGGGGAAGGCGGGCGACGGACGCTTCGGGAGCCAGTGGCTGCCGTGAGTGACCGCGGGCCGGCGCCGGACCGCAGTGTCCCCTGCGGGGCGTCCGCGGCGCTGCCCGGAGATCCTAAGCTGGTCTTGCGGGTCGCGGCGCCGCGACACGGGCGGGGGCGGGAAGTTTGCGGCTCGGCGCGGACGTGGCGGGCGCCGCAGGCTCGCTCCAGGCGGGGCGGGCGAAGTTTGGGCGGCGCGGGGGCCGGACGTGGTGGGGCCGCGCGGGGCCGCGGGGCTCCTCATCCCCGCTTCTTGGCTTCCAGGCGAGGGGGCCAGCTGGGCGCGCCGGGGAGGGCCGGGTGCAGGGTCCCAGCCAGCCCGACCTCAGCGAAGGGGCCTGAGCCCCGCTGTTCTCCGCAGAGCCCTGAGGGGCTGGGACCGGCGCTGAGGGTCCTCCCTCCCGGGGAGAGTGCCCGGGCCCAATGTCGGGCTGCGCCCGGCGCGTGCACCTGGCCGCCGACTGGGACGTGCGTGGCAGTGCCTGTGCCTTTGTGTGTATGCGGGGCGGCTGGTGGGGGGGGACGGGGGAGCCTCTCTCAATGGGCACAGGCCCCCTGAGGCTCCCACGGTGGTCAGCAGCTGCTGCAGTGACTCCAGGACAAGCCCCCCCCGCAGGTGCCTCATCTGAACCGGGAGCACGGAGGAGCCCCCAGTCCCAGCTGGGAGCTGGGTGGGCGGTGGCGCCAGCCGGCACAGCTGTGTGGCTCCCAGGGCTGGGTGATCGATGGCCCGGCAGAGCCGCCTCTGTCGCTGGAGCACACTCCCCCATTTGTCACTCGCATCCTGTTGGGGGGGGGGGCTGGCCGGGGCTGGGGCAGGGAGAAGGGGCCGCCTGTGCACCCACCACCACATCCCGGCTGGGTCTGCAGCCTCCCGGGCACCCACCTTCGCGGGGCCCCTGCCCTTGCCCCTGCTCCCAGCCCTGAGCCCCTGGCCAGAACCAGCAGGTCTGTCTGCTGGCGTCAGTCTCCCTGCCCCAGGCAGCCGTGCTGACCACTCTGTGGGACCCCAGGCCTGCGCGTGGGCAGCCCTCTGCGCCCGCTGGTTGTCCTCCTGATGGCGGTGCCCACCCGGGGTTTGCAAGGACAGTGAGTGCCGTGGGCAGAGCCTGCAGCCAGGATCAGCGGGGGCTGCCCCAGCCATTCCCAGCTCAACCCACTGGTCACCTGTGAACCCTGGGAGCAGGCGTGTGTGTGTCCACATCTGTGCAGGGGTCTGTGACCATGTGTGTGTGAGTCCCAGTCACGTGTACGTGTGTCCTTGGGAGGTGTGCCGTGTGCACACGCGTGTGCTGGGTAAGAATGGGTCAAGTGCCTTCTCACACCCAGGGTTCGGGGGAGCGCCGGCCCTGGCCCTCTGCACTTCGGGGGTGCAGTCTCGTGTGCTTGCGTGCGCCCCACGCAGGCGCGAGCACTGGGGCGGCGGACAGCCCAGGTGGCAGCCCAGATGGAGCGCGGAGCGGCTTCCGAGCGAGCGGGGCGTGGGGAGGAGAGGGTCTTGGCTGAGCGTGGCCGCTGCCGGCTCGGCCACTGACCTGCCTGAAGCCACCCAGATGGAGGCGGGCTGAGCAGGTGGCTGCGCCACGGGGCCGTGCTGTGACGTCCACGCCCCCCAGCCTGGCCTGTCCCCATGTGAGGCCAACCCCCTCCGAGACCCCCAGAGCCCACCTGACACCCTGCTGGAGCAGGCTCCCATACGCATAGCATAAACCTTGCGCTCAGCGCCCGGTGCCCGTTTCTGTCTCGCTGGCTTTTGTCTGGCTTCCTGGCAGGGGACGAGGCTCGGCGAGGGCAGCGGTGTCGGGAGGGAGCGAGACCAGGCGGCGCACCAGCAGTGAGCCCTGGCCACACGCGGCCTCTGCGAGTGCCGCCCGGTGCTGGGAGCGGGGCCCAAGGGAGGCTCAGGCTCTGCCAGCTGCGGACAAAACCTTCCCAGAAACCGCCCGGCCTCGGGGTCGGGGCTTGTGTCGCCTGGTAAATATAGCCTGCCCGGCTACGCTTTAATTGCAGAAAAACAAGGAATAATTTTTAAAATGTATTCCTGTGTTTGAGAGGCAGAGGCAAAGCCAGAGAGAGATGGTCGGAGCGCCCGCCCGCTGGTCCACTCCCCAGATGGCCACAACGGCCAGGGCTGGGCCAGGCTGAAGCCAGGAGCTGGGAACTCTGTGCAGGTCTCCCACTCAGCTGGCGGGGAACCCCGCCCTAGCCAGCACTGCTGCCTCCCAGGGCGAGCGTCGGGGCAGAGAGCGGGCGTGGGAGCAGCCCAGGACTGGGGCCTGGTGCAGTGCCCGGGCCACACTCACCCATGGACGCCAAAGGCCGGGGTTCATCTCGTCCTGCGTTTCTGTTTTGCTGCACGTGGTGCCCCGATGTGTGGGGGAGGGGTCTCTAGGGCGGCAGGGCGGGGTGTGGGGGGGCTGTGAACCCAGCAGAGGGAGAGGCGGGCGGGGACGAGAGGTGGGGCTGGCACTGACCTGGGTGTCCCCCGCCCCGCCCAGTCCGCAGGTGGCCATGGTGCTCGCGCCTGCCCGCTAGCAGGCTGCCATGTCTCGGGAGGTGGGCTCCTGCCGCGTGGGCGCAGGGTCCAGGGCGCGCTCCCGGAAGCCCAAGAAGCCACACTACATCCCGCGGCCCTGGGGCAAGCCCTACAACTACAAGTGTTTCCAGTGCCCCTTCACCTGCCTGGAGAAGTCGCACCTGTACAACCACATGAAGTACAGTCTCTGCAAGGACTCCCTCTCGCTGCTGCTGGATTCGCCGGACTGGAGCCGCCGCACAGCCCCCTCGCCCAGGCCCCGCGCGCCCACCCCAGACGGCCCCGCCGACCCCGCAGACCCTGGGGCCCGGCCCCCCGGGCCCGACCTCGCCGGCACCGACGGCCTCTCGCGGCACCGCTGCGGTGGGGCCCCCAAGCCTGGGATCGAGGGGTCCCCGGGGCCGCTGCCCCCTGTGGCCAGGGCTGCCCAGAAGGGGCCGGGCCCTGGCAGGCTCCTGGCAGAGTCGTGGAAGCCAGGGCTGGGGGGGACCCCAAGGAGCGTGGCTGTGGGGGCCGTGACCCCAGCGGGCCCTGACGGCAGTGTCCCCTGCTACCCCCCACCGTCGCCAGCAGAGCTCCCAGAGGCCCAGAACCCCCACCTGTCGCTGTTGGGTGTCAACTACCCCCTCGGCCCCGGCCTCTTCTCCTACCTGGGGCCCTCTCTGGCCACCGCCGCCCACATGCCCTTCCTGGCCTCGGCCAGCCCCCTGATGCCCCCTGCCACAGCCTTCCCCGCCCCACAGCCCCCCGAGCGCCCTGCCCTGGGCCCCCGCCTGTACTATCCACTGCTCCTGGAGCACACGCTGGGGCTGCCGTCAGGCAAGGCCGCCCCTGCCCCCAAGGGGCCGCCCGGGACTCTGGTCCCTGGGTTGCTGAGACTGCCCATCCCAGGGCTGGGGGGGTCCTGGCCTCGTGGCACCTCCAGGGACCCGGGGCACGAGGGGGAGCTGGAGCGGGCCACCCAGAGTGACCCCAAAAGGAGGCTGCTCCCGGGGAGCAGGCTGGAGTTCCTGAAGACCCCCGCCAGCCTGGCCAAGTTTGCTTCCCAGAGCAGGTGGGTGTCCCGGGTGCCCAGTCCCAGGGGAGGACGGGCGGGGGGAGGGCTGGGCAGGGTGCCCACTTCTGCCCCGAGCTTGGTCACCAGGAACGTGGGCTGCACGCCAGGAAGGGGCCTGACCCCAGAGAGCCAGCGTGACTGTCCTTGGAGGCCCCTGGCTCTTGGCTAACACCTCGGTGCCCTTACCCTGCCTGCGGTGGGGAGGGGCCAGGCACCCCGGGGGCGGGGGGGGGCAGTGCAACTCCGCTGACGGGCTCCTCCCCACCAGCCTGCCGACGCTGTGGCCCGAGGACAAGGCGCTGGGCGGCCCTGAGACCCAGCAGCCCCCGGGGCTGGTACCCGTGGGCGACGACCTGACGGGGGCCCTGGGCGACTTCGCCAGGGTGGAGCGGCGCCTGGGGCAGCTGGCGCCGGCCGGGGGCCTGGCCCCGAGACCTCTGCGGGAGCAGCTGGGCAAGATCCGCCGCGAGCTGCTCAGCATCCACCAGGCGCTGGAGAGGGCCGCGAGGCCGCCAGACGCGCCCCTCGACCTCTCCGTGAGACGGGCGCCCCCCACGGGGCCCGAGGCACCTGCCGGCTCCTTGCTGGCCCCGGGGACCCCCGAGCCCCCCGAGCCCTTCCTGGGCTGCACCACCAAGTGCGAGGCCGACTCCAGCGTCCCGCCCCCAGGCCTCCCCCCGCAGGCTGCCGAGGACGCGGTCCTCCCTGGGGGCGGCTGGGGCAGCCGAGTCGCAGCTGGGTGCCCCCAGACCTCTAAGGATGCCTGTGGCGTGCCGAGCCCCCCGCACGCCGAGGCCTGACCCTCAGCCCCTCACTTTCCCCAGCTTCTGCATGCACACGGACAGAGCCCAGCGGCCCGTGGCCAAGGCTCGTCTCTGGGCCCACACGGGTGGGGAGGTCACACTGTGGACATTAAAGCAGAAACAACCCCTGCAAACCCCGACTGCGCCTCCTCTTTGCTGCCCGCGGTCACCCCCTGGACAGCCCCAAGGGCTGGCCCCGGCCTGGGCGCCGCAGCCGAGCCGCGAACCTGCCGGGCTTCCTTGCTGTGGCCTGGGGAGGCGAGGGGGCTCAGCATGGATGCGGCCTGTGTCCCCGTGCGTGGGGGTGGGCAGGGACCCCGAGCGTGATCTAGCCCCCAGGCCAGGCAGGCGGCCCCCCCATGCACTCCTCTGCGCCTGGTGGCACAGGACTGATGGCCCCGCGTGGCCTCCGCTGGGCCCCTGCCAGCCCTGCAGCCACGATAGGCATCGGTGGCCTTCACAGCTCGCTGCCTCCCTCCCGGCACAGCCTGGCCTGGCCTTCTTCCCACAGGCAGGGAGGAGCACGGGGCGGGGGCACCGCGGGGCGGGGGCACCGCGACTAAGCCCTTCGCTCCCAGGGAGCCCGGCCACGCCCTCACCGCTCCCCGAGCCCAGGCTGGCCTCCTGGGAGGCGCAGCGCCTGCCTGCACCCGGCTCCTCAGGCTGTGGCTGGGCAGGCCGGGCTGGGGCCAGTCCAGGCAGGACCCGCGGCTGCCCCATTAAGCACACAGGGTGGCGATACCATCAGCCGTCCACCCGTGGGAGGCTTGTGAGGCGTGTCCGGAGCGGGGGTGCTGTGGGCCCCCGGCCGGGCTGGGCAGGTGCCGCCAGGGTGCCCTCCACCTGGGGGCTTTGGGTGGGGGGAGGCTGCCAGGAGCTGTGGGCAGCCCAGGAGTGTCTGGGGGCCCCCCAGCACCCATCTGCCGCACCCTGGTCACTCACAGGCGCAGGGCCAGGGCGGATGGGCCCCCAGCCCGTGGAGGTGCTGGGGGCCCGGCCAGCAGCTCACCCTCCAAGCTCCTGACACCTGCTTGGGGGGGGCTGGGGCCAGCTCATCACAGGTGTCCGCTCCCAGAGAGGGGGAGGGGCCGAGGGGCTCCAGCCCCACTGCAGGAAGGGAAGAATGGTGTGGGGGGGGGGCGGGCTGGAGTCCCTGGGAGGGCCCCCTCCCCGGGCAGGAGAGCCTGGCGCCGGCCTCCCTGGGTGTGGGCAGCAGAGGGGACCCTGCCTCAGCTCCGGAGGTGGAAGGCTCCCTGACCTGGCACAGCGGGGCTGGGGGCGGTAACTGGCCCCCCCAGTGAAGACAGGGGTTCCATGGGCACACAGTTTGAGAAATGGTCCTTGTCTGTCACCTCTCAATGCATGAACTCAGTGGGTCCCTAATGACCTGACCTTCCGGGGTCACGCCCCCCAGACTCACGTCCCAGAGCTGGTGGGGGGCCAGGGGAGCAGCTGGGCTTCGGGACTGGTGGGCTCTCAGGACCTGAGGCTGGGCCCCTTTCTCTCTCCGCCCGGCACACAGGGGGCAGCGGAGGCTGCCGCTCTGCACCAGGGCCCCCCCAGCCGCCCTCCAGAGCGCTCACCTCGCCCCGGCCTGGAGCCCCCATCCCCGCTGGCGCCCGCAGAGGCCCCTCCCCCCAGGGCCCCTGACCGCTGGGGCTGGACCTGGAGGGTCACTCCCTCTGCCTGCTGCACGCGGCCATCCACCTCCACACACCCAGCACACAGCAGGACCCAGGCCACGGGGCGACAGCGGGCAGCTTCCCCTCACCCAGGCGTGGCTTCCCCTTGGGCCCCGCCTCCAGCAGCATCTGGGGCGCCCCCGCTGGGCAGGCCTGGGGACCCAGTGGGGGTCTCACCGTGAGCCAGGAGCCTGGCCCTGCTTCCCGGGGCTGGGCCTGGGCAGTGGGCCTCACGGGAGCACCCCGGCCCTGGCGCCACCGCGGGCAGATGCTCAGTTTGCTGCTGCCTTCCAACCCTGAGCACCTGCCGGGCGGCCCCACCTTCCTCTCCCTGAGGGGCCCCATCTCAGCTGCTGAGGCAGCCCTGCCCCCACCCCAGCCTGCAGGTCTTCACCACCCCAGGATGCGGCCAGCACCCAGGCAGGCGGGATCTGGCGCCTGGGCGCCCCAGCCCCTAATCAGAGACAGGCAGGCCGGCAGGGTGCGGCTGGGCTGGGCGGCTTGGGGCAGGGTGTGGCCACTCCGTGTCCCCCGGCCTCAGAGGCACCCAGGGTCCTGAGCCCCCAGCAGCACTGCTGTGCCCAGCCCAGGTGAGGCATTGGCAGGGGGTGGGGCAGCCCTGGCGGTGCCCTGGGGGGCTCCTGGCTGTGTCTCCGGCTCTTTCCCTTCTCCCCCCGCCCCGGTCTGCAGGGGACTTCAAGACCCCTGGCCATTGGGTCCAGCCAGCTCTGAGCTCCTGGGGCAGGGGTGCTGGGAAGAGCTGGTCGGGGTTGGGTGGGTGCTTCCTCCGAGGACACAGTCCTGACGCTTAAAAAAGAGCGGGAAGGCCACGCCCCGCCCTTCCCCAGCCAAGGGGGTTCGGCCCGGGAGGGGGCTGCAGGCCTGGGAGCGTGGGCGCGTGCGGGCGTCGGGGCTCACTCCGCCTTGCCGCGTGCTTCCAGACGCCGCTCCCCGGCTCCTCCCGGCCCCTGCTGGGCGGGTGGCGACGGTGCGGGCTCGGGGTCCCCGGACCGGGGGGCCGGGGCTCGGCCGCCGGGCGTGCTGGGCCCGTGCGCGCGCGGAACGCTCGGGCGGGGCCCGCGGGCGGCCCGGGCGCCTTTGGGGGCCGGACCGTCGCGCGGCAACGCGCGGAGCCGGCGGAAACGCGGCCGTGGTCGTCGCCCGGGCCGCGCGCCGCAGCCCCTCCGCGGCCCAGGCAGCAGCGGGTGAGCGCCGGGGGCGGGCCGGCGTCGCGCGGGAGGGGCGCGGGCTCCGCTCGCAGCCTCTGCGCGCTCGGCCGTGGGGCCGGGGCGCCGCGCCCGCCCGCCCGCAGGGTGCGGGCCCGGGCCGCTGGCCGCGCGGTGACCGCTGCCCCGGCCTCGCGCGCGCCCCCGAGCCGGAGGCGGCGGCGCTGGGACAGGCGCGGGACGAGCGGCGTGGGGAGGAAGGGCTCCGCAGGGTCCAGCCGGGCTCCCGCGCGCGCTGGGGCGGGGGCGCAGGAGCCGCGGCCCGACGGGGGTTCCCGCCCGCCCCGGCGTCCACTGCGTTCTCCTTGACCTCGCTCCGGCCCCGCAGCCTGGCGGCGGCTCCCGCGCCGCGGCCCGAGGTGGGATTTGCGCGCCGCAGGTGGGGACCCCGGCCCCTGCCCGCCGCGCTCCGAGCCGCGCGCTGTGTTCTGGAGGTAACGTTGCGGATGGAGCCCGCAGGCCCTGGTGTCCGCGGGCGCTGACCCTCGGCGCGCCTGCGTGCTGCTGCAGGCAGGACGTGGTCGTTTGGCCGGGCCGCTGTGTCCTGAGAGGCGACACTGCGAGGCGCGCGCCCTGCTTGGGGGCCCTGTGGCCGTGGCCGCCTCCCTGCCCCTACACTGTCACAACGCCCCGTCCATCACCCCTGGAGGCGGGCTTTGCAGAGGGTCAGGAGGGGAGATTGGCAGGTGGTGCTGGCCCTAGGGATCTGGCCAGGGGCCAGTGCTGAGCTCTGCCCTGCCGGCCTCCCCCGGCTGCCTGCCCTCCCTGGTCACGGGGAGGGCACTCCCACGGTCCTGCAGGTGGACCCAGAGGGGTCTTTCCGCTTGGAACCCACAGCCGCAGGAGCCGGTTCCCGAGCTGGCTGTGAGAGGCCGGGACCTTTGAGTGCCGGGGCTGGGAGAGCAGCTGCACCAGTCGCCTCTCGGGCTGTGGGCGTTTGTGTCGGCGTCCCAGAGGGCCAGGCTGTGCCCCTCCCGCAGGCGTGGCGCTGTGGTCAGTGCAGCCCCTGCCAGCCAGCCCAGCAGCTCCGCTCAGCAAGGGGCACCTGCCGGGCTCGCTCCGGGGGGGGGGAGGCTCTGCTCAGACCCACGGGGCTAGGACGGCTGGCGCCCGCCCAGCTCCTCCATGACTCGAGGCCCGTGAGGCCCCACCCAAGTTTAGGTATCTGCACCCATGGAGCAGTGACCCTGGAGGGCAGATGCTGCCCTGGGGTGACTGTCAGGCCCCCGAGCCCAGAAGGACTTTGCCTGGGGCAGCGGGGCCAGGATGGCGGGTGAGGGCGGAGCGGAGGCCTCTGAGCCGGGCCTGGGCCTGGGCGCTTTGCCAGGCGCCTCTGGCTTCTCCGAGCCCAGCAGTGCCGCTTTTACGCCTGCCTGCCTCCTTCGTCTTCTCTCTGTGGGGTTGGCTGCTGATCTGAAAGGAGTGACAGGTTTCCATCCATTGGTGCACTCCCCAAGTGGCTCAGCCAGCAGGGCTGGGCCAGGCCGAGGCCAGGAAGCTGGAGCTCCCTCCGGGGGTCTCCCATGGGTGGCAAGGGCCCAGTTAGTGGGACCATCTCCTGCTTGCCCCGGGCACTTTGGCAGGGAGCTGGACTGGAAGTGGAGCAGCCAGCACTTGAACCAGCGCCCACATGGTACGCGGGCACTGCAGGCGGCGGCGTAACCGGCTGCGCCAGAACGCCAGCCCCTCCTTTGACACTTCCCTCTTGTTTTAAATTTATTTTTATTTGAAAGGCAGAGTCACCGTGAGGGAGAAGCAGAACGTGATCCGTCCACTGGTTCACTCCCTCAAAGGCCGCAGCAGCTGGGCTTGGCCAGCCAGGAGCCAGGGGCGCCCTCTGGGCGGTCCGTCCTGCGCTGCTGTCCCGGGCTCGTTAGCAGGGAGCCGGCTGGGGAGTGGCGCGCTGGGACTCGGGTGCGGCGTCGCCCGCGGTGCCACAGCAGCAGCCCCTCGGTGGCTCGGTAGGGAGGTCGGGATTTGTTGAGGCTTCAGCGTGCACTCTGGGCGTGAAATAACCTCTCTGATCAGGAACGCAGCACCAGTGTCCTGGCGTTAACTGGGCCCAGTCATTTTTTTGTTAGGTTAGATACTAAGTATTTATTTTTCACTATCAAAATACCTGCCCAGAGAATAGCACCTTCCCTTCAGAAGTGGGTAGTAAGTGTTACATGTTTGTAAGATGGCCCTGGGGTGTTAAAAACAAGCCAACAGAAGCAACGGACAGCCACGGACGGCTGCCGTTAACCGCAGAGCGCCTGGCCCCTTGCAGCTCCGCCGGCCGAGTGAGAAGCAGGCGGCTGCTGCCTTGAGTGACAGCCATCGGCGCGCTCGGTGGGCCCTTCCTCGTGCCCGCCGCGCGGTGTGGGTGCTTCCGCCCGCGCCTGGAGCACAGCTCTGCATCCGGCCGGGCAGCAGGCTGGGCTGTTGTGTTTACCTGCAGGGTTCTGGTTGCTTCTGATGCTTTTCAGTGACGCAGCGTGCCCACACCTGTAACCGTGGGCGTGGGGCTCCCAGGCCAGTGGGGAAGAACCTGTCCCTTGGGAGATGGAGAGCCAAGGGGCCCCTGCCAGCCTCGTGGACCCAAACCCACCCCCCGAGGGCCCTGAAGCCACGTGGGCGGCCGGCCCCTCAGCCCCGTGCCCTCCCTGTCTCGCAGGGTCCCCAGCATGGTGCTGAAGGCCTTCTTCCCCACGTGCTGCGTCTCGGCGGACAGCGGCCTGCTGGTGGGGCGCTGGGTCCCGGAGCAGAGCAGCGCGGTGGTCCTGGCTGTGGTGCACTTCCCCTTCATCCCCGTCCAGGTCAAGGAGCTCCTGGCGCAGGTGCAGCAGGTCAGCCGGGTCGGCGTGACCGTGCTGGGCACCTGGTGCCACCACCGGCAGGAACCCCAGGAGAGCCTGGGCCACTTCCTGGAGGGCCTGGGGGCCATCTTCTCCCACGAGCCCTGGCTGCAGCTGTGCCGGGAGCGGGACAGCAAGTCCTGGACCTGCAAGGCCACCCGCCGGCAGACGCCCACAGCCGCCGGCGAGGACCAGGTCCTGCTCATCTTCTACGACCAGCGCAAGGTGCTGCTGTCCCAGCTGCACCCGCCTGCCGCCCTGCCCGACCGCCAGGCTGGAGACGCCACACCCAGCGCCAGGGGCCTGGCCGTTGTGTTCGACACGGTGGCGCGCAGCGAGACGCTCTTCCGTAGCGACCGCTTTGACGAGGGCCCCGTGCGGCTGAGCCACTGGCAGTCCGAGGGCGTGGAGGCCAGCATCCTCGTGGAGCTGCTGACGCGGGCCTCGGGGCCCGTGTGCCTGCTGCTGTCCTGGCTGCTGTCCCTGCTGTCGGCCGTCGGCTCCTGCTGGTGAGCAGCCCTGGGGCCCTGCCGTTCTGCAGTCACTCGGTTCTGGGTGGGGCCCAGGAGGGAGAAGTGGGCTGGGGTTCTGCTCGCTCCCCTGCAGCCCTGCACCGCGCTCCCAGGAGAGCACGTCGCCACAGCCCTGTGCCTGGGGCTGCTCTGCCTGGGCCACGGGCCTGGCCGCGGGGTTTGTCGGAGGAGTGGGGCGGCACCAGGGTGTTCAGCTCGTGAGCAGGGGTCCTGGGGCCCACCCACACCGCCCCCATCCGGCCCGGGGATTCGGCCCGGTGTGTGTGGACACTGGCCTGGGGTTGGGGGCCCTGTTGGTGGGGATGAATTTGGTGGAGGAGCCCCAGGCCTGGTGCGGGGTGGGCGGGGTGGGCAGGGGGGCCCCCAGCTTGTCTCCCGCTTCTCGAAAGGCCCCAGGGAGGTTCAGAGCCGCTCGCGTGTGCCAGATGGGGATTAGCCCGCCAGGCGCTGGCGATGAGCACTGACATTCACTGCTGCTGAGCAGAGCCCCCCTGCCTCCAGGTGTCGTGCCCCCCCGCAGCCTCGGGGACACTGCCCCTCTGGGGGGGTCTCGGGTGGCCGGCTGCAGGTCTCGGCTGCGTCGGCACCGAGGGGAGCAGGTTTGTTTCTGGAACCGGTTGAAAGCTGTGGACCCCTCGTCCTCCCACGTGCCACCTAAGGTTGGCACAGGCCTGTCGGGAAGCCGGTCAGAGCGGAGCGTCCCCCAGCTCCCGCGCAGGCCTGTCGGGAAGCCGGTCAGAGCGGAGCGTCCCCCAGCTCCCGCGTGGGCCTGTCGGGAAGCCGGTCAGAGCTGTGTCCCCCAGCTCCCGCGCGGGCCTGTCGGGCAGCCGGTCAGAGCGGAGTGTCCCCCAGCTCCCGCGTGGGCCTGTCGGGCAGCCGGTCAGAGCGGAGTGTCCCCCAGCTCCTGCGCGGGCCTGTCGGGCAGCCGGTCAGAGCGGAGTGTCCCCCAGCTCCCGCGCGGGCCTGTCGGGAAGCCGGTCAGAGCGGCAGATGCTTGCTGGGCCATGGGTCGCTGTCGGGAGGCTGCGTTCTCTACCGGTTCTGGGAGGTCAAGTCCTGTGCTGGCCGAGAGGACGGGGGTGGGTGCTGGACACCGCTGCGCCCCTCGCTGGGCTCAGAGCCGCAGCCCTGGGGAGTGGGCGGAGAGCGGGTGTCGCTCAGTCCTCGCGGTCTGGCCGGCTCCTTCGCAGGGTGTTCAGGCTCTGGCCCCTGGCCTTGATCGGGAGCAAGCTGTCCACGTGTGAGCAGGTCCGGCACCGGCTGGAGCACCTCTCACTCATCTTCAGCCCCCAGAAGGCCCAGGACCCCACCCAGCTGATGAGGTGCGGGCCTGCCCTGGGTCTCCCCTCGGGGTGGGGCGTGCCGTGGCCCCGCCTCCTCGCCACCCCCCGCTGACCCCTGCAGGAAGGCCAACATGCTGCTCTCCGTGCTTCTGGACGTGGCCCTGGGCCTCGCGCTGCTGGGCTGGCTCCACGGCAAGAACCGGGTCGGGCAGCTGGCCGACGCCCTTGTGCCTGCGGCTGATGTGAGTGCGTCGGGCGCAGCCCTGTCCCCGGGGGTGGGACCGGTCCTCCCCACACACTCGGGGCTGGGGGGGCTGATGGCGCCGGTGCGCGCCCACACTCTGCCTCCCCTCCTGCAGATCTGCTCAGAGCCATCAATGTTTAATTAGGATCCGAGGGCCTCTTCCTGCTGCCGAGCTCTTGCCCCTTAAATACTACATGAGCTCTATTTATAGGGCCCTCTGTCCTCCCCGCTGGTCCTGATGCGGCAGGCCTTAGCACAGGGCTGAAAGCGGCCTGCAGTGTGGGCATGTGGGGTCCTGGGGGCCTTGCCTTGGTGAGGCTGCCCCCGGGCCAGGGTGCCGCCCGGCGCTGGCTCTCCTCCACGTGGGCAGCCGCCAGCTTCCGTTCCTGCCCCTGGGCTCCCTGTGACAAACCCGAGGTCGTCCACGCGGGGTGGTGGGGCTTTGCCGGCCGCAGGCTGTCCTGCAGGGCTCGAGGTCAGCCAAGGTCTGTGCAGCCGAGGCTGTGTCCACGCGTCTGAGGCCAGGGCCTCCTGTGTGTCCAGTGGACCAGGTCAGACTGGGGGCCTGAGGGAGGCCTCCAGACCAACCGCAGAAGCTGCCCAGGAAGAGGGCTCTGGGGCCAGATGAGCCGGGGAAGCCCCGCTCGTCCATTCTTGGAGAAGCCGTCCAGACCCCTGAAGGGAGGAGGCCTGGTCTGCTTGCCTCGGAGGTGGCCGGCCGGCGGTGTGGGAGCCCAGCTGCGCTGGCCCCGGGAGACGCACACTGAACCTGGCCCCCCGCGTCCTCTGTGTCTTGCAGCACGTGGCCGAAGAGCTGCAGCATCTGCTGCAGTGGCTGATGGGCGCACCTGCTGGGCTCAAGATGAACCGGGCCCTGGACCAGGTGCTGGGCCGCTTCTTCCTGTACCACATCCACCTGTGGATCAGTGAGTCCCTAGCGGGTGGGGCAGGGTGGACGCCGTGGGCACCATGGCCCAGGGACTCTAGGAACCCCAGGGGAGAGGGCAGTGGGGTCCCAGCGGAGCCCCCTGCCCCCTCTGCTGCCCTCCTGGAGTCCCGTGGGTGGAGCCGTGGTGCCGGGCCAGGCCTGGGGCCTTGGGTCCCGTGCTAGTCTGTACTTGCAGCTCCCGGGAGCCTCTGGTGCCCATCCCCAGAGAGGACGTGGGGGGCACCCTAGGACGCTCCTGGCACCGCCCTCAGCACCCGCCCGCGTCCCGCCAGGCTATGTCCACCTCACGTCCCCGTTCATCGAGCGCATCCTGTGGCACGTGGGCTTCTCTGCCTGCCTGGGCCTGACGGTGGCCATGTCCGTCCTGTCGGACATCATCGCCCTGCTCACCTTCCACATCTACTGCTTCTATGTCTACGGGGCCAGGTGCGCGGTCCTCCGGGCAGGCGGGCGGGTGGGCGGGGAGGGTGCCGCAGCCCTGGCGGCACCACGCCCTGCTCACCTTCCACATCTACTGCTTCTACGTCTGTGGGGCCAGGTGCACAGTCCTCCGGGCGGGTGGGGAGGGTGCCGCGGCCCTGACGGCACCACGCCCTGCAGGCTGTACTGCCTCAAGATCTGCGGCCTGTCCTCGCTCTGGCGTCTGTTCCGCGGCAAGAAGTGGAACGTCCTGCGGCAGCGGGTGGATTCCTGCTCCTACGACCTGGACCAGGTGGGGGCAGTGCAGCCACGTGGGCACTCGGGGGGTGTGGCCTGGACCAGGTGGGGGCAGTGCGGCCATGTGGGCACTCAGGGGGTGTGGCCTGGACCAGGTGGGGGCAGTGCGGCCATGTGGGCACTCGGGGGGTGTGGCCTGGACCAGGTGGGGGCAGTGCGGCCACGTGGGCACTCGGGGGGAGGCCTACTCCTGTCTTACAGCTGGCTTGAGCCCAGAGGGAGGTGTGGGTAGACGCCGCTCTGGCTCCCGGGTTCACTCCTACCGATAGCCCTGTGTCTTCCTGGCCCCGTGCTGGGTCTGCAGGCAGAGGGAGGCCCCCTCCCAGGCTGTCCTGAGTTGGGGGAGCCGAGGTATCCCAGCTGCAGGTGCGGGATTGGGGCCGGAGGCAGGGAGCCTCTGACCCCCATGCGGCCGCCCTCTCCCCACAGCTGTTCATCGGAACTTTGCTCTTCACCATCCTGGTCTTCCTGCTGCCCACCACGGCCCTGTACTACCTGGTGTTCACCCTGGTGAGCAGAGCAGTCTGGGATGACCCAAGGTCCGTGCAGTGGTCACTCCCAGCTCTGCCTCAGAGGCAGGCTGTGCAGCTCCCCAGGCCACGTTGGTGTGGCTGTGCCGGGCCCTGGAGCGGACAGGGGTCCCCCCTGCGGGAGAACACCACCCCAAGTCCGGGACACTCAGCTGGGCGCAGGGAGGACCCGTGGCCGGCAGGGTCAGAGGGGAGGCCTCCCGACAGTGCTGGATGCCAGGCGTGGGTGGCCCCTGGCGGACCAGGCCCTCTAGGCAGCTGTCTGCTCTGTGAGTGGGACCAGGGGATGCACGGTGGGAGGGCCGGCCTCTCTGCTCCCAGCTGCCCCAGGGCAAAGCTGAGTGTCCACCTCCTGGCTACTTGGGCTCAGGTCATGGCCCGGGCGGGTGCTCTGGGCCCTCTTCGCTGCGGTCCCTGCTCTTCCAGGGCCCTTGAGGCCCCGCTCCCTTCGCTGCATGTCCTGCGTGTGCGGCCCGGCTCTGGCCACAGCCCCAGCTGCGAGGCCCTGAGGGTGCCTGTCCCTGCGCTGCAGCTCCGGCTCCTGGTGGTCGCCGTGCAGGGCCTGATCCATCTGCTCGTGGACGTCATCAACTCGCTGCCCCTGTACTCGCTGGGCCTGCGGCTGTGCCGGCCCTACAGGCTGGCAGGTCAGTGCTGTGTTCTGGACACAACCTGGGAGCGGGCAGGCGAGGGATTCGGAGCCTCCTGGTCCCAGTGTCCGCTGACCAGCTGCCTCCAGGGAGGAGGTAGGCGAGGCCCAGCCGGTGCCCGTCCAGAGACGGGAGCCCGGAGGCCACAGAGCACTCTGCTCGCGCTGGCCATCTGCAGGGAGCGTGGCCATGCAGCAGGCTGTCCTGGGCAGTGCAGGGCTGGGGGCAGGCGCAGCTCCGTGGGGGGGGTGCTGTGCGCCTCCTGTGGGCAGGCTGTGGGGGGGGTCACTGCCCAGCAGGAGGCACCGGGCCTGTTGCCCTGCTGCCCTTCCGTCCTCACACCCACCTTAGGCCCACTCTCCCTCGGGTGTGTCGGCCCACCAGTGTCCAGAGGCCTTGAGCTGAGGCCTCCTCCCGCCATGCGGCCAACAGCTGCTGGGCACCTGCAGACCCCCCCGGGACGCCTCCCAGGGACCCAGCTGCGTGCTGCCCATCCTCTCTCGGCCTCCAGAGCCCAAGGACCGGGTGGGGGAGGCTCAGCCCATGGCGTCCAGGTACCCGAGCCGGCGGCTCACGGCGGAGCAGGGCACGCGGGCCCTCCCAAGAACGCCACAGAGGTCTCCACAGTGCTCTATCGGCTCAGCTCCTGCTCTCTTCCTAGAACCTTCTGCTGTGGGTTCCTCTGGCTAGGGGGCTGAACTGCAGGCAGGGCCCGGTGGGCCCCTGAGCTGACCAAGCACACAGACACACCGAGGAGCTAGCCCGTCCTCCATCCCCAGCAAGCACCCTGTCTGTGCAGGAGACAGCGTGGCCTGTGTCCCTGCCTGCTGGGCACTGGGCCTCTGTCAGCGCTGCCCTGTAGCAGGGCGGGGGGAGTGCCCGTCTGCCGGCTCCCTCCCTGGGTGCCCACAGCAGCCCTCAGCCCCACCCAGGTCTCCCACGTGGGTGGACCAGGTACTCGAGCCATTGCTGCTGCCCCACGGGTGCACCTCAGCAGGAAGTGGAGTTGAGCCGAGCCAGGCCCGAGCCAGCCACTCCCTGAGTCTGGCCCGGGGCCCCGCGCCTGCCCTGCACAGAGCACGGCGGGACTGACGGCCGTGGGGGGCCCGGCCCGTGTGTGCCCCTGCCTGAGCACCTGTCCCCTTGCAGCTGGCGTCAAGTTCCGCGTCCTAGCGCACGAGGCTGGCAGGCCTCTCCGCCTCCTCATGCAGGTAAGGCTGGCCCGGCCAGGCCCCGCCCGCGCTGGGACAGCTGAGGTCTCAGTGTCAGCGGAGCCGTGGTCTGCGGGAGCTCCAGGCTGGCCCGCAGTCACCCAGTCACTCGTGGGCTCTTGTCCCGGGCCCCCGGGGGACTTGGCAGAGGTCTGGGCCTGGCCCTGCGGTCCTCCATCCCAGAGAGCCCCAGGTACCCGGGCCCCGTCGGGGCTGCTGTTCGTCAGGGGCGCCTGGGCGCTGAGTGTGTTGGGGTGGGGCAGCCCCGACCTGTGGCCCAGCCTTCCCCCGACGGCACTCAGCCTGCTCCCGGGACCGCCTGAAAGGCAGAGCCCAGGGTCCCTCCCGCGGAGGCCCGCTGACCCGCCCCTGTCTTTCCAGATGCAGCCCCTGCCCTACAGCCGCGTGGTGCGCGTCTACCGCCTCCCCAGCTGCGGCTGCCACCCCCAGCACTCGTGGGGCTCCCTGTGCCGCAAGCTGTTCTCCGGGGAGCTCATCTACCCCTGGAGGCAGAGGGCGGACAAGCAGGACTGAGAGGCGGCTGCGGGGTGCTCCGGGCTCCAGGGCGGGGACCCTGCTTCCTGCCCCGGCCCCGTCTGGAAGCGGTGCAGGCCCTGCCTGGGGCCCCTGCGCTGCCCAGCGGTCGTGGGCGCTGGGGGCGGCCCCCTGCCTCCTGCTCTAGCCCCATCCGCCTTGGGATTTGCCCTTGCTCTGAGGCCTGGCAGCCCCCGGCTCACATGGGTCGGCCACCCACGGCAGTTCCCGCCGGGTGTGCGGGCAGTGCTGCCCCAGCGGCCCCAGCCTAGCAGGTTGGGCTGGAGGGACCCTCCCATCTGCCTCAGTGGGACGTCCCTGCCATCTTGGGCAGGGCTGAGGCAGCTGCGGCCCCGTTCCAGCCCCTGGGAGCTGATGGCAGCATGGAGGTTGCTTTGTGGAGCAGCCATGACAGGCCCTGAGGTGTGGTCGGAGCTGCCTCTGGAAGCCAGCTGCCCACCCCCCCGGCTGCCCTGGCCCTGCCCAGTGCCTCTGTGGGAACAGGCACGACCTTCCTGGAGGAAGGCGGCGCCCACCTGGGCAGGTGCACCTGCAGCTGTGGGGGGTGGCTTGGCCCAGGTCCCTGGAGGGGTGCCCAGCCATGCCATGCAGGCGAGTGCGTGGGCAGCAGCAGGCCTGTGCTGACAATAAAACCTGTGTGTGTGCAGTGGTGGCTCGGCCTTTGCCCTCCCGCGTGGGCGATGGGTCCGTGAGCAGCTTGGGGCTCTGCTCTGGCCTGGCCCTGAGGTGACCGCTCAGCCTCAGGCAGGTCTGGGGGTGGGGTGCAGGCCCTGGGCCCTTGACGCCTGCGGGCGTGGCCTCACCCCAGCACTGGGGGGCCCCTGAGGCGGGCTGGGGACGGGAGCTCAGCCACTTCTGGATCGATGTGTGGTCAGGTACCGCCCGCACTGACTGACGCCTGGGCGCCAGGGGCTTCCTCTGCCGCCTGCTGCCCCGGCTAGGGAGAGGCTGTGTGCTGAGCCCCGCTGCCCACAGCCTGGGGGCGGGGCCTGCTCGCTGCTGGCTGCCTTCGGTGTGGGCTTCAGGGCAGCTCGGGCCCGAGGTGGGAGGCCACAGCTGCACGGGGCCTCCACCTCCCCGTGTGCCGCGTCAGCTCACCCCGGGGCTCCCGTGGTCAGAATAGTGCCCCTGTCCTGCGGCACTGCTCGCCGGGCCTGCACTGGACACGTGACGGCCGCGTCTGTCCCTCATCTCTGTCGGCCACCTGTTCGTGTCTGCCCGTGTTGCTGGCCCGTCTGAGCAGGATGTCAGCCGGCATCTCCTCGGCACCGACCTGGGCTGGGTCCTGAGCCGCCGCAGGGCCGCAGGGGCTCCGTGAGCTTCCGACACGGGCTGTGGGGCTGCGGACCTGTGCTCCCGTGACCCGGGCTGGTGGGCATCGTCCCGTCCTCTGCTGCTGTAACTAACACGAGGGACGGAGGCTTGCGTAGCTTGCGGCTGCGGGGCCCGGGGTGCGAGAGCAGGGTGCCCGCACCTGGTGGGGGCCTTGCTTCCTCAGTGTGGTGAGGCAGCCAGGGTGCTGGCTCAGGCCTCTCTCTCTCTGTCTCCTTTCTTACTTTTATTTTTTAAAAAGATTTATTTTGTGTATTTGAAAGAGTTGCAGAGAGAAATAGAGGCAGAGAGAGAGGTCTTCCATCCGCTGGTTCACTCCCCAGGTGGCAGGTGGCTGAAATGGCTGGAGCTGTGCCGATCTGAAGCCAGGAGCCAGGTGCTTCTTCTGGGACCCCCACGCGGGTGCGGGGGCCCAAGGACCTGGGCCATCCTCCACTGCTTTCCCAGGCCACAGCAGAGAGCTGAATCAGGAGAGGAGCAGCCGGGACTCGAACCGACGCCCAGATGGGATGCCAGTGCTGCAGGCCAGGGTGTTAACCCGCTGCGCCACAGTGCCAGCCCCCTCTTTTTCTAAAAGATGTATTTATTTATCTGAAGGGCAGAGTTGGAAGGAGGGAGAGACAGAGATCTCCATCTAGTGGTTCATTCCCCAAATGGCCGCCAGCACCAGGCCAGCGCCAGGTGCCTACAGCTCCATCTGGGGTCTCCCACATGGGTGCGAGGGCCACTGTTAAGCTCTGTCCAGGTGCGTTACGAGGGAGCTGGGTGGGGCCACCGCGTGCAGTGCCGTCGTCCTACATGGGCACCGGTTTCTGTCCCAGCTGCTCCACTTCCCGTGCAGCTCCCTGCTGATGAGCCTGGGAAAGCAGCAGAAGACGCACCCACGTAGGACCCAGAAGAAGCTCCTGGCTCCTGGTGGCCATTTGGAGAGAGAACCAGCAATGAAAGGCACCCATCCCTCTCTGTATCCGTGCCTTTAAAATAAGTATTTTTTTTAAAGAGCTGAATCAGCAGCTGAGCAGCCGGGGTCTCTAACCCCACTCGTGGGATGCACGTCACGGGCGGTGGCTTAACCTGCTGCCGCTCAACACCGGCCCCTCGTGGGGCTATGTCAGTGACCTCGTCCCATACTAACTACCGCCCAGAGTCCCCACCCCCACCCCAGACATCACCACCATGAGCCTGGGGATTAGGTTTCCTGGAGCCAGCACAGGGGGGCCCTCGCTTGCAGACGCTGGGTCTGGAGGGCTGTCTGCATTGCACGCTCAGAGCCAGCAGGTTGGTGAGCTACAGGGGAGACCACTGGCCCGGCAGCCAGGCGCGCAGGCTGGGGCGGCCCGGGCTTCTGAGTAGGGGTCTGTTTGCTTTGCCGCGGGCTGACATCTGCCAGCAGCAGGCGTGCAGGCGTGCACGCGGGTCCTGCCTCCCACAATGCCTGCCTTCCGCTCTGAGCCGAGGCCAGCATGGGGGCTGTGACCCGAGCTCCCTGAGGCCTGCCCTGGAGGTCTTACCCACGGGCAGTTCCCTGAAATCAGAGCACTGTCCCAACCCATAAAGCAAGGATGGCGCAGTGGGAGGAGCCGGGCCCTTCCTGGTCCTGGGAGGTGGAGACCAGGCAGCCTGAGAGGAGTGGGCACACGCCCACTGAGCTGGGGGAGCTGATGGGGTAAGGGAGGAGGAGCTGAGAGAGCAGCGGCCGGCTCCGAGGGTGGGCTGTCTCCCCCTCCCCACCAGCAGAGAGCTGACTGCCTGGCCTGTGCTGCTCTGTGGGTGTTGTGTGTTAGTGGCTGTGTCTGCTGCCACCCAGTGTCCAGGGCAGGATGCGGCCCAGGAGTCCTCTGGATCCACAGGCGCCTGCCGTGTGGCCCTGCACACAGGAGCCCCTCCCTGAACAGATGGGGGGGGTGTCTTTGCTCAAGGGACAGCGGCTGCTGCAGGGGGCGCGCTGGGGGAGTGGTCCTGGCTGGCCGCGGCCTCTCCTGCTGTTAGGGTCACTGCTCCTGGGGACACATCCGAACTCCACTTGGCACCTGGGCTCCGTCGCAGGCCGCGGTGTCCGGCTGTGTCCACTTTTGGCCACTGTGACCAGCCTGCCATGGGCATTCAGCTGTGTGCAGGATTCCTAGCTGGCGTCGTGTGGGACGAATCTTACGAGTGTTTATTTGAAAGGCAGTTACAGAGGGAGCTCTTCCATTCCCCAAACGGCCACAGGGCTTGAGCTGGGCCAGACAGGAGCCAGGGGCCTGGCACTCCCTCCAGGCCTCCCACGTGGGTGCGGGGGCCCAGGCTTTTGTGCCGTGTCCAGCAGGGAGCCCGTGGGGGACATGCGGCTTGGCTTGTGGGTTATTAATTACACATCATGCGTGAATATGACTTTTTAAAGATTTATTTGGAAGACAGAAGAGAGAGGTCCTCCATCCGCTGGCTCACTCCCCAGATGGCGGCGTTGGCCGGGGCTGGGCCAGGCGAGGCCAGGAGCCAGGGGCTTCTTCCGGGTCTCCTACGTGCGTGCAGGGGCCCCGGCCGCCCGCAGGGAGCTGGACGGGAAGTGGGGGCAGCGCGACGGGCCTGGCGGCGCCGGCCCAGGGCGGCCTTCCTAGGGGCCCTCGGTGAAGAGCCCCGCCGGCCCCCGCGGGGAGATCTCGGCTGGGCGCACGGACGTGGGCTCCCGGCACTGCCTCCCGCCGGGTCCTCGGTGGGCATCTCCGCGGCGCGGCGCCCAGGCCGACCGCGCGGATGTCGCGCCCCACGAGGCGTCGCTGAGGCTCCCCGAGACGACGCAGCCCCAGCGCCAGGCCGCCTCCCTGGGACCTCTGACGCCTCGGCTCGAGGGCCACCACTGTCCGACCTGGAGCTTCGAGCTCTTGATTGGTCAGCGTGCGAGAAAAGGGGCGGGAAGAAGGGGGCGTGGCGAGAGGCGCCACGATCGGCGTGTGGGCGGTCCAATGGCTCGGCCACGGCGGCCAATGGTGACAGCGCGGAGGCTGAGGTGTTGAGGGCTGGTGGGCGGAGTGGTTCCGGGATGCTTTGCGGACTGGGGCGGTAGCGGTACTGACGGACGTGTCGGCCGGCCAATGGTTCCAGACCATCAGAAGGCGAGTGGCCAATGGCGATGGGGGCCAGGCGGGGTGCCTGTAATCGGCCAGAAGCTGTGTGGGAAACTCCAGGGGCGGGGCGGCCGCGAAGGACGGACGGACAGGCCAATGACCTCGGGAAAGAGGGCGTCGGGCGACCAACGGCGGCGAGAAGGAGGCGGGGTGGGGCGGGGAGACGGCGCATCTGCGGCGTTGTGTGGGAAACGGCGGGGGCGGGGCGGTCCTGACCGACGGGCGGACAGGCCAATGGGCCGTGGAGGGACGTCGGCAGGCGGCCAATGGAGGCGGCGCGGCCGGGGGCGGGGCGGCGCGCTGCGCGGCCTGTGCGGGAAGCTGCGGGGCGGCGGCGCGGAGGCTGAGGCGAGTCGGGGCGGCGGCGGCCGGGCCGGGAGGGGCGGCGGCGGCGGGGCCGGGCGCGGGGGCCGCGCCGTCCCGGCCGGCGGCGCGCTCAGCCGGGCCCGTCCCGCAGGTCTCAGGGCTCCGGGCCGCGGCGGGCCGGCCGCGGGGCAGGATGGGCACGCAGGGCAGCCCGGTGAAGAGCTACGACTACCTGCTCAAGTTCCTGCTGGTGGGCGACAGCGACGTGGGCAAGGGCGAGATCCTGGAGAGCCTGCAGGACGGCGCGTCCGAGTCGCCGTACGCCTACAGCAACGGTGAGGCCGCGCGGGCGGCTGCGGGCCCGTGCGGGGCTGACAGCGGCCGGGCGGGGCGGGGCGGGCGCCGGCCCGCGGGCTTCCGGTCCGCGGCCGGGCGCGCGGCGTGGGTGGCGCGAGGACGCCGCGGCCACGGCCGGCCGCCGGGCGGGCATTGTGCGCCCTGCCCGCGGCGCTTGCCGGACCCCGCCTGCGTCGCCGCCTGGCTTTGTGTATCGGCCCGCAGCCCCGTCTGACGGCTCCGAGTGTCTGCTGACGCGCGTGGCCGCGGCCCGGCGGTGGTGGGAGGTCAGCAGGACGCCCCGGGGCTGTGGCGCCGCTCCTCTGCTCCTGGGAGGCCGCGGGTCACCTCGTCCGCCTGCCCGAGTGCCCAGGCTGTGACAGGAGCGCCCGCGACCCCCCGCGCCGTGGCCCCGAGGGGGACAGCCCGGGCTGGGAGGCGGGTCCTCGTGGCCGGGCGCCGGCCCGCAGCGCAGGCGCTTCCCGGGTGGCCGCGGGAGCCCTTGGCCGAGGCGCCCGCGTGCAGGGCGTAGGCGTGCGTTTCCCTGAGCTCTTGTCGGTTCCGTCTCTTCTTTGTTTTTTAGGGTTTGTTCACTTACTGTAAAATGCACTTACTGGGAAGCCAGGTCTTGCATCCTCTGGCGCGTTCCCCACCTGGCGGGAGCCCGGCATCCCGAGTGGGCGCCCGGGCCTGGGCCCCGTCCGCTGCCTGCCAGGCCAGGGGCGGGAGCCGGAGCAGAGGTGGCGCAGCGGGGGAAGCTGGGGATGCCACGCGCTGGCCCCGTCTGTCTGTGTCCATCTGGAGGCAGAGTGACAGAGAGGTCCCCACCCGCTGGCTCGCGCCCTGCGTGGCGGCGTCTGCGTTTCTGCGCGGTGGAGGAGCTCGGGGCTTGAACCCGTGCTGCTCTGTTCAGATCCGGGGCTGGGACTTGGACCAGCAGCCGGGGCCCCACGCTGCGCGCCCGGCGTGAACAGCCGCCACGCGGGCCTCCCCAGGCGCCTGGTCTTCGGCCTGAACTTGCCGCTGCTTGTGGCCAGGGCGGCAGGCCTGGTGAAGGCGTGGCCTGGGTCCCGCTCCCCGGGCCGGTCCAGCTCGTTCTGCAGACGGGCACGTGAGTGTCCGCGGCACTTCCAGCGTCACCGTGGCCTCCTCGCTGAGCGTTCACCCCGGGCCGTGGACGAGCGGCGTGCGACCACAGGCCTGCTCCCGCGGCCGCCTGGGCTCCGCGGAGGGGTCCTGGCTCCCTGCCTCAGAGCCGCCCCGCAGAGGGTCTGGAGATGCCCCCCCCCCCCCCGCCACGGTGCCGGCACAGGGCCGCCGCGCGTGAGCGGCAGGGGCTCCTGGCCCGGGGGACAGGGGTGCTGGCCGGCTCCGGGGCGCACCTGCTCACCAGGTGTGCGCTGGCCCCATGCAGCCCGCCGTCCTCCGGCAGGCCTCTGCGCCTTCCCACCGTGTGGCCTCTGGCACGGTCGGCCGTGGTGGATTTGCCCACATCCTGGAAGACCGGGTGGGGAAACAAGGGGATCCGTGAGCGGGACTCCGTCTCCCCCTCGCCCTGAGCGGTGCCCAGAGCGGGGCGGCTGCGGGCGGCGAGGCCGACTCCGAGGCTGGCGTGGGGCCGGGTGCCGCATCCGTGGCCACAGGCCCAGCTCCGTGGGTTTGCGCTGCGTGGGGATGGAGCTTTCTTCTGGTCTGACTTGAAGTAGGGTTGCCCGTGCTGCAGGTCCAGGGGCAGCCTGGGCTCTCTGTGGGCGTCACTTCCCGCCTAGACCCCCTCCCTGGGCTGCGCAGGGCAGGCGGGGTCTGTGCCGCCTTCCGCGTGCTGGCTGGAGCCTGTGTGGCCTCTGGTGCACGAGCAGCCCGGGTGCAGGCCCCACGCGTGCCCTGTGCAGCCCCCTGCGTGCCCTGTGCCCCCCACACGTGCCCTGTGCTGCCCCACACGTGCCCTGTGCTGCCCCCCACACGTGCCCTGTGCTGCCCCCCCACACGTGCCCTGTGCTGCCCCACACGTGCCGGTGCTGGGCCCCACGTGTGCCCTGTGCAGCCCTATACGTGCCCAGTACTGGCCCCACATGTGCCTGGTGCTGGGCCCCACGTGTGCCAGGTGCAGGCCCCACACGTGCCCAGTACTGGGCCCCCGTGTGCCTGGTCTGGGCCCCCTGTGCCCGGTGCAGGCCTCATGCGTGCCCTGCGCAGCCCTGCGCGTGCCCGGTGCTGGTCGTGTCGTCACCGCGCACCCCCTTTGAGCCTTCTGTTGGGAGCTTGTGTCGACCCCACTTCCCACGGGCGTGCGCCGTCAGGTCCAGGTTTGGGTCACAGTGTCAGCCCAGGTGGATGCGGCAGTGGGTGACGGGCGATGCCTGCCAGCCCCCTGCTGAGCGGTCCCCTCACCACCACCCTGTGAGGGTGAGGGACTGAGGCTTTTTTTTTTTAATATATTTATGTATATATTCAAACGGCAGAGTTAGAGGTCTTCCATCTGCTGGTTCACTCCCCAGATGGCCGCAACAGCCGGAGCTGAGCCGATCCACAGCCAGGAGCCAGGAGTTTCCTCCAGGTCTCCATGCGGGGCAGGACCCAAGCACTTGGGTCATCCTCCACTGCCCTCCTGGGCCACAGCAGAGAGCTGGACAGGAAGAGGAGCAACCGGGACAGAATCCAGCGTTGGCTCCTCCCCCTATCTTTTTTTTTTTTTAGATTTATTTATTTGAAAGTCAGAATTACACAAAGATAAGGAGAGGCAGAGAGAGAGAGAGAGGGGTCTTCCATCCACTGGTTCACTCCTCAGATGGCCGCAATGGCCGGAGTTGCACCGATCCAAAGCCAGGAGCCAGGAGCTTCTTCCGGGTCTCCCACATGGGTTCAGGGACCCAAGGACCTGGGCCATCTTCTACTGCTCTCCCAGGCCACAGCAGAGAGCTGGATCAGAAGTGGAGCAGCCGGGACTGGAACTGGCACCCATATGGGATGCTGGCGCTTCAGGCCAGGGCTTTAACCTGCTGTGCCACAGCGCCGGCCCCGTCTTCCCCCTATCTTCAGCATGCGCTCAGGTGGCAGTGGAGGGCAGGCAGCACCCTGCAGGGCTGTGGGTGCACACTGGGCGTGCAGGGCTGTGGGGTGGACACTGGGCGTGCAGGGCTGTGGGGTGGACAGTGGGCATGCAGGCTGAGGGGTGCACACTGGGCGTGCAGGGCTGAGGGGTGGACACTGGCTGTGGGCTGGACACTGTATGTGCAGGGCTGTGGGGTGGACACTGGGCGTGCAGGGCTGTGGGTGGACACTGGCTGTGGGCTGGACACTGTGTGTGCAGGGCTGTGGGGTGGACACTGGGCGTGCAGGGCTGTGGGTGGACACTTGGCTGTGGGGTGGACAGTGGGCTGTGGGTGGACAGTGGGCATGCAGGCTGAGGGGGGGACAGTGGGTATGCAGGGCTGTTGTGTGGACATGGCGTGTGGGATGGACAGTGGGCGTGTGGGGTGGACAGTAGGTGTACAGGGGTAAGGGGTGGACACTGGGCTGCAGGGCTGTGGGGTGGACACTGGGCATGCAGGGCTGTGGGTGGACACTTGGCTGTGGGGTGGACAGTGGGCTGTGGGTGGACAGTGGGCATGCAGGCTGAAGGGTGGACACTGGGTGTGCCGGGCTGTGGGTGGACAGTGGGCTGTGGGGTGGACAGTGGGCATGCAGGGCTATGGGGTGGACACTGGGCGTGCAGGGCTGTGGGTGGACACTTGGCTGTGGGGTGGACAGTGGGCTGTGGGTGGACAGTGGGCATGCAGGCTGAGGGGTGGACAGTGGGCATGCAGGGCTGTGGGGTGGACACTGGGCTGTGGGGTGGGCACTGGGCGTGCAGGCTGTGGGGTGGACACATAGTGTCGTCTTGCGTGCACAGGGTTGTTTGTGGCCTGGGTGATGAACTAAGTTTAACAGTGTTCCAGGAAGGAAGCCTCGGGGCGGGAAGGATCCCTGGCCCCGACGCTGGCGTCTGGCTCTCAGGAAAGCCCTGATGGAGGGGCTGGCGTGTGCCTGCGCCGCCCGCACCCCGCGAGGCCCAGTTCACGTCCTGGCTGCCACTTCCCGTCCAGCTGGGAAGCAGCAGGGGGACGGCGCCAGCGCGTGGGCCCTGCTCCCCGTGTGGGAGACCTGCGGGGCTCCAGGCGCCGGGCTTCGGCGTGGCCCGGCCCCGGCCATTGCGGCCATCTGGCGGAAACCAGGGATGGCAGACCTCTCTGTCTCTGCGTCTCTCTAACTCTGCTCTGAAGGAAGGGAGCTGGCAGGAGGATGCGGCTGGGAAGGTGTGAAACTTGCATCCTGCAGCCCCAGCGTGGACGCCCTGAGCAGCGTGCTGGGGCCGGGCCGTGCTGCACGCCCTGTCCCTCGGGCACTTGGAGATCAGCGAGGCTGTGTCTGGTGTCCTGGTTTAGATAAAGTTGCAGGGAGAAGCCAAGACGTCTGGTCAGGCTGGGTGCACGGCCTGGGCTGCGGGGTTGGGGGTGGGTCAGCCCCTCAGTGCCTTTTTTTTTAAGATTTGTTTATGTATTTGAAAGGCTGAGTTACAGAGAGGCAGAGGGAGAGGGAGAGGGAGAGAGAGAGAGAGAGAGAGAGAGAGAGAGAGGTCTTCCATCCACGGGTTCACTCCCCAGGTGGCCATAACAGTCAGAGCTGCGCTGATCCGAAGCCAGGAGCCAGGAGCTTCCTCCAGGTCTCCCACACGGGTGCAGGGACCCAAGGACTTGGGCAATCTTCTACTGCTTTCCCAGGCCACAGCAGAGAGCTGGATCAGACGTGGAGCAGCCGGGACTGGAATGGTATCCTGGTTATATTTTTTAAGATCTTTGTTGCGGCCAATGCTGATGCAAGTGGGTTAAGCCTCCACCTGCAGCGCCAGCATCCTGTATGGGTGCCAGTTTGATTCCCGGCTGCTCCACTTCTGATCTGATTCCCTGGTTCACTCCCCAAATGGCCTCAATGGGGGAGGCTGGGCCAGGCTGAAGGCAGGAGCCAGCAACTCCATCCGGGTCTCCCAAGCACCTGGGCCGTCCTCCACCGTCTTCCCAGGCCACAGCAGGGAGCTGGATCGGAAGTGCAGCGGCTGAGACTCGAGCCGATGCCATACGGGATGCCGGTGCCGCTGCAGTGGGCTAACCTGTGGGTCACAGTGCCAGCCCTGTTTCCTTTTTATTTATTTGAAAGGAGAGAAACAGAGGTAGGGGGAGGTTTTTCCACCTGTTCTCCCCAAGTGGCCGCAGCAGCCAGGGCAGGGTCAGGCCAGAGCCAGCAGTCTGGAACTGCGTCTGGACCCCCTTGTGGGTGACAGGGTCTCAGGAACTTGAGCCGGAGTCAGAGCCTGGACGCTGCCCGGGCGCGGGCATCGCACACCAAGTCTGCCTCGTCCCTGCCTGGTGTCGGCTGAGCTGCGGGCGAGTGGGTGTCCGTGCCGTCCCTTCCCTGGGGGCTGCGTGTCCGGCCTGTGCTCGCCGAGTCCCGGCGCGGGATGCCCGAGTGCTTGTCTGCTGTCCTCGCTGAGCCGCCCAGGGGTGTGGGTCAGTCTGACCCGGGCCTCCCTGGGCAGGCTCTGTCGCGGCCGCACAGGAGGCTGCGTCTCCTTCTCCTCGGGTTCTTCCGGTGGGAGGGGGGCCCCGTCGTCGCTGGCTCTAAACTGAGGGCCCTGCCCAGCTGCAGACGGTCTGCACCCTCGCCCGCGGCCTTCCTCTCCTCCAGCGTGCAGGGCGGGTCCCGTGGCGCTCGGGCCTCTCCTCCACCCATCTCGACTCTGAAAGACTGGTTTGACGGCCACAGAGCCCAGGCTGCTCCCCAGTCGGGCTCCTGCCTCGGCGCCCTGCAGCGCCTCTGTCCCGTCTGCAGGGTCACAGGCCCCGGGCAGAAGCTGTGGCCATGGTGGGGTTGCTCCGCGGCCCGCACCTGTGCCGTGGTCCTTGTGCAGTGATGCTCTGCCCCGGTGAAGGGCCTTTCCTGCCTAGGACAGCTCGCAGACGGGGGCAGGAGTGCGGACACGTGGGGCTGCTTGCACAGCAGTGGGGCAGCCCTCACCCTGCGGGCCTGGCAGAGCCCCTGCCGTGCCGAGAGAGCCGTCCCCCAAGTCCCGCAGTCCACGGCGCGTCCGCTCAGGTCCGCGGTCGCCTCCCGAAGAGGTGGCTCACTTCCTGCCCAGAACCCGCAGCGCCTGCCCCGGTGTGGCGGCCGCGCTTGCCCTGCTCTGGCCTAGTCTCAGGAGCTGCTGTGGTCAGTGCCCAGTCGGAGGTGCGTGTGCGTCTGTGGCCGGCCCCTGCCTCGGGCGTCCTTGCGGGGCCTCAGGGCTCCCCCTAGCTGTAGAGCCCGCGTTGCTGAGGCCAAGTCTCCCTGGGCTTGGCTGGGCTGTGGCTGGCGGCCACCTCCAGCTTGCAGTTCCCTGGGAGCTCGTGGGAAGCCAGCACAGCGAATCTCAATGTTTTTTTTAATGCGCAGCAAGTTTCAGGTGGTAGGATAGCCAGGCCCTGGGCCACCTAGCTGGCTGCTGCCTGGGGTGTGCCTGCGAGGGGGTGTCCGTGACGTGGGTGTGCTCTGTAGCCTCACGTGGGAGAGGGGTGTGGTGGTGGTCCTGGGGCCCCCTCCAGGAGCCTTGTGCAGCCTCTGGGCTGTGTGGGTGTGGCCGCTGATGGGGAACGCTGTGTCCCCGGCGCTCCTCTGGACACGTGGCAGGAGCTTCCTCCTCCTTAGGGACACGCGGACTGCACGGGAGAGAGCTGGAGCCCACGCGGGCTGGCCGTGGAGTGTGGCCGCTCAGCCCTCGCCTGTGCCACACCTGCCGGGAGGCCTCCCGCCTCCCTGCCCTGGGAGAGCCCAGCCTGGGTGGGCCGAGGGCGGCGGGGAGGTGGGAGGGGCCCGTGGGAGCCCTTGCTGCTGCTCGGCCGCTGGCCGGGCCCCGTGGCTGCTGCGTGACTTCAGAGCTGCAGAGAACAGAGCCCAGGGCCGTCTTCTGTTTTGTTGTTTGTTCATCTTAAATCAGCCGTGTGCGTTCACTGCTGGGCGCGGGTGGACGACCACGTGTCCGCAGTTGCCGTTTCTTCCACAAGGACGCGGGTGCGCCTGCTCTGGCCTGGAGGGGCCGACACAGGATGCTGGGCCACCCGGGCAGCCGGCTGGGCTGTGCGCAGGGACCTGCCCTCCTGCAGGTCAGTGCTGCCCGTGAAAGGTGGGACTCCAGAAATCTTGCGTTCGTTCGTTCGTTCTTTTTAAGTTGATTAATTTATTTGGAAGGCAGAGTGTCAGAGAGGGAGAGACAGAGAAAGATCTTCCATCCTTTGGGTCACTCCCCAAATGGCCACAAAAGCCAGGTCTGGGCCGGGCTGGGGCCAGGAGCTCCACCCGGGTCTCCCCCGTGGGTGCAGGGCCCAAGCAGCTGGGCCGCCGTCTGCGGCTTTCCCAGGCCCCAGCAGGGAGCTGGGTCGGAAGTGGAGCAGCGGGACGGGACGCAGCGCTCTCCTGCCGGATGCCAGCGTAGCAAGGCACGGCTTGCCCTGCCGCACCGGCAGTGCTGCTTCATCTCTGAAATAAAGCTGGGAGGGGCCTCTCGGGGCGTCTGGACTCAGCTGGTTCCCCTGCGGCCCCTAGGGGCACGGTGGACACTTCCCTCCCCGACTCCGCAGCACCTGTGCCAGGGTGTGATCTGGAGCTGCGAGCAGTACCCCGTCTGGCCGTCCGTGTGAGCGGCAGAGACGACCCGGGTGCCAGTGTGCGGGCGCGGGCAGCCCCGCATCCAGTCTTCCTCCTGTGCCTCCCTGGAGACTGCACGGGACCAGGCTGTGGTCACCGGTCAGTGTCAAAACCAAGCTCTTCCTTCCGGGAAGTTGACGCGAGTGGCCCTTGTGAGCCATCTCCCTGTGCTGAGAGGGAGGGGCGGAGGGCGAGCTCTCCTCACGCGTGGTGCTGGTGGTGTCGGCCTCCTGGGATCGCGGGAGAAGAGGTTTACTGGGAGAAAGGAGGAGGGGCCGTGGGGCCCGGAGGGGCTTGGCCAGCTGTGTTCAGTCCTCGGCTGGAGCCGCTGGCTCGGGGCCAGGCCTCTGTAGCCGTGCGGGTGGGCACTGAGGGGTCATTGCTGCTCTCCATGGAGGATGGGTTAGCTGGAAGGAAGCAGTCACGGGTCGCCCTGGGGGCCGGGTGCCCGCCTGCCGGCTGCTGCGGTCTCCCGCCTCCGCCGTCCTCCATGCTGCATCGGAGGGCCCATCCTTTCCTGCCAGGTGTGGATGATGCCCAGAGCTGGCCATGCTTGGAACTAGTGCTTGGAGCTCAGCTCAGGGGTACTCAGCTAACAACAGTGCTCGGGGCTGGGACGGTACTCAGAGCCCTGGACAGTACTCGGAGCCGGGGCCGGTACTCGGGGCCAGGGACGGTACTCGGGGCCCGGGACGGTACTCGGAGCCGGGGACAGTACTTGGGGCCCGGGAGGTACTTGGGGCCGGGGCCTGGGATGGTACTCGGGGCTGGGGCCAAGGACGGTACTCGAGGCCCGGGACGGTACTCGGGGCCCGGGACGGTACTCGGAGCCTGGGATGGTACTCGGAGCAGGGGAAGGTACTCGGAGCCCGGGACGGTACTCGGGGCCGGGGACAGCACCTGACAGTGGCTACAGGACGAGGCGTCATCACAGCGCTCCTGATGCTCGGGTTGGTTGGGGACAAATTCGAGGAGGCTCCCGCTCCTCTCCAGTAGGGGGTGCCCCTGCCTCCCTGCCAGGGCTCATGGCAGCACCATCTGGGGCGGCCTGGGGGGCAGGGCAACCCCCATCCGGGTCCTGCTGGTGCAGGGACGAGGGCCGCAGCTTTCTCTGTCCCTGTTGTCTCCCGGGTGTGGCTTTGGGTTTCCGGAGGACCTGGTGTCCTCTAGGAGGCTCCGTGCAGGGGCTTGGCACCTTTCTCATCAGGCTGTCTGCTTTTCTGTTGGGGTGCAGGACCTCTTCACAGGTTGGACTGCTGACCCTCAGAGAGGCAGGGATGTGCAAACACTGTTTTCATTCTGGGGCTTGCGTGTCACTGTCGATGGCGCCTTCCACATCTGAGCCAGGCGCAGTGCCCCAGCGTGAGGGCAGCGTGCACGGCCGCTCAGCTGCTGCACACTCAGACACAGGCAGACACACACTGACACACAGATGCACGCATGTACACACAGGTGCACATGTGTGCACATAGATACAGGGACACAGGCAGACACGTGTGCACACAGATGCACGCATGTACAGACACACAGATGCACATGTGTGCACATAGATACAGAGACACAGGCAGACACACACTGACACACAGATGCACACATGTACAGACACACATATGCACATGTGTGCACATAGATACAGAGACACAGGCAGACACACACTGACACACAGATGCACGCATGTACAGACACACAGGTGCACATGTGTGCACATAGATACAGAGACACAGGCAGACACTGTGCACATAGATGCACGCATGTACACACAGATGCACATGTGTGCACATAGATACAGGGACACAGGCAGACACGTGTGCACACAGATGCACGCATGTACAGACACACAGGTGCACATGTGTGCACATAGATACAGAGACACAGGCAGACACACACTGACACACACACAGATGCACATAGACGCACTCACACGCAGACACAGTCACACACGCATTCTCTGTAGGAGCGACACCCATGTTCAGAAAAACCTCTGTGCCTGGCCCCCTCGGGCGCGTCTCAGACCAGCGGCCGAGGCTCAGGAGGCCGGGGCCGTGTGCCCGCGTGCCGACCCTCCCCCTGGGGGTGTGAGCCGGCTCGCGGAAGGCGCTCGGCAGAGCCAGGGCGGTGGAAGCCCCGTGCCCTGTGGGAGCTCCAGCAGCTGCAGCCTCCGGTTGGCTTCAGGGTTCTCAGGAGGCAGGGCCGGCGGGAAGGAGCGTGGCCCCCGGGAGCCCCGGTGCCCGCTCCCCAAGCCGGGAGTGAGGGCGCTGCCCGGCCCCAGCCCTGACGGGCCCCCGTTCCCCTGTCGCTGCAGGCATCGACTACAAGACCACCACCATCCTGCTGGACGGGCGGCGCGTCAAGCTGGAGCTGTGGTGCGTGGGCCCCGCGGGCGCGGCCGCGTCTCCTCGTGGCCCTGTGTCCTGACGGCCAGAGGCTGCGTCCCACGTCGTCCCGGCCCTCTCCCCTCGCTGGGGTCTCCAGAGGCGCAGGGCCGGGCGGGGACTCCCCTGCTGACTGCCCCCGTGTGTTTCAGGGACACGTCGGGCCAGGGCAGGTTCTGCACCATCTTCAGGTCCTACTCCAGGGGCGCGCAGGTAAGCCTGGCTGTTCTGTGTCCCGACCCCTCCCTGAGGCCTGGGCTCCTCCCTAAGGGGACTGGACGCTTGGTCATCGAGTTTCCCTCGTAGCCCACCCTCGTCTGGGGCCTCTCGCTGTGGCTCCCGTCCCCCGGAGCCGGGGCACCCGCTGTCCGTGTCCCCTCTGTCCTCATGGCCATGGCCTGTGGCTGTCTGAGCAGTGTCACCGTAGGGGCCTCCCAGTGCTGTCAAAATGGAGCTCACGCAGCTGAGTCCAGAAACCGAAGGCGGCCGCCCTGAGTCTGCCCAGGACCCTCACAGGCCTGCTGGGTTGGGGGACCTGCCCGGGGCAGTCGGGGCCAGAGCTCTGTGCGAGCGTCTAGGAGGGCTCCTGTGTGAATGGGTGCAGGTGCTGTGTGTGTGTGTGCATGCGTGTGGGGGCACTGGTGTGTGTGTGTGGGGGGGCACTGGAGCATGTGGGCGTGCATGTGTATGTGTGGGGGCACTGGTGTGGGGGGGCACTGGAGCATGTGGGCGTGCATGTGTATGTGTGGGGGCACTGGTGTGGGGGGGCACTGGAGCATGTGGGCGTGCATGTGTGCGTGTGCAGGGCACTGGTGTGTGCGTGTGTGTGCGTGCGTGTGCAGGGCTCGCTCTGTCCTCCGGTGCCCCCCGGGCCCCTGACCGACTGTGCTGATGCAGGGTGGGAGCGAGTGTGGTGCCGTGTGCACAGCCAGCTGGTCAGCGGGGGGATTTGGTGGCAACAGTCCTGTCTGTGGTGCATCTGTGACTTCCCCAAGGGCCAGAGAGCCGCTCCCTCCCAGACGTCCTCCTGCAGGAGCTGGGCGCCCTGTGTGGGCCTGGACGCAGGAGGAGGGCCCGGTGTGCCCTGCAGGCTGTCGCCTTGGGCTGCAAGGTGCCCCTTGTGCCTGCCCCTCCCCCACACTGCTCTGCGTCCTGCACCCTGGAGGTTTTGGATCACCTGGGGCGGCTGAGGGGAGAGCAGCCCTGAGGTGTGGGGCGACACCCGCCCCAGCCTGCGGCCCAGGTTCTGGGGCGGGGCCTTCTGCGTGGGAGGGTGGGGAGGGCAGGCTGGGCCTGGTGGGCCCTGGCCTTGAGTTCCCACCGAGCCCGCTGTGCAGAGGGGACTGATTCCCGTCCCCGGGGGTGCTCGGCCCTCCTGTTCTGGCGGTCCACGTGTGCCGCTTTGCTGTCAGACAGGGGCGTGAGGTCAGCTGTGGTGTGTAGCAGGGGCGGGTGCGGGCCCAGACACAACCAGCAGGAGGCGCTGTCCCGCTGGTGAGGCTTGCGGTCGGCTGCATCAGCTCGGGGAAGCCTGCGCCAGGCAGTGGCCCCCACTGCTCCCAGGCAGAGCCCCGGTGTGGGGGAGGTTCACCTGGCGTGATGTTTCCCGGGAGTCGACCTCTGTCAAACACTCACCGGGGTTTGCGTCCCGGCCCTTGCGTTTGGTGTGAGGGCAGCCACTCGGGCCCCGCAGGTGCACGCCCAGAAGCCCCCTTAGGAGCACCTGCGCTCAGGTGAGCCTCAGATGTCTGCCAGTGGGGAGGCGGCTATGTGGGCGTGACCCAGGGGACTGCAGGCCGGGTGATGGAGCGCCGCCCCAGCCCAGTCCCACCCCTGCAGGCCGTGTGACGGAGCGCCTCCCCAGCCCAGTCCCACCTCTGCAGGCCGGGTGACGGAGCGCCACCCCAGCCGAGTCCCACCTCTGCAGGCCGGGTGACGGAGCGCCTCCCCAGCCCAGTCCCACCTCTGCAGGCCGGGTGACGGAGCGCCTCCCCAGCCCAGTCCCACCTCTGCAGGCCGGGTGACAGAGCGCTGCCCCCAGCCCAGTCCCACCTCTGCAGACCTGGTGACGGAGCCGCCCCAGCCCAGTCCCACCTCTGCAGGCCGGGTGCGTGAGCGCTGCCCCCAGCCGAGGCCCACCGTGGTTTCTGGACTGTCCTGCTGTGCCATTTCCCCATTGTTCTCCTTGGCAAATCCGTGTTTTGATCTCTGGGGCTGCTGGAATTTGCCGGAATTCGTCCTGTGTCCTCCCGCCCCGTCTCCTGTGCCGTGCCGCGCCGCCGTGCCCCACACGACAGCCATGGGCAGTCCCAGAAGGGGCCAGGACTTCTGGCAGCAGCCCTGGTGCCGAGGGATCCCGGGCCAGGCTCACAGGGCTCTCCGCCTGCTTGCGCCCGTGGAGCGTGACGTGGCCGGGTGCTCAGGTGGAGGTGCTGGTCGGCACTAACGAGAGGCCGCACCCGCCACGCCAGCCCCTTCTCGGCACCCTGCCCCGCATTCTCGCTCTTGTCGACCCCCCGCCGGCCCCTGTTGAAAGCACTGGGACAGAGCTCTGGGTGCCGGCGTGGACTCCCCGCGTGGGGAGCGGGCTCCTCCCCTACACGCCCGGCCACGGGTTCCCTCCACTTGCTCTGACTCCATTTATTCAAAGGCAGGGAGACAGACATCTCCCGTCCGCCAGTTCGCTCCCCAGATGCCCAGAGTAGCCAGGACTGGGCCTGGCGGAGTCCAGGAGCCGGGAACCCCCTTGGGTCTCCTGAGTGGGTAGCGGGGCCAGCACCTGAGCCGCCACCGGCTGCCTCCCAGACTGCATCGGCGGGAGCCGGAGCCGGGCCCGGCAGCAGGAGCCCTACTGCTGTGCTGCCCCCCAGCCCGGTCTGGCGGAGTCTGTGGCTGTCCTGCGTCCTCGGGGCTCCCTCAGGCTGCCGCCCGTGGTGCGGGGCCTTCGGGGCCCTGAGTGTGCGTGGGGAGTGCCCTGTCCCTCACTCCTCGCCGGAGGGATTCTGCCGGCTGAGCCCCCTTCAGAGTGGGCTTCTGACACGGGGCGGGGGCAGCGTGCGAGGGGCCGCGCTGCCTTGCTGTGGGGGTGTTTGGGACCGCCGCAGACACCCCGGAGCCGAGCCCAGAGTAACTGGTCTCTGAGGGCCGTGGCAGGAGGGACCTGCAGCGCCTGCGCTCCGCAAGTGTGGGGCTGCAGAATAAGACACGGCTCTGCGGGGCTCTGCCTGGGTGCCCCCCGGCGGAACACTCTGCCGGGCTGACTGGGAGGGCGCTGGGCCCTCGTCTGCGTGCTCTGGGGGCTCCGGGCCCCACGGGCCGGCTTCACACCGGGGCTTGTGTGACTGAGCGTCGCGCTGTTTTCTGTTTATTTATTTGAAAGTTAGAGAGGGGGACAAGGGCAGACAGAGCTGTCGCATCTGGTGGTTCATTCTCCACAAGCCCGCAACGGCAGAGGCTGGAGCCCCGGCACTCCACCATCCTGCTGTGCCTTCCCAGGCGCACCAGCAAGGAGCTGGACTGGAAGTGGGGCACCGGGGTGCCTAACCTGCTGCGCCACAGCGCCAGCCCCAGAGCAGGCACCTGAGGGGGGTGGGGTGGGGCTGTGGGACACAGGCAGCCCCAGAGCAGGCACCTGAGTGGGGTGGGGGGCGCTGTGGGACACAGGCAGCCCCAGAGCAGGCATCCTGAGTGGAGTTGGGGGGTGGCTGTGGGACAGTGCGCTAGCTGCCTGCATCCCATATTTGCCGTGATGGTTGGAGTCCTGGCTCCCCGGCTTCTGAGCCAGCTCCCTGCTGATGCACCTGATGAGGGGGCAGAAGATGGCCCAAGTCCATGCGGGGAACCCGGATGGAGTTCCAGGCTCCTGGCTTCAGCCTGGGTTGTTGTGGGCGTTCGGAGACTGAACCAGCAGGAGGACGGCAGGTCTGTGTGCGTCTCCTTCCCTCCGTCACTCTGCCTGTCACATTAATAAAGAGTGCTTTTTAAATGACAGGATAATGGTCATGATGAGCGTAAGAAGAGTTGAAAAAATATCTGCTGTGTCTCGGAATCCTCTGGTGTGTGTGTGTGTGCACGTGTGTGTGTGCGTGCCGCAGGCAGCAGCGGGGCCGGGAGCGCAGGTGCCCCCCCGGCTCTCCTTGGCCAGGAGGCAGCAGTGAGGCTGCACCAAGCTCTGCAGCGCTGTCCTGTCTGCTTGTCACGCTGGTAGCTTCAGAACCCCCAGGGCCCAGTGTCCCTGCCCCACCCGCAGTGGGTGACCGCCTTGTGCCTGGCAGGGCATCCTCCTGGTGTATGACATCACCAACCGCTGGTCCTTCGACGGCATCGACCGGTGGATCAAGGAGATCGACGAGGTGGGTGTCCCTGTGCGCCTCAGCCCGCGGGGAGGGTGGGGGCGTCCTGCCTCGGGGCCGCTGCTGAGTTCCGTGCCCTCCCAAGCACGCTCCTGGGGTCCCCCGGATCCTGGTGGGGAACCGGCTCCACCTGGCCTTCAAGCGGCAAGTGCCGACGGAGCAGGCGCGCGCCTACGCCGAGAAGAACTGCATGACGTTCTTTGAGGTCAGCCCCCTGTGCAACTTCAACGTCACCGAGTCGTTCACCGAGCTGTCACGCATTGTGCTCATGCGGCACGGCATGGAGAAGATCTGGAGGCCCAACCGAGGTGGGTGCAGGCGGGGGGCGCGGCACGGAGCAGCCCTGCCCCTGCTGGGGCCCTGGACACGGCCTGGGGGGGGGGAGCGCGGCACGGAGCAGCCCTGCCCCCTCCTGGGGCCCCAACATGGCCTCTCAGGGGAGGGGGGACGCGGCACGGAGCAGCCCTGCCCCCTGCTCTGGCTCCGGACACGGCCTCACGGCGGGAGGGGGGCACGGTGCTGCTTCCTTCAGCGTTTCTGGAATCACCCGGTCTGAGGGTGTCCATAGGGAGGGGCGCCAGCAGGCACCACCAGAGGCAGCTCACTCTGCCCCCAGGGGTGCCCCGCTGTGCCAGGTGGCAGACGTAGCTGAGGTGCCCAGAGCCCTTGCGGCCGGGCCCTGCCCTGGCTGACCCCTGCCCGACAGTGTTCAGCCTGCAGGACCTCTGCTGCCGCGCCATCGTCTCCTGCACCCCTGTGCACCTCATCGACAAACTCCCGCTGCCCGTCACCATCAAGAGCCACCTCAAGTCCTTCTCCATGGCCAACGGCATGAACGCGGTCATGATGCACGGACGCTCCTACTCCCTGGCCAGCGGGGCCGGGGGCAGCGGAAGCAAGGGCAGCAGCCTCAAGAGGTCCAAGTCCATCCGGCCCCCCCAGAGCCCGCCCCAGAACTGCTCTCGCAGCAACTGCAAGATCTCCTAGCAGGCCTGCGAGACTGGACGCACGCTCCTGCCGGGCGCCGGGCCTGCTGTGGGCAGGGACTTTGGCCACCGGGCCCCGCCACGGAGGCTGCAGGTGGAGGGAGGGGCTGCAGGCGGCCGTGTGCTGGTCTGAAGGCCCTGGGGGGCCTGGCTGCCGCCCTGATGGGCTCTGCTGGGACTCGGGAAGGGACTGTGGGAGTGATGGAGTCTCCGAGGGGCTGCGGTCCGTTCCCTCGGAGGGGCTGGGCTGCTGCCCAGGGGCCCTCTGGAAGCTGCGCTCGGTGACCAAGCCGGCAGGCCGGGCTCCTGCCGCCTCCCCTGGGAGGTGCACACCAGGACTCGCTTGGGCCCAGGCCCCTCCCGCGTGGGCGGGGCTGGGGCTCTACTGTGAGGGTGGAGTGGCCTGGGGGCAGCTCGCGTCCTCTGACCTCAGCGTGGAACTGGACACCTAGGCCTCCTGTGCTGGGCGCCCTGGTGCAGTGGGGCCTGGCCCCTCGCTGCTGTCGAAGCTGCCAGCTGTCCCTGCCCGGGATGCGCCCTCCCGGCCCCGACCCTGCCACGGCCTCCTTGGTGCTCATCTCTACCTCCCGCCCTCGTCACGATGTGGGTTCAGCACGGCAGTGTGGACGCCGGGCAGAGGCCACTGCTGGGGCTGCCAGCGAGGCCCCTTCCTTTGGCGTGGTGGGGGGAAGCCCACGTCCCCGCGCACGGGCTCAGCACTAGCTCACTGCTGTCTCACTCCCCACGCTGGGTTCCGAGCTGTCCTTTGTACAGTAAATGTGGTTCCTGTGACCTCCCAGTCCTCGTCTGCTACGCAGCCCATTTCCTGGTGGACAGCACACGGCCCGGGGCTCACCAGGGGCCCTGAGTCCGGCCATAGCCCAGTGGATGTGGCCTGGGGAGCCACGCCCATGATGGCCCATGGGCCCCCACCCCAGCGTCACCAGGGTCCCGGCTCATCCTGGGATGGGGCCGCTGGCGCCTGGAGGCTGTCTCTTGGTCTCATCTGGCCAGACCGAGCTGATTACCCCGCCCCTGGGTCAGAAGGTCAGACGCGGGTCGAAGAGAAAGCCGTCCAGGGGCCCCAGACCCCTGCAGCAGCCCAGGGCTTGGGAGGGCCCTTTGTCCCCCTGCAGGCATATGATCTCCGAGGAGAGCCTGGCCGGCCGCCCCTCCCCCTCCGGGCCCAGGGGCTTCCCTGGGACTGTGGGCCCCACATGCGGGCACCGCCTCCACCCTGGCTGGGGAGTATGGCGAATGCAAAATCCCGTCACCCCGCCCCAGCACCCGGGGGCCCTACCCCAGACCTGTGGGCAAGTGGTGACCCTTCTGAAAGGGTCCTGGAGAGGTTTGGACTCTTGGAGACCAGGACGCCCCCGCCCCCCCCCAGGCTAAAGACTGACCGTGGAGTGCCTGCACCTCACCTGTCCCGCCCAGGGGACCAGGCTGTGGCCTGTTGGGGGTGGGGCAGGGAATCGATGGCTTGGGAGGGGGGTCAGGGAGGAAGGCGGAGCCCTGCCCCCTCCTCCCCCAGCAGAGGGAGGGTCTTCAGGGGGACTTTGATCTCAGCAGCCCAGGGTGTGCAGGGAGGGGCTCGGGTTACAGCACCCCCTCCCCCCTCTGGCCAGAGCCTGCCCCTCCCCACCCCATGCCCTGTGCTAACCAGGGCCTGGGAACCACTCACTGACCGGCAGGAGCAGGGGCCAGCGCTGCAGGGACGTGGTGTGTGAGCGCGGGCTGGGCCCTGGGGGACAGCGGTGGCCGCCACGGCCCAGAGGGTGGATGCCTGCAGGCAGCCAAGCTCCGCAGGCCCCAAAGAAGGGCTGGTGGGCCCCCGCCCCAGGTCCCCATGCCCGCCCCACGGCGCCTCCTGCCTTTGCTCCTGGTTGTGGGACTGACCGCGGGGGCCAGCCTGCTTCCAGGGCCCGAGAGCCGCCCAGGCGTGTGCCCCAACCAGCTCAGCCCCCACCTGTGGGTGGACGCCCAGAGCACCTGCGAGAGGGAGTGCGTCCAGGATGAGGTGAGCGAGGGCCCCCAGCGACATCTTGTGGGTGACTGGCGGGGGGAAACCTGGACCCTCAACCCCAGGAGTCCACTTCCTCCTTGGCTCCCCACCCTCTCCTGCCCTGGGTCCCAGGGAAGCCCCATCTGACGACAGTCCCCTTCCCCGCCCCCAAACTCTCAGCCGCAGCAAACCTGCCTGCCCTGGAGGCCAGTGGACACACCTTGCAGGACGAGCGGGGGCGGGGGGCGCAGTGGCCCCGGCAGATGGCCTGTCCTCCTGGGTCTGTGGAGTGGGACGGCAAGGCTGGCCAGCGGCTCGGGGACTGGCAGGCAGTCGCCCAGGGAGCACAGCCTGTCCCGCAGCCCAGGGTGGAGGGGGACCCGGGGGCGGGCTCACTAAGCTCCCTCCCGCCCCCAGGACTGTGCGGCGGGGGAGAAGTGCTGCACCAACGTGTGCGGGCTGCGCAGCTGCGTGGCCGCCCGCTTTCCCCGCGACGGCGCAGCCGCCCCAGCGGTGGCCTCCTGCGAGGGCTTTGCCTGCCCCCAGCAGGGCTCCGACTGCGACATCTGGGACGGGCAGCCCGTGTGCCGCTGCCGCGACCGCTGCGAGAAGGAGCCCAGCTTCACCTGCGCCTCGGACGGCCTCACCTACTACAACCGCTGCTACATGGACGCCGAGGCCTGCCTGCGGGGGCTGCCCCTGCGCGTCGTGCCCTGCAGACACGTCCTTAGCTGGCCGCCCGGCAGCCCGGGGCTGCCCGAGCCCACCGCCCACCCCACGCCCGGCGCCGCCCCCGTGCCGCCGGCCCTGTACAGCACCCCCTTCCCGCAGGCGGTGCAGGTGGGGGGCACCGCCAGCCTGCACTGCGACGTCAGCGGCCGCCCGCCGCCGGCCGTGACCTGGGAGAAGCAGAGCCACCAGCGGGAGAACCTCATCATGCGGCCGGACCAGATGTACGGCAACGTGGTGGTCACCAGCCTGGGGCAGCTGGTGCTGTACAACGCGCGGCCCGAGGACGCGGGGCTGTACACCTGCACCGCGCGCAACGCCGCCGGCCTGCTGCGGGCCGACTTCCCGCTCTCCGTGGTCCAGCGGGAGGCGGCCAGCGACGGGGGCCCCGGCGCCCAGGCCCCGGCCGAGTGCCTGCCCGCCGCGCAGGCCTGCGCCGGCCCCGCCCCCGCCTCCCCGCGCCGCGGCCTCTGGCACTTCGACCCCCAGCGCGGCAGCTGCATGACGTTCCCGGCCCCGCGCTGCGCCGGCACCGCCCCCGGCTTCGAGACCTACGAGGCGTGCCAGCAGGCCTGCGCCCGCGGGCCGGGGGACGCCTGCGTGCTGCCCGCCGTGCAGGGCCCGTGCCAGGGCCGGGAGCCGCGCTGGGCCTACAGCCCCCTGCTGCAGCTCTGCCACCCCTTCCTGTACGGCGGCTGCGAGGGCAACGGCAACAACTTCGAGAGCCGGGCGAGCTGCGAGGACGCCTGCCCCGTGCCGCGGGCCCCGGCCTGCCGCGCCTGCCGCCCGCGGGCCAAGCTGGTGCCCAGCCTGTGCCGCAGCGACTTCGCCATCGTGGGCCGGCTCACCGAGGTGCTGGAGGAGCCGGAGGCGGGCGGCGGCCTGGCCCGCGTGGCCCTGGAGGACGTGCTCAAGGACGACAAGATGGGCCTCAAGCTCCTGGGCACCAGGTACCTGGAGGTGACGCTCAGAGGCATGGACTGGGCCTGCCCCTGCCCCAACGTGACGGCCGGCGACGGGCCGCTCGTCATCATGGGCGAGGTGCGGGAGGGCGTGGCCGTGCTGGACGCCGGCGGCTACATCCGCGCGGCCAGCGAGCGGCGCGTCCGCAAGATCTGGGAGCTGCTGGAGAAGGGGGCGTGCGCGCTGCTCGGCCGCTTCCAGGACTAAGCCCCACCCAATAAAGGCGCTGGCCACACCACCTGCGCCTCCGCCTGCAGGGCCCCCAGCCCCCAGATGGTCCCAGGACGAGGCAGGGCGGCAGCCGGAGAGACTTTATTCCGAGGCCGGTGCCGGCCGCATACCCAGCGAGGTGGGGCCCGGGGGGGCGGGGTCTGGAGACCCGCGTGGGGGCCCAGCAGAGCCTCAGCAGGGACCTGGGGTGGGGGGCGGGGGGGTCACGCTTTCCGGAAGATCAGGCACTTGTTGTTGGCCGGCATGTCCACCTGCGGAGACGCTTTGGTGGAGGGGCAGCTCTGGACCCCCAGGGGGCCGCCCGGGCCCCGGCCCCCCCCACTGCCCGCCTACCATCTTCTCCAGGAGGAGGCCGCTGGCCTGGCCCAGGTCCTCCAGGAGGGCCGTGTCCCGCAGCCCCCACTCCGGGTTCCTGCACGGGTGGGGGGAGGGGAGGAGGAGTTGGAGCCTGCGGGGGGCGGGGCACCGGGCCACCCGCCCGAGCCAGGCCCCGAGCCAGGCCCCGGCGCTCAGCGCTGACCTGCATCTGAGCGTCAGGTCGAAATCCACGTTGCTTTGGGGGGAGATCTTGCCGTTGACAGCGAAGGGCTGTGGGGACAGGGGCCACAGGGCCGTCTCCAGGGGCCCCGGCACAAGGACACGGCCCCCGCCCCCCAGAGCGCAGGGCTGGGCCCCGTGGCAGGTGCACTCACGCCGTAGGTGATGAGCAGAGCCCCGGGCTTGAGCAGGTGGCCAGCGGCCCTGAAGAGCCCCTGCCGAGGGAGAAGGGCGGTGAGGCGCCGCCCGCGCGCTCGCCCCCCCCCCCCCCCCCGCCGCCGCAGACCTGGGTGCAGCACAGGGGGCTGATGTGCGTCAGGTTGATGCAGAGCAGCAGGTCCAGGGACTGCGGCCGGATCCCGCCCCACTGCTCCCAGTCCCAGGTCACGTCCAGGTACAGCGGGGCCTTCACGTTGGGCAGCCCTTGGGCCCGCGTGGTGGCGGAGATGCTGCCGGAGGGCGACGCGTGGGCCGGCCGGGCCGGGCAGGGCCGCAGCCTCCCGGCCCCGGGGTCCCCCCAGCACCCGCAGGCCCGTCGCGTCGCGCCCACCCGCCGGCCCCGCCACACCTGTCCAGGCAGCGCTGGTCCACGTCGGACGGCTGCCACTCGGCGTAGGGGAAGGCCCGCGCGAAGTGGGCAGCATGCTGGCCCGAGCCCGAGGCCACCTCCAGCACGCGGACGCCGCGCTGGGCCGGGTCCACGTACTGGAGCAGCACGCGCAGGATGGGCTCCTTGTTCCGCTCGGCGGCCGCCGCCACCAGCATCGCGGCCGCGCCGACCGCCGGACGGCACCGGGCTGGACGCGCGCCGGGAGGTGTGGCCGCGCGGCCGCGGGGCGCGTCGGGAGGTGTGGCCGCGCGGCCGCGGGGCGCGTCGGGAGGTGTGGCCCGGCCCTCCGCGTCTCCGGTTATAGGGCCCCGCAGAGGCCGCTGGGAACGGACTCCTGGACTCGAGGCCGTCCCGGGGTTTCCCTAGGACCTGCCGCTCCGAACAGTTCGAGGCTTGGGCGCTGCCCCCTTGTTGCGGATACTCTCCGCTTTTCAAATCTAAGGGAGTAGCGGGAGTTCATTTTCGAGGTGGAGGAGAAAAAAAACTGCCTGCGCCGCCCGGGAATCGAACCCGGGTCGCAAGAATGGGAATCTTGCATGATACCACTACACCAGCGGCGCTCTCGAGCAGCGGGCCGCCAGCCCGGCTCAGGGCTTTGTGACGCGCGCCGCCTGCGTTTGCGCATGCGCGAGGGCCGGGCGGCCTGCGCCTCCCCGGCTCTGCTCCTCGCCGGCGCTGCGGCCAGCCGGACCGCCGGAGGCCGGGCGTCCCCCGGCGGCCGAGTCGCTGCCCAGGCCGTGGCGCTGGCCGAGGTCGTCCGGGCACCGTGGCTCGGCCAGCGTTCGGCGTCCCTCGGCCATCACAGCAGCAGCTCCTGGCGCGGCGTCCGGCCCGCCCCTGCCTGGCCACCCCCTCCCGGAGCCCGCCGGGTCCCCGCGGCAGGGGGTTCTGCCCCTGAGGGCTCCGGGAACGCCTGCCTGCCGAGCTGGGCGCCGTGGGCACCCGCCAGGGTCCGGAGGCCAGCGGCAGGGCCCCTCTTGCTCTCCCGGGGTCCAGCCCCTTGGCCTCCACTCAGGGGTCCCGCGCCCCAGCTTCCTCCCCACGCCGGTGCCGTCCCTGGCGACCGTGACAAATGGCCCCCCGAGCTGCGGAGAGCGAGCAGGAATGAGGGCGTGGGGCCCCTCGTGCCTGTGCCTCGGGGTCCACGTGGTCAGTGAAGCCCCCGCCTTCGCTGCGTTCCAGAAACTTCCTCCAGCCGTCCCCCTCGGCAGGGCCGAGTGGACCTGGCTCGTGGTGGGGGGGTGACGCCAGAGCAGCCGGCCAGCCAGGCCCTGGGGGCCAGCGGGGCACCCCTCTGCGGGCAGAAGCCCAGCCCGAGCCCAGCCTCGGCTGGAGGGTCAGGGCACAGATTTTAGACCTGCAAACCCAGCGAGGGCGGTGGGAAACTGGGCCTCCTGCATCTTGGACCTTAACCCTCAGCATGAGCTTCTTCCGGAGAAAAAATAAAATCTCTGTTGATGAGATCGACAGGGGCCGGTGGAGAAGACGCCTTGTCCTCGCTGCCCTCTGCGGGGTGGGGCCTGGACGCCGTCCCTGCTCCCTGCTCCCAGGGTCCCTGGCCTTGGTCCAGTAGGTCGGAGAGAACAGGATGGAGAGCTGACCGGGACAGCCCGGCCACCCTGGGTCCCAGGGAGGCCAGGAGGGAGGAGGAGCAGGTGCAGGTCGGGGGAGGGCTCCTCCTCCAGTCTGGCCACCCCACTGCTTTCCAGGTGTGCAGGTGCCCACAGCAGCCTGAGCGCCCTTGCTGGACCCCACAGACCCTGCACGTTGACAGTGCCCTGGGCTGTCAGCTCTCAGCAGGGGGCCCGAGGCCGCGAGCACGGAACCCCCGGCTGCGGACAGCTGGCGCTGCGGGCCGGGCCGGGGGTCTCTGAGCAGCCCCTGCCTGGGAGGGGTGAGGGTACCGGCTCCATCCCAGACCCGGAGGAACGCCCCGCCCGGCCCGGGCCGCCCTCGGGGCTGGCAGGGGCCCGACCACCCACAGCCGAGTCCGGGGGCCGAGCCCGCGGTGGGCTAGGCGGACGGAGTCTCCCCGGCGTCCGCACAGACGCCCGCAGCTCCGCCCCTGGCCACGCCCCCCTTGCCCCCGGCTCTCGGCGAGTGGCCGGAGCCCGCGGGCCCTTTAAGGGCCGGGGGGCGTGGAGCGGACCCGCCCCCTGTCGCCGCGCCGGCCCCGCTTAAAGGGGCCGCGCCCTCTGCGCCCGCCAAGTGCGAGGCAGGCGGCGGGCGCGGGACTGGCCGCTGCGCGTGCGGGCGAGCGCGTGGGCGGCGCGGCGGCCACTCCGCCATGTACACCATCACCAAGGGGCCCAGCAAGCTGGTCGCGCAGCGCCGCACAGGTGCGCCGGGCCGGGGTCCGCGCCGGGCCGGGGTCCGCGCGGGGACCCGCGGCGGCTGACGCGCCCTCCGCTCGCCCGCAGGTCCCTCGCAGCAGCAGGTGGAGAGCAGACTCGGCGAGCTCCTGAAATGCCGGCAGCCCGCGCCGCCGACCCTGCAGCCCCCGCGGGCGCAGCCCTCCGCGCAGCAGCCCGGACCCTGGCCCCTGTCGAGGTGAGCGCAGTCGCGGCCCGGGGTCACCTTGAGCGGAGGCGGGAGGGTCCCTACCACGTGCGAGCACCGCGCGCCGGCGCCCCACTTCCGCCTCACCTGGCCAGGCCGGGGCCCGGGCAGGTGGGCGCACAGCACAGCCTCCTGTCGCGTGAGCTCGGAGGAGGCCGGGCGACCTTGGGCTGCGGCGCCCAGACCCCCTTTGGGGCCGCTGCGGTCAAGGTCTGCGAGCTGCCCGGGCGCGGGCCCTCAAGGTCTCGGACTGCGTCCTTGCGCAGCTGGGCGGGGAGCGGTGCACGTGTTTGCCTCGGGCCTGCCAGGCAGCTGCCCTTCGGCGCCCTTCGCCCGGGACGCCCTGGGCCCCGGGGCGCCCCGTCCCCGCAGCAGAGGCTGAGGCTGCCAAGGGCGCGAGGCCGCCGCGCCCGGGCCGGCTGAACCTTTCCCTTCCTTGGCCCCGTCCCGCGGGCGGTTGGAGTGCTTACTCCCGGCCGCGGCGGACTTTGCTCTGGCCCCGCCCGGGTGGGGGCGCTGCGCAGGGGCCCAGCGGCCCGGGACCCCCTGAGGCAGTGGAGGGCGGGCAAAGGGCGTTCGGGCCCGCACTTGTTCCCGGTAGTCAGATGCCCCGGGCGGGGGCCTCTGTCCTGCTCTCTGGGGAGGCTGCCACACACCACCCAAGCCCGGAGCACTGTGGCCCAGGGCCAGGTGCCCGCCCTCCTGCCCTCCGAGACCCCCTGGCTGGGGAGGGGAAGGGGGGGGTCTGTGGCAGAGTTGGGGGAGGGCCAAGGCCCTCTTGCGCACCTGTTTCCGTAAAGGCCAAACCTGCTGGGCAGGGGTGCCCACCCCCACCAGTGGGCCCCCACGTGCCCCTCCATCCCTTATGGGCCACTCCACACCAGCTCTGCTTTGGCCCCCATCCCGCCTTTCACCCCCCACCCCCCTGCTGACCGATGCCCCGGGGACCCGTGGGGCCGCTGCTGGCAGTGGCCGAGGCCGAGTCGGGGCAGCAAAAAGCCGGGACGGGCAGGGTGGGCCCCGTGGTCTCCTGACCCGGGAGAAGTGGCGGCAGCTCCTGTGTGGCCAGGCAGGGACTGGGCCGTGAGGTCCCGACCGTTGCCCCCACCCGCAGACATGACCCGCAAAGCTGCTGGACTCGAGGCGGGCGGGTGGCCTGCCTCGCGGGCCGTGGAGGGGACGCGTGTCCGGGGCGCACACTGGGGCCCGGGCGTCCCCCGCAGGACGGAGCCAGGCCCTCGGTGCAGCTGCTTCCTGCGTCTCCCCGAGCGCCCCAGCCTGCAGCTGGCAATGGGTCGGGGTGGGGGTGCTTTCCGAGTTGAGGACGGAGCTTTATGGCGAACCCCGGCTTCACAGAGCACGCAGGCCGGGGAGCCCCGCCCCCGCCCGGTCTCCCCTGCGGCCCTCAGACCCCTGCCGGCCCCTCAGGACGCTCCTCTTTATTGTAGTGGCCCTCTCAGCTGAGGAGGAAGCCAGAGCAGCGCTGGGGCACCTGAGCCCAGGACGCGAGCAGGACTCCCGGCTCCCACCTCCTGCTGTAGGTGCGGCCCCTCCCCTCGCAGGGCTGAGCTGGCTGCCGCTGGCCGGGGCGGGCCCAGCGGCCCCCTGGATGTCACGAGCTGCCACGCGGGTGGGGGGCCATCTCGCTCCGCGGGGAGTGGGGCCAGGCTGCAGCCACTCTGCCTCTCAGGGGCTGCCCGCCCGGTGCTCGGTGCTCAGCCGCCGGGGGGCCTGGGGGCAGCCTGGGAGAGGGACGGACCGACAGAGACCACCCTGCTCCCACGACCCCGAGAAGCTGCGCCGACAGAACCGGGGCCCCTCCCTGGCCTGCATCGCCCACCTCCCTCAGGGCAGGGCCGCAGGTGTGGCCGGAGCCGCGGGGGCTCGGGGCCACCGGACAGTGGCCAACCCACCAGGTGCCGACCACATGCCTCTTCCCCTCCCGCAGTCCGGGGCCCAGGCTGGTGTTCAATCGCGTGAACGGCCGGCGGCCCCACGCCACGTCCCCGTCCCTGGAGGGCACTCAGGAGACCTACACGCTGGCCCACGAGGAGAACGTCCGCTTTGTGTCCGAAGGTAGTGAGGGGGCGGCCTGGGCCCCTGGGGCTCCTCCTGCTGCAACCCGACTCCCACGGCCGCGGGGCAGGCTCGGCTTTGGCAGGCGGCCAGCTCCCTGCTCCCTAAACACACTGCTCACTCCCTGTGCCGGGCTGGAGTCCAGGGTGACTCCGGGTGCGAGGGGCTGCCGGGGGGCCTGGCTCGGCTGACTGCCCTACCCCCACAGCCTGGCAGCAGGTGGAGCGGCAGCTGGACGGCGGCCGGGCAGGGGAGCGTGGGCCCAGGCCTGTGCAGTACGTGGAGCGGAGCCCCAACCCACGCCTACAGAGTGAGCCCCTCGCCCTGGGCCCTGGGCCTCCCCGCCCCCTCTGACCCTGACCCCTGCCCACGGGGTAGCTCCAGGGGGTGGGGTGGGGGCTTCCTGCTGGGGTGGGGAGGGGAGAGGCCCACCTGGGCCAGCGTCACCGTCACTGTCACTGCCCTGCCCTGCCCCCTCTGACCCTGACCCCTGCCCACCGGGTAGCTCCAGGGGGTGGGGTGGGGGCTTCCTGCTGGGGTGGTGAGGGGAGAGGCCCACCCGGGCCAGGGTCACCTTCACTGCCCTGCCCCCTCTGACCCTGACCCCTGCCCACCGGGTAGCTCCAGGGGGTGGGGTGGGGGCTTCCTGCCGGGGTGGGGAGGGGAGAGGCCCACCCGGGGCCGCGTCACCGCCCAGCCTTCTGCCTCGCCTGCAGACTTTGTGCCGATTGACCTGGATGAGTGGTGGGCGCAGCAGTTCCTGGCCAGAATCACCAACTGCTCCTAGCAGCCGCCTGGGAGGGCGCGCGGGCCCGGCCAGCCACGCGCCGGCCACACCTCAAGTGCCAGCATCCGTACTCTTGCACCTCTGTGCCCTGGCTCCGCCGTCCTGGGCCGCCTGGGGCTGGGGCTGAACTGACCTCGATCCTGTCCAGCGTGCACAGGGACCAGCTCTGGAGCCGGCGGGGAGGGGCTCCAGGCTAATAAAGTTGAGAAAGTGCCTTCTGGCGTGGCCTTTACTTGGACGTGGGGGGGGGTCCCCGCGACAAGCACCCGTCCATAGCCCTGGACTCCAGGTCTGGCCTGGCTGCGCCATGCGGCCCGGTCCCCCTGAGGGCTCGCTCTGCCCAAAGTCTGCGGACCCCAGGCCACCCCATCCGGCCCCACTCCCACTTCTGCTGCCCTGGCCCTGGCTGGTGCTGGGGCCCGGCTTCAAGTGCGGTCCAGGTCAGGGGCTGCCGAATGCCCCAGCCCCGGCGGCAGTGCAGTGTGGGGCCCTAGCACGACGGGCGGCGGCGGCCCAGGGCCTCAGCAGTTCCTGCCCAGTGCGGTCCCCAAGGCCTCCGCCGGCCGGCCGTCGGCGCTGGGCTGGCCGCTCGCCAGCCACCGCGCAGGGGGGGCGTGGCCGGAGCAGGCGCCCCCCTCGGGGCGGGGCCTCGGCGGCGCCGCGCGACCACGTGGCCGGCGGGAGGGGCGCGCCGTTGCCGGGCAACCGTTGCCAGGCGCGCCGTGCGTGCCGTGCGCGTCGTACGTAGGGCGCGCGGGCCGAGGCGGGAAGTGCGAGTGGCGGCGCCATGGGCCCCGGGAGCGGCGCGCGGCCGGCTGGGGGCGCGGGGCAGCTCGCGCGGGGCCCCGGGCCCGGCGGGTCCGCGCCCGCAGCCTGGCAGCACCCGTTCCTCAACGTCTTCAGGCACTTCAGGGTGGACGAGTGGAGGCGGGCGGCCAAGGAGGGCGACGTGGCCCTGGTGACGGTAGGCGGGGGCGGCGGCCGCGGGGTCCCGGCGCGCTCCTGGGGCGCTCGGGGCCTGTGCCGGACGCCGCCTGCCGCCCGCAGGACAAGACCCTGAGGGGCGCCGTCTACCGCATCCGCGGCGCGGTCTCCGCCCGCAACTACATCCAGCTGCCCCGCCCCGGCGCGCAGCCCCTGGGGCTCACCGGGCGGTACCTGTACGTGCTCTTCCGGCCGCTGCCCGCCAGGCACTTCGTCATCCACCTGGACGTGTCCACCGAGGTGCGGGGCCGGGCCCGGGGCCGCGCGCCCGCGCCCCCGCGCGCGCCGGGCCCTCACCGCCGCGCCCGCTCCCCGCTCCCCGCAGGACGGCCAGGGCGTGCGCGTGTCGTTCTCCAGCCTCTTCAAGGAGGTCAAGTGCACGGCGACGTGGCTGCAGTTCCCCTTCGCCTTCGAGGCGGCGGCCGCCGGCGCGCGCTGGACCTGCCTGCAGCTGGACCTGCGAGACACGCTGCTGCTCCACGGGCGCCGCCACTACGGCCACCTCCGGGGCGTCCGGCTGTGCGCCAGCCTGCTGGTCAGGAACCTCTACACCAGCGACCTGTGCTTCGACCCGGGTGAGGGCTGCCCGCCTGGAGGCCCCCGCACGGGCGCCGCGGGCTGGGCGGGGCGCTGACCCCGGCCGCTCTTCCCCGTAGCTGTCACCGTCGCCGAGGCCCGGCGGGCGAAGCTGCCCGTCACCCCCGTGCCTCGGGAAATGGCTTTCCCGGTGCCAAAGGGGGAGAGCTGGCACGACCGCTACCTGCACGTCCGGTGAGCCGCGGCGGCCCCTGGCGGGGGGCGGGCCGCTGGGCGGGCGGCCCGGCCCCGCGCTGAGCGCCTTCCTGCCCGCCCAGGTTTCCAAGTGACCGCTCCGCAGGGCCCTCCGAGCCGCCTCGGATAAGCTGCTCCCCTCCCGAGGCAGGTGGGCCTCGCGGGGACAGGGCAGAGCCAGGTGGGGGCCCGGTGCCGTGCAGGGGTCAGGAGCGGCCCGCGCGTCTGGGCCCCAGGCCTCCCGGCCGCAGTGGGGAGTGCTGGGGTCTGGGGCGCCGGTGGTGGTGTGGCTTCGGCCAGCCTGCTGCCCGCCCCCGGGCGTCTGCTTCCTTGCAGCGACCCTGGGGCCTGTGCCACAGCCATTCCCTCGCCTGGGGGGCCTCGGCAAACCCGTGCAAGACAGCGCGTCCCCTGTGGTGCAGAGCGCCAGCCCCGCAGCCGTGAGTGCCCGTCGCCCCCGAGCCAGGGCAGGGACGAGGCAGCCCAGCTCCTGATGGGCGCTTGTGTCCCCCCCCCCCCGCAGCCCCGCCGGGCGCCCTCAGCACCCAGCCGCCTTCCAGAGCACAGCTCGTCCTGCGGAGGCTCGGAGGTGTCCGCTGTCGGTGGCCCTGAGCCCTCGGCCTCCGCGCAGGCTGCCGACCTGCACGCGGTCCCCGGTGACGGCCGCCCCTGTGCCGCTGCAGAGCCCACGGCCGCCCAGGACGCCAGCTCCGGAGAAGTGAGCGCACTCCCAGCGGGCGGGGCCGCTGCACCTGCGTCCGCTCTGGGCGGCGTTCAGGGCAGGCCCCTGCGGCCTCCCTCCCAGCACGCCCTGGCTCCCCGGAGGCCCTGCTGCGGCCGGGGTCCTGGCTCACCGTGCGTTCCGTTGCAGCGGTCCCTCCCAGACCCGGTCCTGAGGCTCAGGGGTGTCGTCGGCTTTGGGGGCCACAGCACCAAATGGGTGAGGGGTCCCCTGGCTGCTTCCAAGACCGTCCTGTTGGGGGGGAAGGACCGTGTCCCCGAGGAGGCCCTCATGCCCCGCCCCACCTTCTCCCTGCTTCCTGGACACACGCGGGCTTTTGTTTGAGTGCACGGCTGGGCCCTGACTGGGAGGCCTGCCTGGGTCGAAGGGGCAAAGTGCTTGCGGACGCTGTGGGTGTGGGTGAGGCGGGGTCTCCTGGGGAAGACCCCGGGGGGCAGCGGCCCTCCCGTGCGTGTGTGGACACACGTGCGTGTGCTGCCTTCCGTGGGAGCTGGGCCTGCTCCTCCCGCCGGTCTGGCAGGACCGGGGGTGGGGGTGCTGCCGGTGCCAGCCCCGGCTCCGTGTGCCAGGCCCTGTGGACCAGGGACGGGGCGGCTGTCGTGTACCCCTGCCACGCGGTCATCGTCGTCCTGCACATCCACACCATGGAGCAGCGCTTCTTCCTGGGCCACACGGACAAGGTGGGTGCCGCGGCCCCGGCTGGCTCAGGCGCGCCTGCGGCCTCCCTCCACGGCCTGCCTCCCCCTGCCTCCACAGGTCTCTGCCCTGGCGCTGGACACGGAGGGCTCGCTGCTGGCCTCGGCCCAGGAGCAGCCCAGCACGGTGCGGCTCTGGGACTTCCGGGCCGGGGGGTGCCTGTCCCTGCTGCAGAGCCCGGTGCACAGCACCTGCTCCCTCAGGTGGGCCCGGGGGCGGGGGCGGGGCGGGGCTGGGGGGGCCGGGCCGGCCGCGGTGCTGACGGCTGCCGCTCCCTCGCAGCTTCTCCGAGAGCGGGGCCCTCCTCTGTGGTGTGGGCAAGGACTGCCACGGGAGAACGGTGAGGGCGGGCGGGCGGCGGCGCCCGGTGCTGTTCCTGTCGGGAGGAGGAAGACGTGGGGTGCGCAGCCTCTGTCTCCCGTCAGAGGTCCTGGCGGTGCCCGGCTCTGGCTTTCGGCTCCGGCTTCCTGCCGGTGTGCGCCCTGGCAGGCGCGCTGATGGCTCGGTGCTGGGGCGCCCACGTGGTAGACCGGGACGCGGCTCCCGGCTCCGGGCTGCAGCCTGGCCCAGCCCCAGCTGTTGGCATTTGGCGAATAAACCAGTGGGCGGGAACTCTGTCTTCACCTGTCTCAGTAAATGTAAACTTTTTTGAAAATAATTCATCTGTTTTGAAAGTCGCAGTTACAGGGCAGGCGTGGGTAAAGCTGCCGCCTGGGACGCTGGCAGCCTCTGGGCGCCTGACTCAGCTCCCTCTGTGGCCTGGGGAAGCCGTAGAAGATGGCCCAAGTGCCGGGGCCCTGCACCCGCACGCGAGACCGAAAGCGCCTGGCCCAGCGCTGGCCGCTGTGGCCATCTGGGGGTGACCCAGCGGGTGGAAGGTGTCTGTCTCTCCTCCTCCTCCTGTAGCTCCGCCTCTCAGGAGAACGAAGAGAAGAGTAAGGTTTTTTAAAAGCCCCAGACAACTTCGGAAGTGGGGGCGCCCTGCCACGCCCCCTTCCTGATGGGGGCCCCACGTGCTGGCATCCACTCAGTGGGCGGAGCCTGGGAGGCGGCTCTGCCACACGGCGCTCCTTCCGCTGTCCCCCCACGGGACCCCACGCCCCTTGGCTCCTCACAGTCGGGCACTGTTGGCTCGGGGACCCGGCAGGGTCTCCTGGAGCCGCGGCCAGCCGCCCAGGATCTCGGGGGCCTGTTGCAGGTGGTGGTGGCCTGGGGCACAGCCCAGGTGAGCCTGGGTGGTGACGTGGTTGTTCTGGCAAAGGCGCACACCGACTTCGACATCCGGGCCTTCCACGTCGCCCCTGCGGATGGAACCCGGTGAGTGGCAGCCCCCACCCCCGCCCGGTGCTGTGGCCAAGGCTGAGCCCTTGTTCCTGCTCTGTGGGTGCACGTGGGTGCCCGTGTGCGTGTGAGTACATGTATGTGTGCGTGTGCACGTGTGTGGGTGCCTGTGTGCGTGTGAGTACATGTATGTGTGCGTGCACATGTGTGGGTGCCCGTGTGCGCGTGCACGTGTGTGGGTGCACGGTGGGTGTCTGTGTATGGGGTGTGTGGGTGCCCGTGTGCATGTGCACGTGTGTGGGTGCACGGTGGGTGTCTGTGTATGCGGTGTGGGGTGCCCGTGTGCATGTGCACGTGTGTGGGTGCACGGTGGGTGTCTGTGTATGCGGTGTGGGGTGCCCGTGTGAGTACGTGTAGGGGCGTGTGCACGTGTGCTGTCTGAATGTGCGTGCGTGCGTGGGGCCCATGCCTCCGTGCCTCCGGCAGGATGGCCTCGTGCGGGCGGGGCAGCGTGCGGCTGTGGCGGCTGCGTGGCGGGGCGCTGCGATCCTGCCCGGTGGACCTGGGGGAGCACCACTCGCTGGACTTCACAGACCTGGCCTTCGAGCAGGCCCAGGACAGCGGCCGGGAGCCCGCGGCCCGCACCCTGTGAGCGCTGCCTTTCCCTCGCCTGGCCTGGGTGGGCCCAGCGCCCCGAGCCCGTGGCTCACCTCTCCCGTCCCCTCCCGCCCCCTCCCGGGGCAGCTACGTGTGCAGCCGCAGCGGCCACATCCTAGAGGTCGACCTCCAGCGCCTGGCCGTGCAGCGTGCCCGCCGCCTGCTGCCCACGCACACGCCCGGCAGCCCCGGCTCCCGGAAGCAGCCCTTCAGCTCAGGTAGGGGGCGCCCGCTGTGCCGGGGCAGCGGCTTTGAGGCTGCGGCGCTGACGCCCCGGCCCCCAGGCCCCGGGATCTCTCTCAGCAGCCTCAGTGTCTCCGCCGCCGCGTGTGCCGTGGGCTCCGAGGACGGCTACCTGCGGCTCTGGCCCCGGGACTTCTCCTCAGTGCTCCTGGAAGCGGGTGAGTGCGAGCGCCCACGGCCAGCCCAGGGCGGGGCAGGGGGCGGGAGGCTGGACCTGGGGCCCCGGCATGGGCAGCACCGTGCCTGCACTGGACAGCAGGTGCCTCTGGAGCCCTGGGGTGCACCAGTGCCGGGGCTGCTCACACGCGGGGCGGGGGCTGGCGGGGAGCCCGGGGCTCCGGGAAGGCGGGGTGGGGGCCGGCGGGGAGCCCGGGGCTGCTCATGCAGGGGGTGGGGGCCAGCGGGGAGCCCGGGGCTCCGGGAAGGCGGGGTGGGGGCCGGCGGGGAGCCCGGGGCTGCTCATGCAGGGGGTGGGGGCCAGCGGGGAGCCCGGGGCTCCGGGAAGGTGGGGTGGGGGCCGGCTGGGAGCCCGGGGCTCTGGGAAGGTGGGGTGGGGGCTGGCTGTGAGCCCGGGGCTCCGGGAAGGTGGGGCGGGGGCCGGCGGGGAGCCCGGGGCTCCGGGAAGGCAGCGCTGGGCTTTGTCTCAGGTGGAAACTGAGCAGCTGGTGCCCAGCTGACCACGCCCTTTGCACAGAGCATGAGGGCCCGGTCAGCTCGGTGCGTGTCAGCCCCGACGGCCTGCGTGTGCTGTCCACCACGTCCTCGGGCCACCTGGGCTTCCTCGACATCGCGGCCCAGGAGTACACGGTGCTGGTGCACTCCCACGTGGCCCCGGTGCGGGGCTTGTCCGTGGAGCGCAGCCGGGGGCAGCTGGCCACCGTGTCGGCGGACCACTCCGTCCGCATCTGGGACCTGGCCACTCTGCAGCAGGTGAGGGGTGGCGGGTGTGGGCCCAGCGGGGCCCCGGGTGCGTCCTGGCCACCTGGAGACCTCTGGCCCGTTGGGGTCCTTCCCCGTGGCCCCGCCCACAGCTGTATGACTTCACGTCGAGCGGCGAGGCCCCGTCCACCGTGGCCCTCCACCCGGCCAGGCCGACCGTCTTCTGCGGGTTCTGCAGTGGGGCCGTGCGCGCCTTCAGCCTGGAGGCCCCCGAGGCCCTCGTGGAGCACACGTAGGTCCGGGCGGGGCGCGCGCGTGTGCGCGGGGTCGGGGACAGTGTCCCCCCGGGCTGCCTTCGTGGCCCGGCGTCAGTGGGCTGCTGTGTGTGGCACAGGCATCACCGCGGAGCCGTCACCGGCCTGGCTGTCACCCCCGACGGCAGCCTCCTGTTCAGCGCCTGCGCCCGCGGCACCCTCACCCAGTACAGCTGTGCCGTCCCCCGGTGCTGCGTCCTCCGAGTGGCAGGTCAGGCCCCCGGGACAGCAGACCGCACCCTCACGCTGGGGCCGCATTCGCAGCCCCGCGCGGCCGGGTAAATGCTTCAGGGAGAGGCCTTGCTGTCCAGGGCCCCGGGGGGACAGCCCCCAGTGCCAGAGGCCAGCCGGGGCTGTGTCCTTTGCTCCAGGAGGAGATGGGCAGCTGGACACAGGGCCTCTGCCCCCTCCCGGGGCCACCAGAGCCCAGGCCGATAGAGTGGTCGTTGGGTCACCCCAGCCCTGGAGAAGTCCCGGCTCTCCCGGGAGTGCTGGGCGCCCACCAGCGTTGTGGCGCCCTGGCCTCTGATGCCAAGGGGCCACCTCCCTGGGCTGGCGCTCCCCACAGGGGCACAGCCCCACCCTGTGTGTGCTCTGACCCCCGCCCCCACTGCCACAGCAAACGTGGTGTGCCCAGACGCCCGCCCGAGCCCCAGCACCCTGGTGGTCAGTGGGGACAGCCATCTGCTGGCTTTTGTGGGCCCCTCCAAGCACGCAGTGACCGTCATGGACACGGCCTCCCTGGACAAGGTGCGTCGTTAGGCTCCTGGGTGCAATCCAGCGCCCCTTGGCTCCACATGGGTGGGCCCGGGGTGGAGTCTCAGGGGCCCTGGGCAGACCGGAGGAGGGGACACGTCCACTCCTGGGGCGCCTTGGCTCCCACAGGGCAGGGGAGGGGCACTGGGGGGTGCTCCCGACGGCCACCTCCCTTGGCTCCGCTGGGGGCTGAGGCCCATGGCCACTTGGTGCTTCTCCCCAGCTGCTGCGGGTCGACGTCAGTGCACTGGACCCGGCCGGCAGTCGCCTGGACTCAGCTGTGGCCGTCTGCTTCGGCCCCGTCCCCTCAGGCCACCTGCTGGTGTCCACGTCTTCCAGCAAGGTCATCGTGCTGGACGCCAGGTCGGGCCGCACCCTCAGGAAGGTGAGGCCCGGGGCCGCAGGCCCAGGACACCCCACAGCCTGGGGCACTGCGCCGAGGGCAGCATCTCCCAGGAACGCTCTGTTGCAGCTGTGTGGCGTCCACGCCGTGGCCTGTCCCTCCCTGGCCCTCAGTGAGGATGCCCGCTTCCTGCTGACGGCCGCTGGCCGGGCAGTCAAGGTGTGGGACTACTCCACCCAGGCTGGCCCTGACTGCCAGGTGGGTGGTGTGGACAGGCGGAGGGAGGCCTCAGCCGTGCCCGGAGGCCCAAGGGGTGGGGTGGGGTGGGGTGGGGCAGGGCGTGGGGGAGGTCAGAGGTGGAGGGGAACCCTGGCCAGGCTGCGCCTGCCGGGGGACTGGGAGCCTCGCGGCGTCCCCAAGAGTGACGGCCACTCCTCCTAGGTGTACATTGGCCACTCGGAACCCGTGCAGGCCGTGGCCTTCACCCCCGACCAGCAGCAGGTGCTCAGCATAGGGGACACCGTGTTCCTCTGGGATGTCCTGGCAGCACCCCCCAGGCAAGTGCCTGCCCTCAGCCGTGTGCGTGCCGGCTGCGCACCGGGCCCGCCACGCACCTGTGCTTCCTCGCGCAGCAGCCCAGACCCGCACGGGACGCCGGCAGCCCGTGAGGCCGGTGAGTGCCTGGTGGGGGTGGGCGTGGAGCTGCTGTCCCACGGGCTGCCCCCCAGCACGCCCTGTCAGGTCTGGAATGCCGTGCAACTCCCTCTGGCCCTGGCCCAAGCGCGGGGCCGCTGCAGGGTGCGGTGGCCCAGCCCAGGCCGCTGGGTCTGGCGCCTGTTGGCACCCCTGGCAGGAGGCACTTGTGCCGTCTTGGGCATCCCGCTGTGGCTGGACATCGTGCTGAGCTCCCCGAGCGTGGTGCTGGTTAGGGGGCAGGGGTCCTGGCCGGTCTTGGGAGGGTCCACTGGGCAGGGGACCTCACAACAGGTGCTCAAGTGGACGGCCTTGGGGTGGCGTGGGGCCAGGGAGTGCGGCTTCTCTCCTGCCCCCAGGCACGTGCCCTGCCTTGGATGAAGAGAGCCGCCGTGCAGAGGGGGCACCCAAGACCCCAGGCCCACCCGTGCTGGCAGAAGAGGAGGCCGGCGGGGCTGGCGACGGGGCCGTGGAGGCTAGGAAGGACTCCCCCAGTCCCCACAGCCAGCTCAGTAAGCGGTGTGGCTGGCTGGGTGGGCAGGGATGAGGTGCAGGTGGCGTAAGGGTGGTCAGGCGCACCCCTGCGTGGATGAGCCGAGCCTGCAGCCGCCTGGTGCAGCTCCCGCTGTCTGTTGGGGCGGGGACTCTGCCGAGGGTTGTCTTGTGTTCCGAGGTCACACGGCACCTTCTCCACAGCAGGTGGTGCCCAGAGCACCCGGACACGGGCCCGGCCCCCTGCCCACCTGGATTCCTGCACGCGCTCCGTGGCTCTGTGCGAGGCCTCCATGCTGGCCAGGGTTGTCCACGGACCCCAGCCTGCCGAGGTGTGTGGGTTTGTGGGAGCCTGCCTCTCCCCAGTGGGCTCCCCAGGGCCTCCGCGGGCTGGCAGTGATTCTGGCTTTGGGGACCTGCTGCCTCCAGGGGCACCCTCCATCCTGCACTCAGTGCCGTCCGGGGCACAGACCGGGCCTGGCAGTCCTGCTGAGCCCAGGAGCCCTCCCTGAGAGCCTCACGGGCCTCGGCTGCCCGGGCTCCCGGCACCCCAAGCTCTGGCTCCGCCCCGGATGCAGGCTCGAGTGCCGCCTCTGCTTCCTCACAGCGCCTCCCCCCGCCTGCCGGGAGAGAGCAGCTGCGCCTGAAGGCTGTCGTGGGCTGCGGTGGGAACGGGCAGGCCAGCGTGGTCTGGAGGCCGGACACAGGTAGGGCGGGGCGCAGCCTGCACCCAGCCAGGCCGAGGGGCAGGAGGTGAGGGTCCTGTCCTCGTAACACCACTGGCACTCCGGCCTGCGTCCCTGGGAGACTGCCGGGGGACGGCAGGTGCCCGGGGTGCCGTGACCGGGGTCCCGTCTCCCCTCCCTGCCTGCAGGCTTCTTCGCCTACACGTGTGGCCGCCTGGTGGTGGTGGAGGACCTGCATTCCGGCGCCCAGCGGCACTGGCGAGGCCACCCCGAGGACGTCGCCACGCTGGCCCTCAGCCACGATGCCCAGGTGCCTGCCCCACCCCCCGGCTCCTGTCCGAGCTGGGCTGTCACCGCTGCACACGGCAGCAGGTCGCTTCTCAGCCTCCCCTCTGCTTACCGCTGCCCTTCCCCTCCCACCCTCAGGTCCTGGCCTCTGCCTCGGGCCGTGGCAGCGCGGCCGCCACCTGCCAGATCCGCATCTGGGACGTGCCCGGGGGCCTCTGCCAGCAGCTCCTGTCCTCGCCCCACTCAGCCGTGCGCGCCCTGGCCTTCTCGCCGGACGACCGGCTCCTCGTCACCCTGGGTCAGGGGACGGGGTGGGGCGGGGGCGCGAGGACACAGGAGCCTCCCTGGGACGCCAGCGCTGACCTGGCGCCCCCTCGCCTCTCCAGGGGACTGTGGGGACGGCACCCTGGCCCTGTGGAGCACAGCCACCTATGAGCTCCTGCTGTCCACGCGCCTCCGGGAGCCGGTGCACGCTGTGGCCTTCAGCCCCTGGGGAGCCGGCGAGCTCGCGGGTGTGGGCCCAGGCACGGTCACCTCCTGGCTCCTGCGGCAGCACGGGACGGACGTCGGCCTCCAGGTGCCAGGCTGCTGGCCCAAGTGCTGGGGCTCAGAGTTGAACTGGGGACGGGTCTGACCTGCAGCCGCCTTCTGCCCGACCAGGCTCGCCGAGATCCGGTCCCAGAAGAGGTGGGCGTGGTGGAGCTCACCTCGCTCTGCTACGGGGCCGCGCCCCTGCTCTACTGCGGCTCCAGCTCCGGCCGGGTCTGTGTCTGGGACACGCACGTCGGCCGTTGCTTCCTGGCCTGGGAGGCGGACGACGGCGAGATCGGTGGGTGCCTGGCCTGGAGTCTGGGCCGCCGGGCGGTGACGGGGGGCCGCCGGCTCACCCCTCCCCCGCCCCCGCCTCCAGGAGTGCTGCTGTGCTCGGGCTCCAGGCTGCTCAGCGGCAGCCACACGAGGCGGCTGCGCCTGTGGGCCGTGGGGGCCGTGCCGGAGCTGAGACGCAAGGGCTCGGGGGCCAGGTGAGCGGCTGCGGGCTCCCCCCTGCGCCACGCTCCCCCAGGCGGCTCCGGGGGAGTGCCGGCCGGGGCCCCGGAGCCCCGCCTCAGCCTGTGTCCTGCCCTCCCACCAGGTCCAGTTCTGTGTTCCTGGAACACGAGCTGACCCTGGACGGGGCTGTTGTGAGTGCCAGCTTCGACGACAGCTTGGACATGGGGGTCGTGGGCACCACGGCGGGCACACTCTGGTACATCGGCTGGGCCGAGGGCACCAGCACCCGTCTCGTCAGCGGCCACAGGAAGAAGGTGAGCTGGCCAGGCTGTTTGAGGAGACACAGTGGGGTGTCCACCTGGACAGGGACGAGGCAGGGCAGCGAGACGAGCTGGGTGCGCCGGACCCTCTGCCTTGCTCTGGGTCCAGTGGCGCAGGGCCCGTGCCGAGGTCCTCAGGCGGGGCGCTCGGAGCCCACGCGGGGCCGGCAGGCCTCGGGCCTCGCCTCTCTGCAGCTCTCCCTCGGAGCTGACCCGTCGGAACCACAGCACCTGCCTCCCACGCAGGGTGCCGGCTCCACTGCTGCTGGGCCCACCCTGCTGGGCCCCTGGGAGACTGCAGGCCATGGCGAGGGCTCGGCCCCGCCGCCCACGTGGGAGACCCGGGTCGAGCTCTCGGCTTCTGGCTTCAGCCTGGCCCGGCCCTGACTGTTGGGCGTTTGGGAGACAGGCAATCTCTGTGTGGCTTTAAAATAAAAACAAACAGGTAGTTTTATAATTCAGTTAAGCGAAGTCACGTCAGATCTGGGTCCAGTTCTGGTCAGGGTCTAGGGAGTCCTGGTGGCATTCTGCTCCCATCGGTCAGCTGTGGCAGGGTTGATCAGGGCCAGCTTAGCCTCCTGGAGTCGCCGTGTGGCCGTGGCCGTGGCCGTGGCCGTGGCCGTGGCATGGGCAGGCTGGCCGGCCACAGGCCCCGGGGGAGACGGTGGTCACTGCGGGGCTTTGGGACCAGGTTTCCAGTGTCGGAGCCGCCAGCCAGCGGGTGTTGGGCTCTGGACGAGCGTGTGGGTCCTGTGTGTGTGTGTGTGTGCGTGTGTGTGTGCGTGGAGGTTGGGCCTGTCGTGGGCAGGGTTGTTCTTGCGGCGGAGCAGATGTGAGGTCAGGGTTGTACCGTGTTCCCCGCTGGGTGTGGGCTCCGTGGCGGTGTTGAAGATGGAGTCGCCGAGGTCAGGGTTGTACCGTGTTCCCCGCTGGGTGTGGGCTCCGTGGCGGTGTTGAAGATGGAGTCGCCGAGGTCAGGGTTGTACCGTGTTCCCCGCTGGGTGTGGGCTCCGTGGCAGTGTTGAAGATGGAGTCGCCGTCCCGAAAGGCGGAGCGGGACGGAGCGTCTGCACCAGCACCCGCCTCGCTCACCCCACGGACACCTGTCTGCCCAACACTGCACAGCCAGCAGGGTCAGCGCTCGTATCGTCCCAAGGTGGTCCTGCCCGGGTCCCTGGCAGCCACTGACCCACTGTCTGGATTAGCCGTCAGGACCCTGCATGGAAGTGCAGGCGCGAGGCTCCTCCCACTGATTCCTTAAAAAAAAAAAAAAAAAAAAGATGTGCTTATTCGAAAAGCAGTTCCTGAGACACAAGGAATCTCCATCCGCTGGTTCACTCCCCAGATGGCCACAACGGCCGTAGCCGGGCCAGGCCAGAGCCAGGAGCTTCTTCCAGGTCTCCCGCGTGCGTGCAGGGAGCTGGATCGGAAGCGGAGCACCCACACGGGAAGCCGGCTTAGCAGGTGGTGGCTTTACCCGCCACGCACAGCGCCAACCCGAGCGGTGTTCGCTGGCTTCTCCGAGGCAGTGCGTGCCACAGCCGCGCTCCTCTCTGCAAGACACTACTCCACCGTGGGTGCCCCACGGTCCTCCCCGCTAGCGCCCCGGGGGCCTCCTGGGGGCAAGAAGGGACACCCGGACCTGGCACCGTGGTCCAAGTCCCACCGACGTGTCCCTTGTCCTCCCTGGCCGAGGCGCCTACGGCTCCTTTCTCCTGAACCACAGACCCCCAGTGCCGCGGCGACACCACTGCAGCCGGAGGGTCAGCCTGCCCGGACGCCCGGGACTGCGGCCAGCTCTCCCCGGGGGCCCCCGGCTGGTGGCGGGCCTGGCAGGATTCTGCAGCCACTCTGTCCCCTGAGGCCCCGGCTGGTGGCCGGGCCTGGCAGGATTCTGCAGCCACTCTGTCCCTCGAGACCCCCGGCTGGTGGCTGGGCCTGGCAGGACTCTGTGGCCACTCTGTGCCCTGAGGCCCTGGCTGGTGGCCGGGCCTGGCAGGACTCTGTGGCCACTCTGTCCCCTGAGGCCCCGGCTGGTGGCCGGGCATGGCAGGACTCTGCGGCCACTCTGTGCCCTGAGGCCCTGGCTGGTGGCCGGGCATGGCAGGACTCTGTGGCCACTCTGTCCCTCGAGACCCCCGGCTGGTGGCCGGGCATGGCAGGACTCTGTGGCCACTCTGTCCCCTGAGGCCCTGGCTGGTGGCTGGGCATGGCAGGACTCTGCGGCCACTCTGTGCCCTGAGGCCCTGGCTGGTGGCTGGGTCTGTGCTGCCCCGGGCCTGGCAGGGGGACTTGCCCAGTGGAATGTGTCTTCCCCAGGTGGAGTGGGCGGGGACCGGGCCGGCTGGGGCAGGAGACGTGGTCCCATGACAGCTGGCCCTGGAGGCTGGTCCCTCCTCTCTGCCCAGGGCTGCGTGGGCCCGGGTGGCATCCTGGGGCTCAGCCCAGCCACGGTCCTGCAGGTGACCGAGGTGGTCTTCAGCCCCAGCGGGTGCCACTGTGCCACGTGCAGCGAGGACGGCAGTGTGCGGGTGTGGTCTCTGGCCAGCATGGAGCTGGTGATCCAGTTCCAGGTGCTGAACCAGGTACCCGGGGCGCCCGAGGGGGTGGGGCCCTGTCGGGAGCGCGCAGCTGGCGCCGCCCTCACCTCCGCCTCTGCTGTGATGTGCCCGCGGGGGTCCCCAGAGCTGCCTGTGCCTGGCGTGGAGCCCCCCGTCCTGTGCACGCGCGGAGCAGCAGCGGGTGGTGGCGGGCTATGGCGACGGCACGCTGCGGGTGTTCAGCCTTGCCCGCACGGCCTTGGAGCTCAAGATGCGTCCCCACCGGGCCGCGCTGACGGCCGTGGCCTTCTCCACGGACGGTGAGAGCCGGGGCGGCAGGCCGCTGGGCGCCGGGCCAGGTGCTGGGGGCCTGTGGCCTGACGTGGCCTCATTCCACCTGCAGGTCAGACCATCCTCTCCGGAGACGAGCTCGGGCTTGTGGCCGTGAGCTGCCCCCGCGCGGGGCTGACATTCCGCGTGCTGAGTGACCATCAGGGGGCCCCGATCTCTGCCCTCCAGAGCACCAGCCGTCAGGTGAGGCAGCCTGGACAGCCGGGGTGGGCGTGGCCCGGGCCGGAGGCACCCGCACCCACACCCCTTCCCTGCAGTGTGGAGACGTGGGGGCGGAGGGCACGGACCTGTGGCTGGCGGCCAGTGGGGACCAGCGGGTCAGTGTCTGGGCCTCCGACTGGCCGCGGGACCACTGTGAGCTGGTGGACTGGCTGAGCTTCCCAGCGCCGGCTGCCCTGGAGGTGAGGGAGCCCTGGGGGCGCCTGGGGGGTGGGGGTTTGTGGGCTCGTCGGGCACAGCACGCCTCACCCCTGCACAGGCCCCAGCCCGCCCGCCGCCCTGTCTTGCTGCCTTCTGCCCCTGGGACCGGGCACTGCTGGTGTGCGTGGGCCTCGGCGTGCGCAAGGAGGTGATGCTGTACAGCCTCCGTCAGAAGCAGGTGCACCTCGCTGCCGCCCGGGAGGGGGCCCCAGCAGACGGGCGCCGAGGCCTGGCAGCCTCACGCTGTCCACTCGCAGGTGCTGGACAGGATCCCGCTGCCGTGCTCCGCCGTGTCCCTGAGCCTGTCTCCCGCGGCCCAGCTCATGGCCATCGGCCTCACTGGTGAGGGCTCACCCCTGCACCCTGGACACCTGCCCTGGGAGGCCTCCGTGCAGGGAGGGCGGGCACCAGGGACGCTGCCAGGGCTGGCCTGTGCTGTCTGCCCACAGGGTGCACCCTGAGGCTGGTGGACTGTGCCTCGGGCACCAGCCAGGACTTCGCTGGCCACGACGACTCGGTGCACCTGTGCCGGTTCACGCCCTCCTCCAGGACGCTCTTCACCGCGGCCTACAACCGGATCCTGGTGTGGGAGGTCACTGAGCTGCGGCCGCGTGGCCAGGACTGGCTGTTGGCGTGTGCAGAGGGCCCCGTGCCAGTCGGGGCCCCGTCTGCGCCTTGTACAGTTTAAATAAAGTGGACGTTTGCGCATTCCTTGTCCTCGGGCACCTCTGGCAGCAGCGGTGTCCGGCCGCGCGCTGCCCGGTCCACGGGCCGGCTCACGGCGCTGCCTGCAGTACCCGCGGCGCCCACGGGGCGGCTCCGGCGTGCGGCCCGGCCGCTCTGGCCCGCCGCGTCGCTGGTGCGGCTGCGCGCGCGGACGCAGGAAGTGCGGGCGCCGGGCGGGCGCGGGGCGGGGGCGCGGCGCTGGCGGGCCTGCGGGCGCGGGGCGGGGGCGCGGGTCCGTGCCGTCTGCGCGGCAGCCATGAGACGAGACGTGCGCATCCTGTTGCTGGGCGAGGGTAGGCGGCCGGGCCGGGGGGCGCGGGGGCGGCGGGGGCGCGGCGCTGGCCCCGGCCCCGGCCCGGGCCGCGGCGCTGACCGCCCTGCCGCGCGCAGCCCAGGTGGGGAAGACGTCGCTGATCCTGTCGCTGGTGGGCGAGGCGTTCCCCGACGAGGTGGGCGTGCGGGGCCGCGCGGGGCGGGGCGGGGCGGCCGTGCGGGCCCCCGCGGACGCCCGGTCAGCCGCGCCCGGCCTCCCGCAGGTCCCTCCGCGGGCGGAGGAGATCACGATCCCCGCGGACGTCACCCCCGAGAAGGTGCCCACCCGCATCGTGGACTCCTCAGGTAGCGCCCCGCGCCGCCCGGCCCGCGCCCCCGCGCCCCCGCGCCCCGCGCCCCAGCGCCTCTCTCCTCCGTGCAGAAGCCGAGCAGACGGCGGCCGAGCTGCAGGACGAGATCCGCAAGGTGCGCTGGGGGCGCGCGGGCCGGCCCTTGTCCCCGCGGCGCGCCCGGCCCCAGCCTGAGCCTGGCCGCCGTCCCGCAGGCGAACGTGGTGTGCGTGGTATACGACGTCTCCGAGGAGGCCACCATCGAGAAGGTGGGTGGCCCCGGGCGGCCAGGTGGACCGTGGCCCAGCCCCGTGAGGGCCAGGGCGCCCAGCGCCCCCAGCGGCCGCGACCCTGACCCTGAGCCCGGCGTCCCCTCCCCACCCTGCCCTGCTTTCCAGATCCGGACCAAATGGATCCCGCTGGTGAACGGAGGGACGGAGGCTGGACGCAGGTGAGGTGGTGGCGCGGCCCTGGCGGGAGGGAGCTGGCCCCGCCGCGCCCCCGCCCGCTGATGGCGGCCTCTCCAGGGTGCCCATCATCCTGGTGGGCAACAAGTCGGACCTGCGGCCCGGGAGCTCCCTGGAGGCCGTGCTGCCCATCATGAGCCAGTTCGCTGAGATTGAGACCTGCGTGGAGGTAGGTGGGCAGGTGCGCCCGCCCGGGCCCCCACCCCACGCCCGCCCTTCCCGGGCCGCCGCCGAGGTCCCCTCCTGCTGCCTCCCAGTGCTCGGCCAAGAGTCTCAGGAACGTCTCCGAGCTGTTCTACTACGCCCAGAAAGCCGTCCTGCACCCCACGGCCCCCCTCTACGACGCGGAGGCCAAGCAGGTGGGTGATAGGGGTGGGAGGGGCGGGGGAGGCCGTCCTGCACCCCTGTCCCGCTGTAGGACATGGAGGCCGGGCGGGCGGGTGGTGGGGTGTGGGGCGGGGGAGGCCATCCCTCATCTCCTGTCCGCTGTAGGACATGGAGGCCAGGTGGGCAGGTGGGTGGTGGGGCGGGGGAGGCCGTCGTGGGCGGGTGGTGGGTGCGGGGCCGGCGCTGCCAGGGTGCTGACCTGCCGTCCCCGCAGCTGCGGCCCGCGTGTGCCCAGGCCCTCACGCGCGTCTTCAGGCTGTCAGATCAGGACCTGGACCAGGTACTCAGCGACCAGGAGCTCAACGCCTTCCAGGTGCGCCCGGCCCCTGGGCTGTGGGTCCCCGCCCCGGTGCCGGCGGCCGGGGCTGACGCGGTCCCCCTCCCGGAGGCAGGAGTCCTGCTTCGGCCGGCCGCTGGCCCCGCAGGCCCTGGAGGACGTGAAGATGGTGGTGAGCAGGCACGTGGCCGGCGGCGTGCGGGAGGGTGGCCTGACGCTGGAGGGTGAGCACGGGCCCTGCGCGCGCCCCGGGTGTGGGGGGCCGGGCTGCGCCCCAGCGGCCCCTCCTGCCCCCTCCGCCTCTCCGCACAGGCTTCCTCTTCCTCAACACCCTGTTCATCCAGCGTGGCCGGCACGAGACCACCTGGGCCATCCTGCGCCGCTTCGGCTACAGCGACGCCCTGCAGCTCACGGCCGACTACCTCTCCCCGCCGTGAGTGCGCGCGCGGGGCTCCTGGGGCCGCCGGGCCCGCGTGGGCAGGTCCCGGACACACTGGGGTCCCTCGCTCCCCCACAGGCTGCACGTGCCCCCCGGCTGCAGCACGGAGCTCAGCCATCTCGGCTACCAGTTTGTGCAGAGAGCTTTCGAGAGGCATGACCAGGTGCGAGCCCCGCCCCCGCCCCTGCCCCGCCCCCCGCCCCTGTCACCGGCACTGACCCCTGTGCCGCAGGACCGGGACGGCGCCCTCTCGCCCGCCGAGCTGCGCAGCCTCTTCAGCGTGTTCCCCGAAGCCCCCTGGGGGCCCGGGCTCCCGAGCACCGTGCCCACCGAGGCCGGCCGGCTGCCGCTGCACGGCTACCTGTGCCAGTGGACGTGAGTGCAGCCCCACTCCCACTGCCCCTCCCACGCCTCACCGCCCCACCCCTGCCCGCACTGCGCCCCTTCCCACACCACACCTGGCCCCTGGCCCCCACCCACTCCACACCTGCCTCACCCCCTGCCCCCACTCCCACACCACGTCTGCCCCCCGTGCCCCTCCCACGCCACGCTCGCCCGCCCCCAGCCTGCTGGCCTACCTGGACGTGCAGCGCTGCCTCGGACACCTCGGCTACCTGGGCTACCCCACGCTCTGCGGCCAGGACTCGCAGGCCCAGGCCATCACAGGTGGGCGCCCACGCCTGCGGCCCCGGCGCAGCCCCTGCCGGCGGCTGCCCTCACCCGGCCCTGTTCACAGTCACCCGCGAGAAGCGGCTGGACCAGGAGAAGGGGCAGACCCAGCGGCGCGTGCTCCTGTGCAGGGTGCTGGGGGCCCCGGGCGTGGGCAAGTCCGCCTTCCTGCAGGCCTTCCTGGGCCGCGGCCTGGGGGTGAGTGTCCCTGGGCGCCTGCGGCCTCGGGGGCGGGGGGCATCCCCGGGCGCCTCGCCTCAGGGCCGCCCTCTCTCGGCACCAGGAGTCCCCCGCGGAGCCCCCCGCCCACGCCATCAACACCGTGCACGTCCGCGGGCAGGAGAAGTACCTGATCGTGAGTGCCGGCCCCGGTGCGCCCACGCCTGGCCCGGGGGCCCTGCCCCTGGACCCCGACTGAAGGCCCTGTCTGTCGCAGCTGTGCGAGGTGGGCGCCGATGGGCTGCCGGACACCAGCTGCGACGTGGCCTGCCTCCTGTTCGACGGCAGGGACCCCGAGTCCTTCCTGCACTGCGCCGGCCTCTACAAGGCAAGTGCCCGCCCAGGGGCCGCGGGGCACCAGCGCGCCAGAGCCATGAGCCCTGCCTCACCGGGTCCTCCCACAGCGCCACTACGTGGACGGGCAGACGCCCTGCCTCTTCGTCTGCTCCAAGGCTGACCTGCCCGAGGGCCCCGCTCCGCCTGGCCCGTCCCCCGCCGAGTTCTGCCGGCGGCACCGGCTGCCCGCCCCCACCCCGTTCTCCTGCGCGGGCCCCGCCCCGCCCCGCGCCGCCGTCTACACTCAGCTCGCCACCATGGCCACCTTCCCGTGGGTACCCGCGCCATGGCCCCGGGGCGGGGGGGGGGGGTGCCGGCTGGACACTGCCCTGAGGTCTCCGTCTCTCCCGCAGACACCTGGCCCCGGCAGAGCAGGGCCCCTCCCGCTCCTGGCTGCGGGGCCTGCTGGGCGCCCTCGGGGCTGCGGCGGTCGCCATCCTTAGCTTCTCGCTGTACAGAGTCCTCAGGAGCCGATGAGCCCCCCCCCCCCGGAGCTCGGCAGGACTGTGGGGCTGGACCATCGCCCGCAGGCTGCCGGGTGGGCCTCGTGTGGGCTGGGGAGGTGGCGGCCCGGCCGCGGGTTCTCAGGGTCCCCTTTGGCCTGGCCTCGGCCAGCCAGTGGGCAAGGGCGGCAGGAGGTCGGGTTTTCTGATTAAACTGCACTCTGTCTCCCATCGCTCGGGTGCCCGTCTCTTACGACAGCTGACCCTGGAACATGTCCCACCCCTGGACCCCTCGCCCCGGAGGCCTCTGCTGAGTGGCCCTGGGCTGAGGCCGAGTGGGCTGACCATGCCCCTGGCAGTCTTCCTGGCCCTGCTTCTGCACTCCCCACGCCTGTGTGCGGTCAGCCTGGCCGAGCGTCCTAGGGCCTGGGTGTGCCGTGCGCCCGCCCCTGAGCGGGGCTGGCTCCCACAGCAGTGAGCTGCAGCGCGGGGCCTCGGGAGTCCCTGCCCTGTGGCTGCCTGCTTCATGTCCAGCCCAGGACATCCTGGGGCCCAGCTGTGGGCGATGACCCCGCTGGCATCTGCTGTCCTGTGGTCACCGAGCCTCTTGGCCTGTCCCTTTCCATCCCCCCTATAGCCCTGCCCTTTGGGGCTCTCCTGCCACCTCTGGGTTTCTCTGGGTGCCCCTTCCTCGTGCCCAGCTCTTGCACCTTGGGGCTGGAGGCCCTGTGTCCAGCTGCAGGAGCGGTCAAGGGCCTCCAGGCCAGCCTGGGATAGGCATCAGGGTGGACTGGTGCAGCCCGGTGCGGCACGCGGGCTTGCTGTGGGTGGAGGCACTCAGCGGGGGACGGGGAGGGGGGCACAGCCTGGGGTGGCCAGGGAGGGCTTCCTGGAGGCGCCCCTGCCGAGGCACAGGCGAGGGGGCCGCTGGGGAACCGGGCGGCTCGCGCGGGGTCGGAGGAGCCGGGCGGGGGGAACGGATTTCGGCTCCGCTCCGAGCAGGCGCCGGCAGCGTGCAGGTGGGCAGGGCACCAGGACGGGGCGCGAGCTGGGGCGGGCTCGCGGCCAGGGTGCGTGTCCTGAGGCTGCGCGTCCCCGAGCAGGGCGCGCGAACCGCGGCGGCGGCGGCGCGCGGGGCGGGCTGGCGGCTCTGACGCGGCTGGAGTGCGGCGCGCGGAGCGGCGCGGGCGGAGCGGCGGCTGGGGCGGCTGGGGCGGAGCGGCGGCTGGGGCGGAGCGGCGGTCCGCAGAGCAGCCCCTCCCGGCCCGCCGCCGGTCCGGCCCGGCCCCGCCTGGCTCTATGGACAGGAGCTCGCTGCTGCACCTCATCCACGAGCAGGTGCGTGGGGGCCCGCGGGGCCGGCGCCCAGAGAGTTGGGGGGCGGGGGCGCATGCTCCCCCAAGCCCCTTGCTTGCACGGCCTGAGACCCCCCCCCAGGGGCCGGCTGGCTGGACCACGGCTCGAGGGAGGGAGGGCAGGCGCTCCAGCGCCCCTCGGGCTGGCTCGCCCCTCCCGGGCAGGGCCGGCAGCCTGCTGCTCCCGGCCGAGGTCCGGGGGTTGGGCCCAGTCTCAGGCCTTGGCCCGTGGCTGTCCCACCGCAGCAGCTGGACCCCGAGAACACTGGCTTCATTGGCGTGGACACCTTTGCTGGCCTGGTGCACAGCCATGAGCTGCCTCTGGACCCCGCCAAGCTGGACATGCTGGTGGCCCTGGCCCAGAGCAACGAGCGGGGCCAGGTCTGCTACCAGGAGCTGGTGGACCTGGTCAGTGGGGGGGGCGCTCGCCCGGGCAGGGGGGCGGGACGCTGGGCGGGGGTGCTGGGGAGGGCGGCGCCGTGGCCGCCACGCTCAGCCCTGCCCCCAGATCGGCAGCAGGCGCTCCGGCAGCTTCAAGCGGGCCATCGCCAACGGCCAGCGGGCGCTGCCCAGGGACGGGCTGCTGGACGAGCCCGGCCTGGGCTTCTACAAGCGCTTCGTGCGGTACGTGGCCTACGAGATCCTGCCCTGCGAGGTGGACCGCCGCTGGTACTTCTCCAGGCACCGCAGCTGCCCGCCCCCGGTGTTCATGGCCTCCGTCACCCTGGCGCAGGTGGGCCCCCGCCCCGGGCCCCGCAGCCTCCCCGGCCGCCGGCTGGGCGCAGCCCTGAGCGGTCGTGTCTCCAGATCGTGGTGTTCCTGTGCTACGGGGCGCGGCTCAACAAGTGGGTGCTGCAGACCTACCACCCCGAGTACATGAAGAGCCCCCTCGTGTACCACCCGGGGCACCGGGCCCGCGCCTGGTGCTTCCTCACCTACATGTTCATGCACGTGGGGTGAGTGCGGCCGCCGGGCGGGGCCGGGGGGGCGCGGGCGGCCCAGACGGTGACGGCCCCTACCGTGTGCCAGGCTGGAGCAGCTGGGGTTCAACGCCCTGCTGCAGCTGATGATCGGGGTGCCCCTGGAGATGGTGCACGGCGCGCTGCGCATCAGCCTCCTGTACCTGGCGGGCGTGCTGGCAGGTGAGGCGCCGCGCCCCGGCCCGCCCCGCGCCGCCCGCCGGGCCTCACCCCTGCCCTCCTGGCCCGCAGGCTCCCTGACCGTGTCCATCACCGACATGCGGGCCCCCGTGGTGGGGGGCTCCGGCGGGGTCTACGCCCTGTGCTCGGCGCACCTGGCCAACGTCGTCATGGTAATGGGCGCCCGCGGGGGGCGGGGCGGGCGCCGCGGGCCTGTCTCACGGCCTCTCCGCGCCCCTCAGAACTGGGCTGGGATGCGGTGTCCCTACAAGCTGCTGCGGATGGTGCTGGCCCTGGTGTGCAGTGAGTAGGGGCGGGGCGGGCGGGGCGGGCCCGCGGGCGGGGCGCCGCCCACCTGCCGCCTCCCTCCGCAGTGAGCTCGGAGGTGGGCCGCGCCGTGTGGCTGCGCTTCTCGCCGCCGCTGCCCGCCTCGGGCCCGCAGCCCAGCTTCATGGCGCACCTGGCGGGCGCCGTGGTGGGCGTGAGCATGGGCCTCACCATCCTACGCAGCTACGAGGAGCGCCTGCGGGACCAGTGCGGCTGGTGGGTGGTCCTGCTGGCCTACGGCACCTTCCTGCTCTTCGCCGTCTTCTGGAACGTCTTTGCCTACGACCTGCTGGGCGCCCACGTCCCCCCGCCGCCCTGACCGCCTCCTGGGCGCAGGGGAGGCCCTGCCCCCGCCCCGCCCCCGGGTCCGCGGTCCGCGCCTTTTGCAGAGTGAATAAATATTTTACACGGCACCAGGTGGCTGTCCGGGGTCTGGAGGCGTCTCTGCCCCCCGCTTCTCGCGGACCGTGCGGGGCCCTCCCATCTACGAAGGGACTGGGCTGCGGCCCCAGGGGACAGGCGGTGGGTGTCCTGGCCCACGAGTTCGGCCTGCACGCCGTGGGGGAGGGGGCCAGGCTGGGGCCGGTCAGGCACGGTGTCCCACCGCCCATGCCGAGGGGGCGGCGCCGGCGGGTTCGCTCCCACCTGTGCGGACGCTGCCTCACGGGCCGCACAGGGTGCCCGGGCGGCTGCGGCAGCGGAGGCCGTACTCGGGCGCCCGCCCGCGGCGGGTCAGGGCGTCCCGGGTCGTCTCCGCCGGCGGGGCCCGCCCCCGGGGGCCCGCACGCGCTGCACGCCTCGGCCTCCCGCTGCCCCCATGCCGGGGGCGGGGCGTGCGCGGAGGGGCGGAGCCCGGCCGCAGGGAGGCGGTCCTTCGGAGGCTCCGCGCGGCGGGCCCCGCCCCCACCCCGCCGCAGCGCGCACGCGCGACCCCGCCCCCCGCGGCCGGAAGTTCCGGTGGCGGCGATCCGGGCCGGGCCGAGCGGGGCGCGGGCTGCGGGCGGCCGGGCGCGGAGCCCGCGAGCGGAGCCCAGGCCGTGCCGCGCGGCGCCATGAAGGGCAAGGAGGAGAAGGAGGGCGGCGCGCGGCTGGGCGGCGGCGGCAGCCCCGAGAAGAGCCCGAGCGCGCAGGAGCTCAAGGAGCAGGGCAACCGGCTCTTCGTGGGCCGCAAGTACCCGGAGGCGGCGGCCTGCTACGGCCGCGCCATCGTGAGTGCGCCGCGCCGGGGGCGGGCCTGGCGCCGGGGCGCGGCCCTTCGGGGCCCCCCGGCTTGGGGCGTTTGACTCGGCCCCGGCGGCGGCGGCCGCCCGGGTGCGGGTGCGGTGCGGGTGCGGCCCGCGCGCACGCCCACAGCGCGGCCGCCCGCTCTCCCCAGACGCGCAACCCGCTGGTGGCGGTGTACTACACCAACCGCGCCCTGTGCTACCTGAAGATGCAGCAGCACGAGCAGGCGCTGGCCGACTGCCGGCGCGCGCTGGAGCTGGACGGCCAGTCGGTGAAGGCGCACTTCTTCCTGGGCCAGTGCCAGCTGGAGCTGGAGAGCTACGACGAGGCCATCGCCAACCTGCAGCGAGGTGGGCGCGCGGCGGCCGGCGCGGGGCGCGGGGCGCGGGGCGCGCGGCGCGGCTGCGGGCGGCCGGCCGGGCTGACCGCGCGCCCCGCGCCCGCAGCCTACAGCCTGGCCAAGGAGCAGCGGCTCAACTTCGGCGACGACATCCCCAGCGCGCTGCGCATCGCCAAGAAGAAGCGCTGGAACAGCCTGGAGGAGCGGCGCATCCACCAGGAGAGCGAGCTGCACGCCTACCTCGCCAGGCTCATCGCGGCCGAGCGCGAGAGGTGGGCCCCTCCGCGCGTTTATTGACAGCGGGGCGGGGCGGGGCGGGGCGGGTCCTGACGCGCGGCCGCTCGCCCGCAGGGAGCTGGAGGAGTGCCAGCGGAGCCACGAGGGGGACGAGGACGACGGCCACGTCCGCGCCCAGCAGGCCTGCATTGAGGCCAAGCACGTGAGGGCGGCCCGGCCGGCGGGCGCGGGCCCCGGGGGCGGCGGGGGCGGCGGGGCAGGCGGCGCTGGGCCGGGGGAGGGCCGTGTGCGGCCCCGGGGCAGCGCCCCCTCGCTTCTTCCAGGACAAGTACTTGGCCGACATGGACGAGCTCTTCTCGCAAGTGGACGAGAAGAGAAAGGTGAGCCTTGTCGGCGGGGCCCGTGGGCAGGTGCCGGCCGCCCGCCCACTGAGCGCGCCCTGTGTGCAGAGGCGCGACGTCCCCGACTATCTGTGCGGCAAGATCAGCTTCGAGCTGATGCGGGAGCCCTGCATCACGCCCAGCGGCATCACCTACGACCGCAAGGACATCGAGGAGCACCTGCAGGTGGGTGCGGCCGCGGCGGCCCGGCTGGGCGCCCCGCCCCGCCGCGCCGCTGACCCCGCTGTCCCCGCAGCGCGTGGGCCACTTTGACCCCGTGACCCGGAGCCCCCTGACCCAGGAGCAGCTCATCCCCAACCTGGCCATGAAGGAGGTCATCGACGCGTTCATCTCGGAGAACGGCTGGGTGGAGGACTACTGAGCCCCTGCAAGGCCCCGCCCCCGCCCCGGCGCCGCCCCTGTCCTGCAATAAAGTCCGTGAGCACGAGCGCTAGCCCAGGAAGGTGGAGATGAACACGCACGTGTCCAGGTTGAGCGTGGCGTGCCACCAGCGGGCCGGGAAGTACAGCACCTGCGGGAGGGGCGCGGGCGTCAGCGGGGGGCCTCGCCTCCCCCGCCCCGGCCCCGGCCCCGGCCCGGACCTCGCCCGCGGAGATGGTGCACTCGAGCGGCCGCGCGGCCGGGGCCAGGCCTGGGTACGTGTCCCGGAGCCAGGCCAGCGTGGTCTCGTTGGGGTGGAACTGCGGCGTCTTCTCGGGCGGGTACAGGAACCAGCGCTGGGAGAGGGGAAGCGCACGCTCACCCCGGGTCCGCGGGTCCGCGCGCCCAGCCCCTGCCCACGGCACTGACCTTGCGGCCGTAGATGACCTCCGAATACCCGGGCCCGTGCCAGTGGAAGGGCACCCCGGTGCCCGCGCCTGTGGGTTTGGCGGGTGAGCAGAAAACCACACCCCCCTGCCCTGCCCCCGTCCCCGGCTCCCGGGAGCACCTGCCACGCCGAAGCTGTGCGCGGGCGCCGTGCCCAGCAGGCCGTAGGGCGGCGGGGCGTAGTGCCGGAACAGAGACGCCCACTCGGTGAAGTTGTTGTCGCCGAAGAAGTACAGGGTGTCTGCGGCGGACGGGGCGGCGGGGTCAGCCCCGGGCACCACCCCGGCCCCTCGCCCGTGGCCCCCGGGCCCGGCTCACCATTGCCCAGGGAGGTGGGGTCCTGGGGCCGCAGCAGCCGCTCCACGTACTCCTGGAAGGGCAGGTCCACTGCGGGAGAGGGGGAGAGGGGCCGGTCACGACCGGGCGGCCGGGGCTCGGGGCCAGGGGCGGGGCGGCTCACCCTTCCGGTAGGAGTAGGTGTTGGCGGTGCTCAGCCGGACCACGCGGTCCCCGAACGAGGCCAGCAGCTTTTCGCGGGAGCACAGGGCGCGGAACCGCTGCGGGGCAGGACAGCGGCTCGGCACGGGCGCTGCTCGGCCGGGGACCCACCCTCCGCGCCAGCGCGCGCCCTCACCGAGTTGTCCGTGAGCCCTCGCAGGACCACGGGTCTCTGGAAGGCGTAGCTGGGGAGCGGGAGGCGCGCGGTCAGGTCGAGTCGGGTCGGTCCGGCCCGGCCTGCCCCGCGCGCCCGCGCCCACTCCCGCACGTACCGCTGCACGAACTCGGCGTAGCTGAGGTCGGCCCGGCGCTCCACGGTGCACAGTGCCTCCTCCGGCGGCCCTGGCCCGCCCCGCCGCCTGCCGGCACATCCGGTCAGCGGCGCCGGTCCGCGCTGCCCCGGCCCGGCCCGCCCGCCCGCCGCGGCTCACCATCCCCCGTCGCCTGCCTCCGCGGAGCTGGGCCCCGCCAGCGCCATCAGCGCGCAGAGCAGCAGCGGCCACCCCGCTAGCCGCGCCATGAGCCCGGCGTCTCCCGAGCCGCGACCGCGCCGCGCAGCACGCCGGGAGCCCGGCCCCGCGCCCCGGCCCCGGCCCGCCATTGGCCGACGGTGACGGCTGGGCTCCCGGAAGTGGCCGCCCTCAGCCCGCCCCCGGCAGGAGTGCTTCCGGGAGGCGGGGCGGCCGGTGGCCATGGCGACGCTGCCCGGCGGCGGCGCGCGCAGAGACTGGCGACGCAGCAGCGAAAGACGGCGCGCACGCGCCCGCTTTATTGGTCTC